CCAGAACCACCAGCTTTTCCTCCTGGTTTCGAGTCAGCTGCAAATGTTGCCGCCAGCGCTCCAACCACAGGCGTTACTGTTCCTGATAACTACTTGGCCTTGAAAGGCGTCGGTCCTCAGGTCGAAAGTTTCAAGATGGCGCGCCCAAATGGTCCAACTGCGAATACCTGGCAGAATGGCAAGTACACACCTGATCGATGTGTAGGGATTCACTAACCTTTCCACTATACCAGACCCTTCGATTTTTCCTCCTGGCTTCGAGAAAGCAGCAAATGTGGCGGCTAGCAGCACTCCAAGCACAGAGGTTCCCGATAACTACTTGGCCGTGAAAGGTGTCGGTTCTCAGTTCGAAAGCTCCAAAATGGCGCATCCAAATGGTCCAACCACAAACACCTGGCAGAATGGCAAGTGCACACCTAATTGATGCACGGGGCATACCCTAACCTTCCACTGTGACAGATCCATCGATTTTTCCGCCTGGTTTCGAGAAAGCAGCAAATGTGGCGGCCCCAAAGCCGGCGGACAGCACCCCAATCCGCGTCAACCATCACCAGGTGGAAGGGCTCGAAGGCAAACTGCCTGACCTCGATAACTTGGCCCGCGATTTTGCTAGGAGTGCGGCAGTCGACATTCCAGGCCTTGGCGCTGGCAAATCAGGTGTGCAAGCTTTTGAAAACAAGTCTCTGCCATCGCAACCTGAGTCCGTCATTCCTGTTTCACAAATGCCAGGGTACAAGTTCGTTGTCCAAGTGCACAAACACTTCGCAGCACTTAGAGCCGGTAGCACCATGTCCAAGGACACTTCCGATCATCATTCCTCAGCCTGCCGCGGTCCAAAAAACACTGCGGTTTCCGAGGCAGTCGAATCAGCGATTGGATCGGGTGAGGTCGTTTCGACTCGTGTTGCTGCTCCCGAAGGCGTTTCAGCTCCTTCTGTCATTAACGCTGCTGATCTTCCTGTGGGTTCTCCCTTCCCTTGAAAGATGTTCTTCTCAATGATCGTCAATGTCAACATACTTTGTCAACACCAGCATATGCTAATGGATGTACGCAGGCAAACATGCCGGGCGCCGCCGATGCCGGTTCTGCTGGTGCTGCCGATGCCGATGCCGATGCTGGTTCTGCTGGTGCTGTCGCGAATGATTGCGAGGACAAGGCCGAGACAGTGCGTGCTGGAAAGCGCAAGGCGGATGATGCAAACAACAACATCGACACTGGGTCCGGTGATAGCAACAAGGAGTCTCCAGCTCCACGCAAGAAAGGCAAGAATAATACCAAGGGTACATATGGTCCACGAGTCGACACAAGCCAGCCTGCCACCACCAGCGTAATTGGCCCATTCATCCGCAAAAACGGTATTCGTACCCAGGACCAAGCTTCCTTGCAGCAAAACAACGAAGACCCAAATGCTCCGAAGTGGTCTCGCTTGCGGCCATCTCTGCTCGACTGCACCGACCCCTACATGTGTCCCGGGCCCAGCCTGAATTGCTTCCACGCTTTCCAGAATACGTCAAGCTACTGGCTCCATGTCGAGAATAAGCACGGAGTTCCGCGAGGGAAGATCAACAAGCCCGAATTCGCGCACATCCGTGCCATCTTCGAGCCTCATCCGGAATCTTGGTGGATTGCTAGGGGCCAGGACACTACATACCAGGGAACAGAAGGCAAGCAGATCAACGCCCGTCGCCGCATGAAAGCAGGAATGCGCAGCAACGACCCAAACTATGTGGAAGAGGTGTATGTCCGGACTCCTGCTGTACGTCACGCTGCGACTGCGGCCAGAAAGACCGCCGAGAAGAAGGCCGAAAAGAACGCTGAGAAGAACGCTGAGAAGAATACTGAGAAGAACACTGAGGAGGCCACTGAGGAGGCCACTGAGGAGGCCACTGAGAAGACCGCTGAAAAGACCACTGAGAAGTAGTGTGCGGATCTCTTCGATTTCTTGAGTACACTGCTCAGAGATATGTCCGGCTGCGAATGCAATCAAGAAGACGACTGAGAAAGAGTGTGCCGATATGTTGGATTTCTTGAGTGCGCTGCTCAGAGATACGTCGTGTGTGCCGCGTGTGCAAACTTCTCTCTGTGAAGGGAAGGAGAAGAAGTGGCTGTATGGAAGGTTCACGACTCGGAGCCGAAGTTGCAGAGAGCTTGGCGCCAAGCCACCACTAGTCATGAACAGATAGCACACACAGAAGAGACAGCCAATGAGCATCAAGCATGATTCATGCATATCAACTTGTCTCCTCCCCTGCCTTGGGCTCTCAACTGTAGCCTAGGTGAGCAACGGGCGAACGGGCGGCCCGGGTTTGGAAATTTCAATTGTTTTACGAACAATGCACAGAGAGCGCTGAGGTCGCCTAGCTGTGATGCTCAGCTGCAGCGCCCTCTTCCTGCTTTTCATTGCTTACTAACTCATTCTGATCCTGCAGGAAGATACAGGACCCCCGGACAGGCCACTGGTATCTGAATTGTGTTTCCTTCCCCACACCCTGTCGCTCATGAATGCCTCATTGTCCTCATTTCACTCCTCAATCCTCTTACCCTGCTCGTCAAACCTCACCACCTTACCCGTCAGCAAACTCTCCTGCAAGGCGCGGCCGATTTTCATGACCTGGAACCCGGTGTCAAGCGGCACGGGCACGTCCTTGTTGTCGAGCACGGAGGCGACAAACTCGTGGGCCTCGGTGGCGAAGGCGTCCTCAAACCGCTGCCAGTACTCGGGCTGGACCTCGTGGCGCATCCCCGTGCGGTCGGCGACGATGACGTTGTTGGCCTTGGGGATGACGTTGACCATGACCTTGCCGCGGGTGCCGCTGACCTCGGTGCAGACGTCGTGGCCGTGGGCCTGGGTGCGCGAGCAGTGGAAGTAGGCGATCTTGCCGCCGTGGAACTCGACCACGCCGACCCCGTTGTCCACGTCGTGGCTCTCGGCCAGCTCCGGGTGGTGCTTCAGCGTGCCCACGGCGAAACACGATTTGGGCGCCGGGTTGTCCATGAACCACAGCGCCAGGTCGATGTCGTGGATCGTGCAGTCGACGAAGATGCCGCCGTTACGCTTCGCGTACGCCACGAAGAACCCCGTCTCGTCCAGCAGGTCGCACGTGTTGCTGCGCACCAGGTACGCCTCGCCGATGGCCTGGGATTTGACCTTTTGGTATGCGTCGCGGTACGACGCGTCGAAGCGCCGCGAGAACCCGGCCATCACTTTCAGGTCCGGACGGGATTTGGCCGCGGCGATCGCGGCAGACACCTGTACTGGGCCAAGGGACGAGTCAGTGGAGACTTTGGAGGGAGCCGACTGGAGAGCTGGGAACGTACTTCGTTTAGATCCGTGCTCAGCGGCTTCTCGCACAAAACGTGCAGTCCCTTCTCCACGGCCTTGATCGTCTGGCTGGCGTGCACGTCGGTGCTGGTCGAGATCCAAACCGCTTGCAGGCCCTCGTGGCTCAACATGTCCCCGTAGCTGTCGTAGACCTTGACTCCGAAGTCGATGTAGTCCTTGTTACTGCGGGCCCATTCTGTCTCGTGAGGAGCCGCGCTGCAGACTGCGACCACCCGTGCGCGGGGGACGCGGTTGATGAGAGTTGCAACGTGGCGTTTGCCCTGTTGGAATAGAGCATGATTAGCATTGTCTGTGGGGCGCTAGAATGTCTTCACAAATCCAACAAGCAGCGACGACCGCCAGGAGTGAAATCAAAACGTAAGACGAAATAAGAAACTCGTTAGGTGAGAACATGGTGCTTTTTTCGAGGTTCGCACTCGAGGAGAAAGGGTTCGACAAGCAGAAACTCACCATCCGCCCAAGGCCCGCCACGGCGATGTTGAGCATCTTTCCATTGGATTCCACGTATGACCCCATCGCTGCCGGTAAGAGCTGTGTTCTCTCGAACCGGGGTTTGTTGTGTCAAGAGTTCTGCGTGAGAGGTATAGCTTTTTGCAAATTCTGCAGGTGATCGGTTTCCGTTCTTCGAGTGCTAGTTCGTGGAGTGCGTGGTGCTAATCCGTTAGAAAATGGCACAATGGGCCCCTTATTTCGTCCTTCAGTTCGATGGGCTGGGGGCTGCTCTGGGGAACTGGACAGCTTTAAATACGTACTCAGATACTCGGACGGATTAAATGTAGCTTGACTCGTCACATCTGCTGACTATCGATGAGCACGATTGATATGGTGTGGTTGCACAGAGCTATTGAGAGGACCCATTTTGTTTGCGGGACTGGGGGATCAGTCTTCTGCATGGCCGAGGATGGATTGGATGTCCAGAATAACGTGTTGGTTGTGCTCCTACTGGCCGGCCATCTCTACCTGGCGATGCTTCGCTTGACGCAGGGTCCATGCAGAGGTCGGCAGCAACAAACCATTGAAACCAAAGCTGAACGTGTCGGCGGCTTGTAAGGAGTCGGTTGGGCTTCCGCTTTGTTCAGCATAGCCGACCGACCGTTCTGGAGGAACCCTGCCGATCGGGACTTGGGTTCAGCATTTGGCATTGGTCTTGGAATATGGATTTCGTCTCACTCGGGCGTGGTGTTTCCGGAGAACCATGGATTTTTTTGTTTTGGAGGGCGGGCTTGGAGGGGAACGAAAAGAGGAAATGTTCTCCGAGTGGACGGGGCCCTGGTTGATGACATACACTGGGGAACATGAAGTGAACGACGTCTTTATACCGAAATCGTGGGAAGAGAGTGTGCGTGTGTCTGGTGGTTCTACTATGGTTCTATGGAGCAAGAATTTTGTAGACGTAGGCTTGAAGAATCAATAATGATGCTATCTACCCATGTCGTCAAGTAAAAGTCCCAAGAATACTCTCTAACCAGAGCACACCAAACCTTTTCCGGATTGATATCGAGAATGTTCGCTCGCCCGCTATGCTACCAGCCCATGAGGGAAAAGTGGGAAGTCTATGTCAACGGCAGAATCCTTTCTCGCAAGTCGCAGCTCCTAGGATTTGTCCGGGAAGCCGAAGTCGACGCCGAACGCGGGATAGACAAAGCGAGTGACGCCGTGCTGGGAGATTTCGGCCAGCGAGGCAAGGTCGTCCTCGGAAAGTGAGACGAGTTTCTTGTTCTCGTCAATGCGAGAAGGTGTGACCGACTTGGCAAGCACAGAACTGCCTCTAGCGATGTGGTAACTCAGGAGAATGCAGCCTGGTGTGACGCCTTTCTCCTCGGCCAGCTTGACCACGTGCGGGTCTTTCATCAGGGGGCTCCCCGTGCTTCCTAGAGGGCTGTAAGCGGTAATGAGGATGCCTTTCTCCTTGCAGTAATCAACAATCTCTTGCTGGGGCAGCAGCGGGTGGTTCTCGATCTGGTTCGTGGCCGGAACCACCTCGACGTGGGGCAGCAGCTCCTCGAGATATCGCTTCGAGTAGTTGGCCACACCAATGGCCTTTGTCTTTCCGGTCTTGAGCAACTTCTCCATGTCCTTGTACGTGTCGACGTGGGACCTGTCTCGGAGTAGGTCCCTTGACCCGTCGGGCAGTTTGGGGAATTTCTCGTCGTTGCCGTTGGGGTTCATGGCAATCGGCCAGTGTATGAGGTAGAGGTCCACATAGTCGAGGCCCAGCAGCTTCAAGCTAATGTCCAGATTTTGCTCCACCCTCGTATGATATGTGCACCACAGCTTGGTCGTGATGAACAGCTGGCTTCTGGGGATGCCCGCGGCGGCGAGCCCCTCCTTGATCCCCTCGCCCACTTCTTTCTCGTTTCCGTAAACATAGGCACAGTCGATGTGGCGATAGCCCGACTTGATCGCGTACGCGACGGCCGCGCGGACTTGACCTTCAGGGCTCTGCCATGTGCCTACAAGCGTTTGTTAGCCCACGGTCCTGCGCGGGGATACTGGTGAGCAAAGGGGACGAAACATACCCAGACCCAAGGCGGGAATGGTGGCGCCAGTGTTGAGCTTGAGTGGTACGTCAACCATCGTATCAGGTGAGATGTTTGGGGGGGATGCTATTGTTGTCTTCGAGCGACTTGCATATGCGAATTTATTGCAAGAGATAGTAAAGCCCTGAGTTGTCGCGGAGTAAAAATATGTGGCCGGCGAAATATTTCCGATCTGGGACGAGGCATTACCCCGCGATCTCGGGCTAATGCCGGCCGAGCCTGAGCCCGAGCTAGCGGCCAGGTGCAATGTCCAAATGGAGCATCCTTTCTCCGTCGCACGTGAGTCTCTCTACATATACTGCCTGTGTCGCATCAAATTACCTATCTGATGTTCATGGTAGTTCTGGGCCGGGTGCCAGCATGCCATTCAACGTTTATGCGAGTCATGCGTGCGGAGTGCTGGACATCAACTGCTGGGTAGCATTTGAAATGATGCGGGATGGATCCCGGTGGATAGTGGGTTGTTGAATGGCCCATGGTGGATACTGTTGTCTTCCCCTTTTTCTCCACTGATGGGATCCCTCAGCCTCGCGCCCTTTCCTTCTGAGACTCAACAAGGAAACTCCGCCCGGACCCACCTGCCTCATTCTGAGCTTCCAGAATTCCTTCTCGAACTTCTCCTCGTCTTCGTTTTCCTGAACGCTGTGTTTCGAGAGAAAGAAGAGTATGTTTCACTGTGGGAGCCATGTGAACCCGGTGTGGTGATCAATCGGGTCAGCTGCGTTTTCGAAATGACCCCGGTTCCCGCGTATGCATACGAGTGTCATGGTCGGTGACACAGCATGAGCACTACTGTCGACCCTCCATCCCCGGGGTTGTCTATAGCCCCCAGCCACCTGCACGCCGCTCTCTGCTGTGTAACTATGCTTACCGACATATTTCACTCTGCGATATATCATTTTTCTTGACTTCCTTCTTTCTCTCACCGACTTTACTGAGTTCTCCCTTTCCCCTGCCTCATCAGGTGTGGCAAACCAGGAACGAAACATCCGTGTTGAAGGGCCGGGTCACGACGGCGAAGAGACACTGACACTTCATCGTGAACCATGAACCAACTTGACCAGGATATCACCCACCCGAAATTTTAACTACGCAAATATCGCCATCACTCCTACGATCCAAAGGAATCGAATGCGTCGGCCCGCTGTCGATGATCGGGCTAGCGTTTCCCCTAGGCTCCATCGGCGTCTGGCCAGCTCGACTCCAGCGTCCAGATCCGGTAACTTTCACCTCCTGGGCTTATCACGACCAGCATGTATGTCATGCCTTTCTTGTGGGGTCAGGGTCCGCATAATCTTTGTCTCAATTTATCAATTGTTTGCGGCATCACTGGACGACTACTCAGGTGATTCCTTGAAAATTCATTCAATGTTGCCCATCACTAACTGGTATTGTGATCCAACAGAATACCTATGGCGTATATTAACCTCTAGCGTGGCATCCGATCCCTGCTCATCTCTCTACAGCCATTCTGTTTGCGCCCGCTGTTTGTCTAAGTGCCAAACAAACCATAATCAGAGGCCTCAGCTTTGGACTATATAAGTCGGAAGTCAGCACCAGGGCCAGGACGCTTGTTCTCTTCTCAACCTGCTTATACAATATCCGTTTCAGCAAAGGACGAGCTCTGATACTGTTTCTATACGACGGAAACTTCTGCTATATTTCGAAATGCCTGCCGTTCTTCTTGACCGGGCTTCCCACCCTCCTTCCTTCCGCAACGACCGAGACGGTCTCGCCTTTGAAGCCCTTTGCGACGAGATTGAGCAGGCTGACATTGTGGCCGATCAAGCCGTCAAAAAGCAACAGCAGCAAGCAGAAGAGGACGAGGGCTCCAAATTTGACGCCGACAAAGACAAGACACAGTTCCGCCAATATGAAACTGCTTGTGACCGGGTCAAGAACTTTTACCTGGAGCAGCACACCAAGCAGACAGTAGCATACAACCTCAAGGCTCGACACAACTTCCACTCCAAGACCCGCGCCGAGATGTCCATTTGGGAGGCCATGGAGCGCCTCAACACCCTCATCGATGAATCTGATCCCGACACCGAACTTGGACAGATCGAACATCTCCTCCAATCTGCCGAAGCCATGCGCCGTGATGGGCGACCTCGCTGGATGCAACTCACGGGTCTAATCCACGACCTGGGCAAGCTCTTGTTCTTCTTCGATGCTCAGGGGCAATGGGACGTTGTTGGTGACACCTTCCCTGTTGGCTGTGCATTTGACGACCGCATCATTTACGGTACCAAGTCCTTCAGCGCCAACCCAGATTTCGACAATCCGATCTACAGCACCAAAGAAGGCATTTACTCACCCGGCTGCGGGCTTGACAACGTCATGCTCTCTTGGGGTCACGACGAGTATCTATACCATGTCGTCAAAGATCAATCAACTCTCCCCGATGAGGCGTTGGCAATGATCCGGTATCACAGCTTCTACCCATGGCATCAAAAAGGCGCTTACAGAGAGTTCATGAATGAGAAGGACCATGAGATGCTCAAGGCTGTCAAGAGATTCAACCCCTACGATCTTTACAGCAAGAGTGATGAGCGACCCAGTGTTGAGAAATTGAAGGTATGTCGTATCCGTTTCTCTTGTTGGTTCAAGCTCTGACGCGTCGTCTAGCCGTACTATCTGGAGTTGATCGACGAATTCTTCCCAAAGAAGGTCATTAAGTGGTAGAACTCGATACCATTCCATTTTCCGCGACTTGAGCCACGATGCGGAAATTCTTTTCCTGCTTCTGCGAAGTGCGGCATATGGCAAAATCTCCCCGAAGAGGTTCTGTTTTGATTTTTGGGGCTTTGTATGGAATTTATAAATAGACCACCACTTGAGCGTTGCTGGAGGTTGAGACTGCTGCCACAATCTACATATACGGGCCGGGTCATTCGAAGATCGTTGAGGATCGACCGAGCGATCGCCACATGGACATAGAGACATCACATTGCCAGAGCTGAGTTACAGCCTCTCAACCGGAATTTTTGGCCGGAGAATACTGCCCTCACCACTGACTCTGCGTCGCCCAGCTCTCTATTGTCCGATTTTGAGCCTCGCCCGCCTTTCTGAACTGCTGGCCCGAAGCTCCTCCACCGAGCACTCTGACCACAAGAAGACGCATTAATAAGCCTACACTGACTATCTGCAAAACAGAGGAGGGGCTGATCAGACACAAGGAATTATTGCTGGGGTAAAGCTGAGTCTGTGCTAGCGGAAAGGACCTTGCATGCAGGTGGGAAGACCCTGCATGTGGGACGCCTTCCGAACCTTGTCTAAAAGGAACAACTATTGCAGGGTATTTAAAGACATGGCCTCATCCACTCCTCTGTTCGCCGATGAAGTTGGAGAAGGCGACTCACGGAACTTTCTTCCACTTTTCTTTCAATAAACGTGATTGAGCGCCCGGCGCAGACCACGATCGGCACGACCGACCGTCGACGCTACACCAGCGAGCGGTAAGCTGTCGTTACACAACATATGTAGGGCCCATGCACCAGTCGTGCACTAGACTTCGCGACGTCGCACCGCACACTCCGCCGCTTGATTACGCACATTCGCCAACAGTCTTTTGGCTCTTCGCAACGCACCCTTTGAGGTTCCACAACACTCGACGTGCTTCGGGCGCTGTGTCCCGGATCTGCCCCCGTGCGCAATGTTGCACTGCAGCTGAAGGCTCTGCCCATGGCAGAGGTGCATGGACCGGTCGAGACGGCCCTTGCGCGACCGCCCCCCGCTCTGCACTGCTCTTCAACAGGGAGGCATCGAACCATTTCCGGTGCGTTCAATGCTCAAGACAGCGCCCTAGTTGTCATACTCGGATTTTTCTTTTCCCGACGGCCTCGCCTCCCCATGGAGTTGGAGTTACTGATCGAGATCCTCCTTTTCAGGCATTCGAATTCCGAGATGGGCTTCGGGCTTCCCTGGAAAGGCAATTTTTCTCCGGCTGGTCGTTTCGGAGATTTTCATCCATCCTCACGGTCTTGCTCTGGTGCTAGGACGTGAGGGTTTGCAACGTCGTCGTTGGCTCGTGGGTAGATTTACCTTCATGACGAAGTCCGTCAAATGGTGTTGAAGAGGAGGACGACACTGCCGAGTACGTTCTCAGCGTCCTTGATCGGCAATGGATATAGGTAAGCTGTGACTCTTTTCAGCCCGATCTATTCGCTATCGAACGAAATAAAGCGAACGAAGTGTCGAGAATTAACATCGTCCTGAATCATGGTACTGAGCTACCGAGGAACAAGAAGTGAGCTTTAAATCCTCTCATGATGGACTCTAATGAGAGCCATTCGTCAATTAAGAAGGTTGTTGGATTGTGAAGAGGTGCAGGAGTATAGGCTATATATAAATTATTCTGATTATCAGGCTGCTATGTCTCAATAAAGTTGCGGGTCAAGTGTAGCGAGTGCTAGTCAGTCGCTTCCCAGACCGCAGCAAGCAAACGTGCTCCCCGAGTTGGACCTTGCATTGCAATTTCAATGCCTGAGCCAAATCTTCTAGGTTCTCCGCGATAGTATCGTCTGGTGGCTTGTCCCTATTTATATGAGCGAAGGTCCTGGAGAGCAGTTTGAGGTTAAGTCTAGAGCACAGTAGATGCAAAGCAAAAGTGGTGACAGAATGTCGTCCAGTGATTTCTTTTTTCTGAGGCAATACTAGTCTTCTGATATTTTTGTCGTCCACACTAGAGTCAACTCCGTATGCTGGAGGACGAATTGCTCGAGACCAGCGGCGGGATAGCTCCGGCAGAAAAGGGCACAACAGGAAGCCTTCCATTGAGGAAGTCATTGACGAGTGCGGTGTAGTATCGAGCATACTGGAAGATATGTCCGTGGCCACTGCTGGGAAACATGGCGAAATTCGCTCGAGGCAGTTGTCGAGAGAGGACGAAGGAGTTGTGGGTCGGCACGATCAAGTCGTTATCCCCCGCGGTGACGAGCGTATCCTTTTGGATGGTCTGTAGAAGAGAGTAAGGGACCAGGTCGGCATCCCAGTTGAGGTACGGCTGGGTCAGCGTCATGACATCGGTGCCACTGGTAAAGGATGCTATTTGTGGTTCCCCGTTCTTTCCCGCCATGGAAGCTCGAGCCGCCAGGCTGCGGTTGAGCCACGCAAGGCCCATGTCGCCCGTCGTCCATGGAGGAAAGAAGGCATCAGCGATAGACAGAGGATTAGGGACGGGCTGGAAGACGGTAGACTGCACTTCGTTCATGGGCCGTTGTAGGTCAGGACCGAGGCTGGGACCGGTGCCGGAGAGTACAAGCTTTCGCACAACGTCTGGAGCGTCCAGACAGAGTTGTTGGGCGACATAGCCGCCCATGGAGAATCCGAGCACGTCGACTTGGGTCGCGTTCAGACTCGGAAGCATGCCTTGAAGAAACACGAGTAGGTTCAGGGCGAAAGCCTTGATGGTCGATCCGATTGGGCCAGAACTGTGACCGACGCCGCTATAGTCGTATGTTATGACCTGGCGACCGAGTGCGGTGAAGTTGTCGATGACGTACGGATCCCAGGTGTCAATGGTTCCTCGAATGTGGTTAAGGAGCAGTAAAGGAGGAGACGAGTTGGAACTGTTTCCTATGATTCGGTAGGCATATTGAACTCCTTCCGCGGTGAGGAACAGAGTCTTCGCGGTCTCCTGTGTGGCCATTCTGGTCAATTTTCCAAACGAATGTATGAGGTTCGAAGATGCAATTCACAAACTCACGGGATCTTCATTGCGACAAAGGCACGTTTAAGTACCCTCGTACCTACCGTGAGAGCTTTCAGTCTGCGAAGACATTGTTGCAAAATGAAATTATCTAGATTTGTGCTTACCAACCGACAAGTGATTTTTCATCATCGAGGCCTGCGAATGTTATTTCCAAGCTTCTCTTTTCAGACTGTCGCTGGCGGGCTTCACGGGCCGGGCATCCTACGGAAACTTAGCACAAGTCGTCGTGAAAGGCCCGTCGAAGAATGGCGTGGATACCTGCCGGGGAAGCTGCACATGGCGTAACAATGGTTTGGAGCACACGTCAATAGTTACCTAGGTACTAGTCCCCGATTCACATTGCGTAAGGAATGAATGAAGATCCAGCGCGCATCAGGCAACAGGAAAGAGCAGGGACTTCTCCAAGTACGAACGAAATAGTAACAATGATACCTAGGTATGCAGAGGCCAAACTGAGCCGCCTGGCAGTGACCAATCACCCAACCATTTCAGGAGTTGGTATCGGAACGAAACGAGGCAGAGCCGCACAGGTGTCGGTCCCCGTGCCAAAGTCTCAGGGTTGGTAGCAACAGCTTCGACTATCCTGGCAGCATACCTATCAACACATCCTGACGGGCAATCTTGGTAGGAAGACTGGCCACGTTCACGACGCCGCCTGTGGTGGCAATGCAACCACTCCCGGAGACGAATTCGATGCGGGTCCCCTCATGTCGCGGGCGGGTAGGCAGACAGCAGGCGCCAAATCTTCAAGGAAATGGTGGCCTTTGATGAAGGTGGTGTTTCACCTGAATGACTTTATGAGCAATGTTTCCATTTTGGCGGTCCGTACGACGGTGGTACATGAGAGGTCTCCCTCTCGGGGACCACAAAGGTTTGAACTCTGCCGTAGGCTTTGTGGCAACCAAATCCACGGTTTACTAAACGGACCATGGAGGCACCGATGTCGAGGACTCCATGAGAAATCGTAAAGCGCTCGAATTGCCCTTATAATGCAGAGCTCGGGCAGATCCTGGAGGTTGAACGAGCTCAGCTTCTCAAAAGTGGAAACAAGGCCAGACGCGCTACCTCTTGAGGCAATTGAAGCGCCATCTATTCCTGTTTGGGCATTGAGGTCGCGGTAATTAGAAGTTCCGCGTTTTCCCTCTGAGGATTGACATGCTTCTTTGGCTCACTCGGTATGTGATATAAACATTGGTCCCACTGTCGCGCTAGACCCAGATCTCTTTCGTCTCCCGAGGTACGCGTATTTTCCACGGTCTGGTTACCCTAGCTCTATCGGAAAGATGAGGCGGGATGTGTGCCCTGATCCTGCAAGGCAGGTTAGGCGATCATAGCACCGCGGAATCTATTGCCAGCGTGGCTTTTCCACCTCTAGTTGTTCTCGGTACCTCGTAGATAATCAGGGAAATCAACAAAGTTGGTCCCACATCTACATTTAGGTATCGCAAACATCTCAGTCCTTGAGATTCCTGCCCCCCTAGCCATCAGACCCGATCATCCTGGAAAGGAAGGGCGGACAGACTAATCATCGTATGCAAGGTCCTCTCTTCTCACGATCGTCCCGCGCATGTGCAAAAACCCGTTCAAGTCCAATGCTTGGAGCTGCAGGATTACCAGGAGGTAAGGGCAAGCCAATAGGAGACTCAACTATCCATCAGGGATAGAAAGAGACAATCAGAGTATGTTCGCGATACATCGAGGAAACAATTTACAGCTTTTGCTTCCATATAAACAGGTCTTCAGAGGCAATATTTTCGAGCTCACATCAGGAGGAACTATCGCTCTACCTGCTTTTCCACGCCCGTCAAGTATCGCACTGTCCCCGACAACGACGCAGAACACTTGATTCAGAATCCCCACAATTTGCCGAAAGATGCAAGCCAGCGCCCTGGTCACCTTTCCTGCCACACCGGGTGGCACGTTCGACTTGCCTTCTTGGACGCACTCAGCCAATCCAATGAGTCGTGAACATGACCTTTCTAGGCCTCCTCGAACCGGTCAATCGCAGTAGGTCCGGAAGTCACCGACCTCAGTGATCAGTAAACAGGAAACCCCTGAAGCGGGTCAGAGACGACCGTTTCATCCTATGGCAGGAAGCCCCAATCGGTGTCTAACATTAAGAACTGCCGAACAGCATCTGGGCGATAGTATGGGCTCCAAAGAGAGTCTATGTAAACGCCATGGATGATTAGTTGTCTCAGGGCGTGAAATCAGAATGGGAAAGCACACGTTGAAGTACTCACCATGCCCACCGCACCGAATTTGTCAGGATATGATTGCATTTTGAATCAACAGGAGTTCGCTGATGGTAGGTGAAGCATTGCCAAACGGCAGATAAAAGGCAGATCAGTCCTTGTCTGTGGCTATTGTCCTCGAGCTTGAAGTCCCTGTATTCCATCCCGCACATAGCAGACAATCGCCACTGAGAGTACATCCTCCGAGCTCTCCATTCATCAATCTCTAAATTCTTTTCAAAATGTCTAAAGGTTTCGTTCTGCTCACCGGGGCTACCGGCCACGTGGGCTATGCGAACCTCATCGAGGCGTTGAAGAAAGGCTACAAAGTGCGCGCCGCGGTGCGATCGGAATCGAAAGCTGCCCAAGTCAAGAGCGCCAAATCGACACAGCCATATCTGGACCAACTGACATTCACCACTGTCCCTGATATTGAGAAAGAGGGTGCCTTTGATGAGGCCGTCAAGGGCGTCGACTATATTATTCACACCGCATCTCCCCTGCCCGTTCCTTCGGACGATGACGAGAAGAATATAATCCGACCTGCTATCAACGGTACTTTGAGTATCCTTCGCTCAGCGCTCAAGGAACCTTCTATCAAGAAGGTAGTCATTACCTCATCCGTCGCTGCTGTCGTTCCTTCTGAGCCGGGCAAGGCTCCTGCTGTCGACTACATCGAGGCCGATCCTAAGGGACCATACCCGGACACTTTTGCCGCATACGCTGCCAGCAAGAAACTCACGCTGTATCGAACCTACGACTTTATCCGCGACAGCAAGCCCAAATTCAGCATCATCAACGTCATGCCAACCTTTGTGATTGGCCGAAACGAACTCGCCACTACTCCCCAGGCCATTGTCGCTGGCTCAAACGCACTCGCCTTGGGCCCAATTCTTGGGAACAAGAGCGACTCTCCAATGCCGTCATTTGTGTGCCATATCGATGATGTCGCATTCGTCCACGTCGCCGCCCTAGACCCCAAGGTTACCGGGAACCAGAACTTTGGCGTGAATTATACGTCCAGCACACCCATCAACTGGGACGACGGCATTGAGATTGTTAAGAAGCACTTCCCTAAGGAGGTCGAAGCGGGCGTGTTTCCTCTTGGAGGCACGGCTCCTTCTGTCCAGGTCCCTTTCGATGCGAGCAAGACCGAGGAAACCCTTGGGTTGAAATTCAAGGACTTTGAGGAGCAAATCGTCAACCTCGCATCGTGGTATGCACAAGCTGTCGCCAACGAAAAGTAAATGGCATAATTTACAATCTCCGAGAGGGATACAGATGGCTTGGCCTGAATGAGAGTATCGACCGCTTTCTATTAGCACGAATCCACGCAGACACATGGCCGATACCTTGTTTCAACTTTGCAATGTCGAATAGTCCACTCCCAGGTGCGGAGCATTCGAAAGATCCCGACTTTCGTATAGAGTGAGGGAATCTAGACCGTTCCATAGTTACATATTCAATCCTCTCTCTAGGCACTGCCGCTCCCTTTGGAGTGAAAATGAGTGAAATATTTGAGGGCAATCCGTTAACCTGATCGGACTCGAAATCTAGAACTTCCTCTTCCGTAGGGACCAAGTGAACTTGTTGAACTGCTGAGATATAACGAGAGAACAAAGGTCCCCACCTCTCTATCGAATGTACGAGTACAAAAGCACTAGAAAACGCACCTGCAACTACCTGCCGGTGACGCGTTGTAGCTGCCAGTATACATAAGGCTACGGTCCTGGACGTAGATACACGGCTGAGAATCCTGGACTTTGCTTCGTTACGAAGAATCCCGACGATCTAAAAGCTTAGGTAGCCATATGCCACTCCTTGCAGCCTTGAAAGCTACCTCAGCATATGAGTTTGTAGCTCGGATGCTGCAAGAAAGGTTGCTCGGGGCTCTGTGACCGGTTTCCATTGGACCTATCAATGCTATACGCGGAGGAAAGCGGAGGAATCAACCTGATATGGGCATGACGGCGCCGTCGCTTTGTAAGACTACTGTGAACTGTGCCTCTTAGTGATCTGAGCCGATTACGGTCTTCGTCTGTTCCTCCAAGAGAGCCAGTTTCCCCAGATCAGTGGAGTCTCCCCACATGCTACTATCTGTTTACTGAACGACGGGCATCACAACTCCATGCCGGGTCTGCCACTTATGCTTTGCTGTCTCTGGGAGCACTAGTAGAAGAGTGAGTTCTTTGGGTCGGGTTGATGGCGATAAATACCCCAACCCTGGTCTGTACTCATTCCCGATCGCCTTCCATCCTTCTCCATTTCAGCTCGTTCTGGGGTGCCTCAGGCAGAGCCAAAGTGTTGCTGCTCTATGAACTCACCATCCAGTCTTTTTATCAACCATCATGGGCGTTACAACTGTCGTCGATCCTGTCGCCATGGCACGGGTCACCTATCACTCGAAGACTGACTTTGCGACCGCCGAGGCGCGTGTTCGGGCTTCACTTCAGAAGGACCCCAGATGGTTCAAGTTCCAGGACAACCCCAGTGAAAAGGCCACGAGTGCCGAAGAGTTCGAACGCTTCATCCGCCCTGGAATCGGCCCCCACGGATTCATGTACTTTACCGAAATCAACCACGGGCTCTGGATGCGCTGGTTCGACGTCCCCACAGCAAATGTCACCGACCCCAACACGGGCAAGCTTCGCCACCTCCGCGCAATCCGATTCATCATCGGGAACCCTCTCCTCGCACCCATCGTCCTTAAGCATGACCTCGACTGTGGTCTCTCCGTGCCAGCGGAGTTGTTCCTGGTCGAAAATCCAGATGGCACAGTGCACTTGATCAGATTCAAGATTGACTGTCTGATCGCAGGACATTTGAATGCGAATGCTCCTTTGCAGGAGAACGCCAGGTTCATTGACGAGAAGATCGATCAGCTTTGCAGGCATGTTGTGGGCGATGATGAGGTCCCTCGGGCTCAATCATAAATATCCCCGGTTGAGCCCAACTGGAAAATATAACTGGGCTTACCAAAGATGTCCTCTTCTGTGCCAAGTTATGACACGTCTAAGGCACTCAATGAGAATACTTCCCCGTAAATTCCTGCTATCCCTTATATTTGTCCTCATCATTCAGCTTTCTTCACTGCGATACAATTCTTCTTCTGAGAAAGTCCGCGTCTGGTCATGTGCCCATAAGGGCAAAAACATTCGTCCACAGTGGAATGCTAGGGGTTAGCATGGCCTGGACATTCATATGCACCTTTCGGCCTCGCAGAGATTGAGGACTCTGGTCGCGTGGCAGGGTTGCCCATACTCATTTATGATTTCGAACAAATGACCACACTCATCTGCGGCTTCATCGTCCGATCGTCCTGAACGTTTAGAATCTTCCTCATTTGACTGCAATACTGTCGTGAACGGGCAGATCAGGTTTCTGTCAAGACTGCAGGAGCAGACCTCAGACTGTAAAAGAGTACCCAGGTAACAAAGAATCAGACAGATCATCAAGCAGCATTTATAGAGGTCCGTACGTAGGCGTTAGGCGGACTTCACATTGGCATTGAAAGGTGGTGTTCAGCCCGCTTGGGATGTTTGCCCGGTTTGTCGTGTTTGCTGCCCTTGGGTTGCGACTGCGCGAACACCGCCGCGAGATCACAACAAGTGTCCTGAACTGGGGAGGACAACAAACAACCCGCAGTTTTTCCCGTCTTCCAAACCTCACCAGAGGCCATATTAAGCAGAAAGAGATCGGAAATGGTCAAATCGACGCAAATAGCAAGGCTGGATGGTTCGTGGTCTTTCCTCCCTTTCTATTCAGGTGTGGGAGAAAAGTGGCTGACCGTGCGCCTTCTTTACAGGCCTCATGCTTGCGGCCTCGGTCGACGACGAACAGGTAAGCGTGACCCCCTGCTTCTGGTATATACAAAGGCACAACTTGCTTACAATAGGAGTACAGGTCGAGACAGAGCTCGCCGAAGTCAAGTCGCAGGCAAAGATGATATTCCGACGGTTGAACCGCAATTCGGAACAACAAGCAAGCATAGAATCAGGGCAATATACGCTCCAGTAAGCCTGCAAACCTACAACCTGGGTGTCTGTTTGCTCACGCCGACTCAGCTACATCATCAAGGACTCCGTGTGCTTCCTATGCATTTGCGACCGATCCTACCCGCGGAAACTCGCATTCACCTACCTCTCCGACCTGGCGCAAGAGTTTACAACCATCTACCCTTCTCAGCAATACCTGTCTCAGACACTGCGGCCTTACGCATTCGTCGAGTTCGACACGTTCATCCAGAGAACCAAAAAGACATATCAGGACAGCCGGGCCAGCGCGAACCTGGACAAGCTGAACGACGAGCTAAAGGACGTGACGAAGGTCATGACCAAAAACATCGAGGATCTGTTATATCGGGGCGACAGTCTGGAGAGGATGGGGGAGATGTCTGGCCGACTGAGAGAGGACAGCAAGAAATACAGGAAAGCCGCCGTGAGGATCAATTGGGAGTTGATGCTGAAACAGGTACGTTGGAAGGATTCCCATTGAAGAATTTCGATTCTGATATTCGCAACCAGTACGGTCCCTTTGCTGGCCTCGGCTTGATCATCCTCATTTTCATCATCTGGAGATTCTGGTGATGGGGCCCTCCTTACCAAATCAGGCTGATTTGTATGGGTAAAGGAACACATGGTATTCTTTTTGGGGACCTTTCTGCGGTGGCGGATGACTGCTGCCAGTTCGAATTTTGAACCCACCAGTTTCAAAGGTAGCCGGCACTTCTGCTCAGATCTCATCCTCTTCTTCGTCAAAGTCATCCTCAACACCCATGTCATACAAGATCCGCCCACCCTCGCCCGCTCCGCCGCCGGCTTTCTGAGCATCGAAGTACGGCAGCACAACCCCTTCTCGCTCGAGGCGTTGGCGCTCTGTCAGTCCCAACTCGAACGTCATGCCCGAGAGCTCCTCCACGCTCTCTCCCTCATCCGACTTGCGGAACAATGGGTGGTCATCCAGTAGAGTGACGATCTCCCGAAACGGCTGGCCGTCGCTCTTCTTCATCGTGCCTCCGGACGTAGGCAAGAAGAACCACTCTCTGACTCCCCGGCCACTCCTCCTACGGTGCTCCAATTCTAACACAACCCCGCGTTCGCCCTGATTCAATTTCGTCAGAGACTTCGGCTTCAGACCGATTACCACGCCCTCGGTCTCTTCCGAGAGGCCAAAGGACGGCGCAGCGAGGGATTTTGAACGGGCAGACTTTTCGGCGAGGAGGATTGGGAGCGAATGTACCGTTATCACTGTGGTGGCGAGGTATGACAACAGTGAGAGGGGAGAAGGCGAGTATGAATTTGAAAGCACCGCAGATGGTATGGTCGAGGGAGGCGGAGACGGTAAGGGGACGTCAGTGTGGTAAACAGCGACTAATGAGATTTGTGGGCCCTCGACCTGCTCCGCACCTTTTGTCTGGAGCGCCGGTGGCTGGAGCAGGGAGGAGAGGAATGCCGTCAGGTTGAGATTCGCTGTCGGCTGTATGGAGAGAGATGCCAGTGTCGTCAGGGAATCAATCATGATCAAGAATCCTGCGTTTGGATCAGCATAATCGACGCAATAGAGCGATCTCCAGGAAAGCCAAAAAACCCAAGATAGAACAAGGACGAAGGAAGACGTACTCTTTCCTCCACTCCGCCGAAGAATATCACCCACCTCCCTTGCGATCTTCTCTCCCGTCCCCATCCCTGCCCGTCTACCTAGTCCTAGTCCCTGCCCTTGCCCTTGGCCTTCGTCCTGACAATACCGGTAACAAGGCACAAAGTAATCCGCGCCGACGGGCTTTGTGAGGGTCTCGAACCCCAGAAAAACCACCACCACGCCGGCTCCCCTCGACAACAGTCGCGCCCGCCGGAGATACTCGCGCGTCAGCGGCCGCGCGGGCTGCTCCAGCGAGTCGAGAACCAGCGTGAACGGCGAGGTTTGCGCGTGCTGCTGCTGGGACAGCGACAGGAGCTTGGAGATTAGGAGGAGGTTGTGGGTGCGGCGGTGGGGGAGGGGCGGATGGGACATTTGTTTAAAAAGTGAGGAGGTAAGTGATGGATAGGTAAGAAAGAAGAGGAAGGGGAAAAGAAAAAGTTGGATAAGCGGTATATCAGCGGGCGGGGGAATTTCAGTATGAACTTGAAGGACGGGATTGTGAATTAATCCCGTGGAGGGAAAAGAGAGAGAGAGAGGGTTGTGATCCTCGAGGGGGGTTTGCAGCCTGGTCGAGAAATCACCTTGGGGGGAGGACGAGCCCGAGTCGATTCTTCCGCGAGCCTTGTGATGTTTCCTCGCTTCTGGCTCGAACGGTTCCCTTTCTTTCTTTCCTTTTTAAAATGAGTGCGTTCCAATATGCAGACTCTTCGAATCAGGCTTCACTTCCGCAGTTCCCCCTCGGTACTTGCTGCGAAGTCAAAACAGCGCTCGGTACAAAAGGTAGAAAAGGTGAACTGCAGGTGAGTTGCCCCCAAATTTTTCTGTATGGAACACCCCATTTTCGCTTATCTAATAGTTCTTGGCGCAAAAATCCATACATGCGCAAAAAACAAGGGGCTGTTCAGCCTTGTCGGCCCCGACCACTACCCCTTGATGAACGGGATTTGTTCATGTATGTCGATCGGTAATAGTACGAATCCGTGTACGAATTTGTTGGCATGATCCCTCGAGCTATAAGGCTCTACCGTAGCTCTACGGGAGACCATGGTAAGAGCCTTGAACGGATAGCTTCTGAACTCGAGGCTCGATCCGGGCCTGCTGCTTCGCCGACAATATATTGCTTAGGGACAATCGAACAGGGAGATATTTTTAGGGCGCTCGGGGCAATAGAGGGGTCTGATTCGCATGATGAATGCTATCCCATCTCACTTCAAACACTTGACGGAGTGACTGCGTTTGGGTGTAAATGAGTAAAAGTCGGTCCAGTCTCATGCGCTCGGGTTGTCGACTTTGTCCAGTCCTAGCCGACTTTCTGATACTGGCCTGGGAAAAACTCCTCGTTCCGTACAAGGGTATCATTAACAGCGACGACATGCCTACGATAGACCTCTACCGAGGTTTCAGGAACACTTCCCAAAGCTGCACTTAGCAGCCCGTAGAGTGAAAGATGCTGCTGAGTCGTGCCTGGGCTGATGGAGGTGTTGCCATGACTAAAGTACACGGCACTGCCATTCTGGCTCGTCGTCAAGCGGCTGCCATGGAATCTTTGGCGAGAACCAAGTCTCCCAGCGTCTTCTGGATGTGGCAGGTCGAAGGACTCCAAGCCGGTTGGGAACACTGAACGGCCACCAATCTCAATCACTTGAGCCCTCCTGAGTGCCGCGGAGATAGAGAGGGTGCCAGCGCTCTTGTCCTGCACGACGGTGCTGTTGACGAACAGTGGATAGTCGAAGGTACGAGAATAACCTTCTGATGATATGGCCCTGCCCGATGTGTTCTGCGCGATGACCTGGACATCTCCGAAGCTTGAGATATCACCCTCGTTTGAATATGCCAGATACTGCTGCCAGGCCGCAACTTTGGTACCGTGGGACGTCCGGACTTCTGACGAGATATAGAGTTGACGATCCACATTGACGGTATAGGACAGGCTACAGTTTGTTCCATTCGAAGTGGTGCTGACCGTGGATGACATGGAAATGGAGCAAACGGACACATCTGCCATATGATGGCCTCCGGTTGTTATGCCCCCTCCTGAGTCCAGCCAGACAAACATTTTGCCCGTGAGAACCTGGAGGAATATCAGCGGAGTATGTGCGGTCGCAGGGCCATGCTTACCCAGTAGCTGCCAACAGCCTCAGATAGAAGGCCGCCACCATTGCCGTCGTCATCAATTCCAACAATCCGAAGTTCAAACGAATGGCTTTCACCGTCGCAGAGCAACGGAAGCCAGGGTGTTATATCAATTTCATCTTCACGTATGTCGAATGCATCAATTCCCACGACCGGCCTCCAAAAGCCGCGGACGATGCCGCCGGTGAAGATGATGGGGAACGGCCACACAACCCCAGCCAAGTTGCCGTCAATCAATAGTTGTATCTCCCGGAAGGAGGAGTGGCCCAAGAGTGAATCGCTCCCGAAGGTGTCCACGTTTGAAGAAGGCACATTGGAGTACCAAAATTCTGCACGGAGATTGTCAGCAGAAGCCCCTTCTTCCAAAAGTCAACCCACCTTCATCCATCTGACCGGTCGCAGAGACGGTGACAACGGCCCGCTCCATGTTTCGTGGCAGTACCAGCGCGTTTGATGCTCTACCTAGGCCATAATTCCGAAAATTGGATTTGTTGCTCGCGCTCCTTCCAGCTGATATAGGAATGATCAGATCCGCCCGCTTCTCCAAGTCAGCAGTGGTGAAGAAGGTCGCCTGCAAGGTTACATTGAATGGGGAGGTATAAATTTCGTTCACCAGATTGCCCAGGTCAAAGACCAGAGTTTGGGGTTGAGCGAACAGTGACAAAAGATGGGACACATCCTTGACATACGTCCAGCTAGGGGCAGTCAGAACGGGGCAATCGTAGAGAGAAATGTATAGCTTACATGATACCATTGGGAGTCGGTTCCGCCGTGCTTGTTCGCCAGATCTCAATATCACCAAAGTACGCTACTGCCAACCGATCAAACTGCTTGCCAGCGGCGGTGACGGTGAGGTTGAGCGTGATTCGGTTGAAGGAGCATTCAGGAGGTGTGTAAGGCCCAACGTACGGCTTGCCATAGCTGTTTGCGAAGGAATGGGTCATGAGAGTCTGGGTGACGACGCATCCTGCCATACGAGAAACAAATGGTTTACCTGGTCCCCCATCGTCCTGAAGGAGTGCCCCTTGCACAACAGTGTCTGGTGTGATGACGGGCGGGTGAACTTGAAACACCCTCAGGACTGAAGACACGACGGCAATAATTGACTGCGCAGATATCCTCATCTTGGAGGATGCAATGGGCGAATAGTCATTGCCCTACATCTACCTCCAAGAAGGAGAAGGTGGTCAACATACGGACCACCAAATAGATCTATCTAATGCATCTGGCCACATCTGCTAAGACAGTGCAAAAGACAAAACTCCGCGAGAATGAAGTACGTTGAATGGTCTAATGCTCCGCCGAAATCTTCCTGCATTTCATCGACCCAACTTTCTGACCACCGCACCTTTTGCTCAATCCTCAGACAAATGTGATCCTCTCGAAGCTGCGCCAAATGGCGCCGGTACCTGCGCTTGAGCATGTCTCCAACCCGCTGGTTACCCCAGCACAGCTGCTCAAGCTCAAAAGCGCGGAGGACGATGACGGCCCGGCCACATGGTTTGCCCATTTCCAGTTGACCTCCGCGGCTGGCATCCTCCTCCGCCTCTCTCAGGAAGTCATAGCCCATGCCATAGTTCTGCTCCAGCGGTTCTTGGTATCTTCAGCCCCTGACGACCGTCGAAAGTTCAGTTCCAGAAACTACTCTGCCGCTGCCATCTACCTTGCTGCGAAAATATCCGCAACGCCGGTCTCACCTCGATCGGCCATCAACGTCTACGCCTACCTTACCTCCGAAGCCTCTCCGCTGAGATTTATCAATCCGGCTGGTGCCCCCACAGATGTGAAACCCAAGAGCTATTTCGTGTCCGAAGGGACGTATGAAAGAGAAAGACAGCGGTTGTTCGTGTGTGAAAGTATGATATTGGTTGGCCTGGCGTTCGACACACGGGTCGCGTTACCTTACAGTCTGGCCTTTACATACATGCAGGCCCTGGGCGTGGCCACCACCGAGCTGTCTCAGAGGGTTTTGGAGCATTTGAACGCAGGCCTTCTCTCACCTCAACTTCTCCACCTTACTCACCAACCCAATGCCCTGGCGGTGGGGGCCATCTACCTGGCGGCACGAGAGACTGGAGTCAAACTGGTAGAACAGAGTTGGTGGGAAGTATTCGACGTTGACAGGGAGGATCTCGGTTTCCTGGTCTTGTCTTATGGAAGTATGGCAAATTTCGCCCAAGCTGAGATGGACAAGTGGAAGGACGGATCTCTGGCATTGGACTGAGCTCACAATAGCGACTCCGCCCTGGAATCAGCAAGCGCTCTCATGCTCCGGTCACTAGTAACGACACCCTCGAGAGGCGCTCAGCAACACAAGGCCTTCCAGTGATATGCCCACGTGAGTTCTTTAATATGGGCCGGTTACTCTCAACACCAATGACCCTTCGTCCCAATTTCCCCGATAACATAATCCTAACTCTTCATCCGCCTAAATATCTGTCCGGGATCGTAGCGCTGGTCGGAAACTGTCGAGATCACAAGCCTTACTTGTTATCGAAAATGCCTTCGACGACGTCCTGAAACACCGTCGCGACGTCCTGCAGTCTCTCCTCCTGCGTTCGCTTCGTCACGCACCTGCTCCACCAAATCGGGCCTGCTCGACGGAACTTGTGCAGCTCACTCCTGAGGGATTGCTGCAAGTCCCATGTGCAGCACCGTCGAATCTGGCGCTCGTATGCAGCGTGAAGTTCCTCGAGGCTCCTGAATTTCCTCTCGAGAAGCCCGTCGACGACCTTCGAACCCGCCTCGATTATCATGGCGGCTTCCCGCCGCTCGTGTTTGCGGAAGCATCGCATGTGGCGCTGGACGAGCCGCTCTCCGTATTTGCGGATGATGGCCTGGATGTGATGGTCAGGTAGACCCTGAACCTTGGGTGACTGTTTGTTTCTCTTGCCTGGTGCTTGTTTGTTGATTGTCCAATTCCTCCCGTCATTGATCTCCGGAGTCGAAGCCTGCTCCGGCACAACTTCACTTCCGGAACTGCGTTCTCTCTTGTGATGAGAGCTTGCAGGAACCTGGCCGAAACTATCTTGTTGCCCGCTGAGGGAGATTGTCGATGGGGGAGTTTGAGAGCTCGAGGGATATTTCGGCAAGGTTGCGCTAGACGGGACCGTGGATTCTGGCCGGGTGGACACACTGGGCTGTGTCGACGCGATGCTTGAGTGCGGTAGGCCTGGCGAAGGACTCGGCTTGGTTACACGATCACGACTGGCCGCCGCTTCCTCGTGGTACTGTCTTGAAAACCAACCAGAGATATCGACCAGATCGGATGGAGGAAAGACTCGTGCGATATGTTGATTGCCGGCGGTTGGGGCATCGGTCGCCTCTTCTCGTCCTGGATTCGAGAAGTTTTCACCGCCTGCCGTGACTCTCTCAACTCCTGTGGCGCCGTCAACCGACTCCGGTCTCGATTGAAGCTGACTTTCGCGTGGAACGGCATCGACGTGACCGTTCAGTCTGGCGTGGCGCAGACGGAGTTCCAGCCTTTTGCGATCTAGATCCAACTGGCGTTGCTCGAGCTCTAGCTGCTCCAGCTCGGCGTCAATGAGCGCCTTATCGTCCATCGCTCTGAATACCTGTCTGGTACCTAGATACGTGAGGCTGACTAGCTCATCGCGCACTGTGGTGAAAGTGGAGTGAGGTGAAATGGAGGACAAGTTGTGGCCATGAATGCGCACTGTTGCGCCCAGAGGCCTCGAGTGTTATGTGAGATGAAAGTGACAGTCGGAGGAACAAGATTCCCTCAAGTGGGAATTGATAGGGAATACCTGGGTAGGGAATCTAAGCGCCAAGGACTCGAGCTCAATCCTTCCGCTACATACCTACCTACCTAGGTAGGAAGTACTGCTAAGTACACTGTGTAGGCTCTGGTAAAGCCTATCCGTTTCTCTCGTACCTAGGTAGCTTACCACAAATGAGAATATCATGTTTGAGCGATTCCTCGTCATCATCTCTTGTCGGAAGACAGTCCAAGTAACATAAACGCTACCAGAGAAGGTTGGCCTCTCAGTAATATCACTCTTCATCGCTCTTCCTGACCGTATCATGCAATGGGCACAAGTTTCACGCTTCCATCTGTTCAGTTACACAGCGCCATCAATATCTCCACCGCGGACTTCCAAGTGGACTGAGCCTCATTTTCCAAAGACATCTCAGCCAAAATTCAAAGCCTCCCTTTATTCTCCTTGACTCGATGACTCGGGTCGACTGGATCGGCTTTCCCTTGCGTAGTCGTGGGCGCACACCCTCGCATATTCTCAACAGTCACCCTCACTCGTTATCATTCAATCGGTAGTCATCATGCAATCCTCGATTTTGAACCTGTTCTCCACGATATCTCGGAAGACTTTGAAGAGAAAAGAAGTCCTCTCTTGCTGCTTGCTCAGCGCTTGACATTTCGGCCACCACCAGCGTTGAACTTCACGAAATTTCTTTAACTCCTCACTTAAAATTTGGCGAAGCTTTTTATTTTTCGCATTTGTCTTTATACACTCTTCAAATTCGTCGTGAAGGAGGGAGAGCGTATGATGTGCCTTTCCGTTTGTATTCCTGCGCATCTTTGACACCACTGTTGGTTTTTGAGAATAATCTGGTAGGTCAGATTCGACAGCCGCCATGTGCTTAAGGAGGAGTTGGGTATAATGCTGAACCAAATCGTACTTCTGAGACTCGGTCATAGGGGCGGAGTCGTCGACAGGCTGCTTTTCGTCCTTTTGAGACATTCGTCTCCGTTTCGCCCTGATGCCTGGCCCGCCCGTCGAATCACTTACTTCGGCCTCAGTGCCAGATTCCGACCGAACGAATAGGTCGTCGGCTCGCCGTCTTTGCTTTCGTGTGTGCGTTACTTTCATTGAATGAGCAGGCGGTCGACCGGTGAACGCTGCTAACAGATCTTCGTGGCTTTCCGGAGACCTCCTCTGAGAGGCAGATTCTGGGTCGTAAACTGAAGACTGGCCCCTCTTCATCTCCTGTTCTAACCGAGCTTCTTCAGGACTCGACCCCTGATGCAAACCGAACTGTGTGCCTAGACAAAGATTAGCCATTCAGGAATGGGCAGCGGGAGTATTGAATTATTTTTATGCTTACGAGGAGGTGTTCCCTTTTCACTCCCACTTTTGTCCAGCTCTTTTTGCAGCTCCTGGGTGGCGGTAGTCTCGACCGAACCAACAGTAGGATCCTCTGGGGCGGAGAAGGCTACGGTCGCGTCGGTTTGGAGTTCGGCAGAAGATCGATCCTGCGTGCTCGTGGGAGTTTTATCAGTACCGACGGGCTCAGCCTCAGATTTGACCACGACAACATCTTCTGTCGAGCTGGCGCTATCCTCAGTCAAGTCGACTGTTCTCTTGAGCTGCTCCAAGCGTCGTTTGACCTCCAGCTCCCGACGTTCAAGCTGTAGTTGACGTTTGTCAAACTCGATCTCTGCGAGCTCATATTTCAATAGTGTTTCATCGTCCATGATGATCTGGCGCCTCAGCGACTGAGTCGTGTTTTTGAGACTTTGTAGGTCAGGGTGGAGCTAAACGGAATTTGAGGAGGCCTTGAAGTCGAGCGATGCAGCGCGGTTACTTGTTTGGGTGGCAAGCAGTAAGAGGTGCAAACGGAGTGAAAGGTGAACATCACAAAAAGCAGGCCTTGTGATGATTTGGAGAAGTTGGGACCGGGTTGAGATCAAACAAACCAGGTGTTGAGGAGTCTGCCGGTTCTCAAAGTGCATTGTTATGACAATAATCAAGGACTGGCAGAATACAAAACTCCTGGGCGGTTGCCAGACCCTCAACTCACCTCACTTTCACTGGCGCTTTCTGGGTCATTTGATGCCCCGAAGTTGCGATACCACATGGTGTTTGGGAAGAAAGTAGATACCTGATGAGGAGTAGCCACTGCCATCTTCATGGTTCTGTATCACCGGCAGTGGCTAGGAGGCTGAAGTCATAGAATAATATAGACTACAAGGCTGAAAGGGACCTTCCTTTATCCGCCGCCTTCATGTGCAGTGGGGACAAGCTGCTTAGCACCTTGGCCTCCGCTAGCCTAGAATCCGGGCCAGAGTTCGATTCTCTCAGAGGACACTCTTTGAGGACTCTTTTTGTTCTTTTGGTGCTCTTGGGGGCTGTCTTGAGCTGGTGGTTAAGAGATATTACTTTTTTTCCCTAGTAGACTGGTACCGAGAGTACCTAGGCACAGAGTGAGTGGGTGACCAGTTCATGTTGATCAGTAAAACGCCATACAGTGAGCAGATTACGCAACTCTTCTTTCCATACATTCAGTCTCCTACAGTGTTCAGGAGATCCCACCCTCTAGCGTAGGAGAGTCTCGTAAGATTGCTGATGATTGACTGAAGTTCTAATTCTTACCACTCCTCGAAATTTGGCCACTGCTGAAACAATAACTACAAGCAACTTCAACTTTAGGCGGTCCTCACCTACATCAGCTGCCAGCACAATGTCGACCCGCACCGACGAATTCATCGCCGAAACGCTTGCCCAATACACTCCCCGCGCGGCCAATTATGACCTCTCCAACGGCGGTTGGCACGTGGAGCTGGGTCGAGATTTCGTTACCTGGCTGCCTCCTCCCAAGGGCGGCGCCGTTCTTGACCTCGCGTGCGGCACCGGCCTGGTCACAATCCCTCAAGCGGAGGCGGTCGGACCTGGCGGAATCGTCATTGGAGTTGACATCACCAAGGCAATGCTCAACGAAGCCAAGCGCAAGTCCCTTCCCGAGGGAAGCAGTGAGGTGAAATGGTTATTGGGAGACATCACGAACCTTTCCTCCGTGGAGGAAGTGCAAAAGGTCGTGAAAGAAAGGGGGGGCTTTGATGTCATTTCATGCTGTTCGGCGTTCGTATTGCTGGAGAATCCTGCAGAGGTAATCAAACACTGGGTCACCTTTTTGAAGCCCAGTACCGGAAGGTTGATTGTCGACGTCCCCACGGAGGATCGTAACTTACAGTACCTGCTTAACTATCCCCTGCGGCGCGCGTTGGGGAAGCCCATGGTCTACAACTTCGACTGGATCGAAGGTCTTCACACCCTACAGACGCTGTTTGAAGATGCCGGGCTTGAAATAGAAAAGTCGTTCCGCACAAGGAGCTACGTCCCTGAGAAATGGTACGGTGCGGATCAGGCGATGGACGCATTGGACGAAAAGACGAGTCAGAGCGGGCTGTGGAAGAGGATCTTTGACGGCCTCCAGTCAGAGGGAGGGACAGAAACCATTGACAAGGCCAGGCAGGCATGGGTGCGGATTTGGAAAGACCACTTGAATGAAGATGGGAAATTGTGGGATGGACACGCTTTGTACGTTTCAATAGGAAGGAGAAGGGAGTGAGGTGCCACCACATTTCCACTCACCCATGGTCTGTCGACCAGCGACGGCGTCGGCACAAGGACTCATCGTCGAACAAACACTACGCCTGCATCTTCAGGTCGACGCATCTTCGGTGTAATGACGTTCATCGAATCGCCCAGCACCTCCAACAACGCCGAGCTGGCCTGCTCTTCGGTCTTCATTTTCCCTTCTATGATCAGCGGCTTCAGACGACATTCGTGCAACAGCGTCGAAATGATGGCCACAAACTCGACTTGGCTGAACTTCTTCCCTGGACAGACCCTGGGACCAACACTCCACGGCACAAACGCCGCACCCGGCGGAGGGGGAGCGATCGACTCCTTTCCTGTCGCCGGGTCGACCATCACCCAGCGATGTGGGTTCCATCTGAGGGAGTTCTCACCCCACCAGCGCGGGTCACTTTGGACAGCGTAAAGATTGAGCGACACATATGTCTCGGGTGGTGCCATGATCTCTTGGCCCTTGACACGAAAGGGGTGTGGTTGTCCAACACACCAACGCTCCGTACTGGGCACCGGCCCCCAGAGACGAAGAGTTTCATACTAAGATCTGTGAGTTGGTACCACACGGCTTCGACAAGGCTCAACATACCATCAACGCCAGGCATCTCACGAGTTGTGGAAACACCACTTCATAGTCGAGCTTTTCAGCGTCTCTCCCTTTTAAGACGGCGTCGACTTCTTCGCCGACCCAGTCCTGGATCTCACGGTTTGCGGCCAAGAACGGGATCGTATATGTCAGTGCGTTTGCGGTCGTTTCAAAACCAGCCAAATTGAAAATATACAAGTTACCTAATAATTCGGCGTCGCTAAGGTACATTTGCTTCGCTCCTGCGCCGTGTGCGGCCTTCTTCTGTTCTCGTTTCGCTGCCTCGTCGGCCTCAACCAGAGCGCTGACGATGTCGGCGCCGCTACTGCTGCCGCCGCCCTGTGTGATTGCTCGATTGTATGCAATTATCTCCTTCATGTATTGAGTGAACTCGGCCGTCATGGCGGTGAGCTGTCGATAAAAAGCGGGCATTATCCAGCGGAGCACGGGTATGTTTTTGAATAGTACGCAAAAGAGGATGTTCTGCAGGAGGAACTTCAGTGACTCGGCGAGACTGGTTTGGTGGCCTTGCGGGATCTCCCGGAAGCCTCCATCAAAATCGTGAATGTGTCCGAACCCGGCGGCGGAGAGGACATGCATGGCGATCAGCACACAGTCGTTCCGGACGTCGAGCATCGTGCGGTGGGCATCTGCTTGGCTGGTCACTACCCCAATCATCTGTCTCGCTTGTCTCAGCGACTCTTCCCAAACGACTTTGTTGTTCTGTTCACGGAAAGCAGGGTTGACGATTCTGCGGTGACGCTGCCAGTCTTCTCCGTTGATGCTGATGACATTGGGCCCGAAGGATTCGAAGATCTCGTACAGAGGTGGAGGCTTGATCCATGATTTGTACTGGGTTTGCAGCTCGACGGCCGCGACGGGGTCATTGACCACGATCTCGTTCTTTTCGGGAGATACAACTATAAACACATCGCCGTACGTCTGGTGTGGACGATAACGCTCGTCTTGAGCCCAGGAATGGTAGCTGAAGACGAACATGTACCCTATCACAGGCAAGTGGCGGAGGTATCTGAAGTAGGGATAGAGAAGAATCCACCAGTCGTCCTGCCACGAAAAGGGAATGACAACGACGGGGATCCCCAGTCTCCTTGCCTGCCGGTAATTGACCACCAGTCCATAAGTGCGAGCCGCCAGCCAAGCAAGGATTGGGATGCAGATGAACGACAGTACCGTGTAACTCAATGCCATTGTGGAGTATAGCTATTTATCGCAGCACTGTCCGTGAAAATGGCAGGTAGGAGGAGAAGGTTGAGCTCAGTGATTGAGACGACCTTTGTAGCCGTGCATTGCTGGATGCCTAACCTAGCTGACCAGGATCGTATATCGTATTTCGGATGCCAACCATCTCGTATCCATACGTTTCGAACTTTCAGGGCCGTATACACGACCATCCTATTGGAAGGATTTTGAGGTACGAGTATGCTAAAAGACTGGGCACGGGAGGTCAAGAATCCGGGCCTCAGACTGGCGACGTCTAGGCGAGGCGCCAATCAGCCATACAATCCCGAGCCACAAGAGCCGAGACATGTAGCCTGTAGCGAGAAGCGTCGACCTACGCCGGTGGTGGTAATTCTTCAGATATGGCATTGTCCCGCTCAAGGCCGAGCCCGATACCAATGTGCGGGATGTGGAAGTGAACGGCCGCTTCTTAGCATCGTGCACGCACCTGATTGACATCAACCACCTCCCTTACTCGTTACCTCGTTTGATCATCTTTGCGCATATGATGGATAAATCCTGAGAGCAGCACCGGCAAGCGCATTGACGACTTTCGTCTATTACAAAAATGCAGAAAGTTCCCCAAAGTCTTTACTAGCACTTTACTAGCACTTCAGGCCACCGAACATGCCCGTCGGCTTCGCAGATCAGGAGAACTCCATCATTTGGTCCGGCGAGGCTGAGGCGAGGACCTCGGGAAGGATGCGGCGGATGAGGCGGGCGAGGCGGATCAGGCTGGCCGCTGGCCCTATGCGTGCCAAGACACGCGTCTACGAGTCTCAGTTTCGACCCCTGCCGCTTTCTCTCAGTTTCATCTTTCACCTCCCTCCTCCAACCCTGTCTCACCTTCTTTCACGAAGATAATGTCCTGCCACAGCAGCAAGGCGCAATGAACCTGCCTCTCTCCTTGCATCCACCCTAAACACCCGTCACGGTCGTCGCAATGTTCCTGGGAGAGCACCGCCTCCGGCCCAATGCTGCCTCTGTTCGGGTGTGAGATACCGAACGGGACAGTGCTAGCTCAACACAGCTACTTACATACGAGGGCGCGCACCAAAAGTATTGACCACGCTAATTTAAATGACATAAATGACAAGTAAGACACCATCTTTTTCATAGCCTCGAGGTCTTGTACCTAGAATATTAGGGGCTAGCCCCTAACCACTCTCTTAATCTAGTGGCAGCCACACCTAAGTTATAGGGACGCTATAGGCGTTGGAGACTTCTCCGACAACTCCGGGTATCGTCGTAAGGGGCAACCGGATATAAATAATTCTGTCTTTTGAATAGAGCTGTCATTCAAATGAGTTAGGTCACTACTTTTGGTGCGCGCCTCGGTACATGCTGAAGCTTTCCAAGTTTCACCTATCCACCTAGATCCAAGGTGCCCGTCTGCGCCTCTCAGTCGTACGCTTTGGACTTTCCTGCCTGACCGAGGGGGACTGTGTCGCTACCAGGAGTTGGTCTACGATTGACCCCCCCGCGACTTGAGCGCCTTGTAGGCTCAGATTTCCAAGGGCGTACATCTACATCGCACGGAACAAGCTGTATCACGTCCAACGTATGCATCATAGATACCGCAACCATCACATGGTGGCCCGGTTGTGGGCAACTTTGCCGCGTTCCAAGACGAAGGTACTGGCGTTTGAGGTCATGCAAGGGCTTCCCTGAGGATCCGCCTCCGCGCATGGCGCCATCGTGATCACTGACACTATTTCAAACCAGTCTATTTCCTCTTCAAACAATGTGTGCGGGCAGAATGCGCTGCAAAAGAACCAGAAAACCGCTCGCAATGACTTCTTGGGCACAGGAACATGTGCTTCTGCAAGAGATCCACTTGAAACTCTCGTATCATCACCGACTCTAGTTCTGCAAGAGCTTGGCTTCCGGATGAATCCCTACGGCCTGGAGCAACAGTGAGAACATAGAACGGATTACCATTGATACTATCATCATCCCTTGTCTCTGTCTACAGGAAAACTTGCGCTATATTGGGGCCAAACTTGCTATCCATGTCGACATTCCAGACTCATCTTGTCGCTTGCCCTTGCCGCGCAGAACGCCACTGTTACACTCGTTCATGCAAGCTGCGAGCTGCGTACTACTTCTATAGCTCTTCGGCACAGGTGAAAGCGAAGAAGGTGCCAGCATGGGTTCTCGAACGGAAGAATGGTGATAAGATACAGTCGTAGAAGTGTCTCATGAAGAATCCTTCGGCGGGCGCCTTCTACATAAACCTTACGGTAGGTCTGTCTGGAAGCTGGTTATCTATCCCCAGCTCGTGCTTGTGATTTCAGAATACACTTCAACCACGCAAATATTCTTATCCCCATTCTCATTCTCCATGGCCTCGTCCTCGAGGTCGCTCCGTTCGCCGAGGCAACAGTCTTGTCAGATCGGGCAGGTTTTCGTACCTTGCGAGCTGTTACAAGACATCCGCGACTCTCCAGTAGAAGAGCGGATCTCAGACCTGTTCACAGCGCTGAACTGGTCTATGCAGACGGTGACTTCCATTTAGCATGTGATACACTTAAGGCTGACCGATGTTCAAGGCGATGGCCAACTAACTCCGATGTTTTCCTCGTCTGCCCGGTTTCAGTCGGATGAGCCAGTGCTCGTGCTTGAGCAGATGGAAGACCTCTTTGCGGGCGTGCAGTGCTCCGATGAAGATATCAGCCTTGTCTTCCACACCGTCGCAGCATTTCACGAAGCAAGACAGGCATGGAGCGTTCTTGATGACGCGTATGTCGTCGCTAGCCATGCCAATTGTTCCGAAGATGGAGGGCGGACGGCATTCCGCCGCTACGGCCACTTCCCTATCCATCAACCTCAGCCATGGCGTCCAAGACACTTGGTTTCCGGACACAGTGCTTCCCACTAACGCCCCGCTGCCAATCAAAATCGGCTGTAAAGACTGCAGCACCAACGGCACTCTAAGCCTCCTACAGGGCGAGTGGAGCGTCCTTTCCACGGTCGACTGGTTTGGAGCAAAGAATCTGACGGATATTATCTCTGCCGGAAATGTACAGCTGGGCATTGAGGGATTCGTTGCGCACGTGGAGATCCAGATCGAGCCCAGCCTCAAGGGGGACATGAGTCTGCCCTTGTTTACGATCCCAGTTTTCGGATTCACGGTAAGCCATATCAGATTGTATCGACCGATGTAGTAGAGCCGCGTCTGTTCTGACCGCCTGTTGTGCCAAAGATTCCGGAGCTTGGCTCCGGTGGGATTCTCGTCGAGCCGACATTGTCCTTGGGGTGGGAACTGTCTGGAGGCATTGAAATGTCCTATGGCTTTGAGTTGAAGGTGCTTCCCACTTGGAGCATGCGCAAATGTTCGCTGACATATGTGTGCTTTGCAGATCCCAAACCTCGAGGTCTACCTGGATTTTGCAGATCCGACCTCATCTAGTGTGACAGGGCTGTAAGCTTCCAAATACATAAAGGTTATCCTATCCGTTCATGGTCTGGCTAACCACCATGTCCGTAGCGATGGCATCTCCATCACCGACGTCCCTTTCCAAGCCAACATCTCCGACATCGATCTCTCTCTCAGCCTCTCTCTGACGCCACGAATCACCCTCGGCGTAGAAATCCTAGACAGTCTGTCTGCTGAAGTGGGCACATCCTTTGACCTCCCCAAGGCCACTGTCGTCATCACCCAGCTGGCCACGGACTCGGTAAATGCCAGTTGTGCAAATTCGAGCGAGGCGCCCGCCTACCAGGCGGACTTTGAAGACCTGTTTCACAGCCTGACGCACGTCGCCATGGGCGTCGAGTTGGGCGTGGGCTTGGACATGAGTGCCGAAGTCGACCTGTTTCCCCATCTTGACTTTTCCAGCTCTTTGGAACTGGCGACCGTGCCTGTGGCTGCACTTCCAACGCGATGTTTGGCGTTCCAGACCGAGGCACCATCAGGCCCGGGCTTTACACCGGCGGTATCGGCGCTTGCACAGGTACAGGCTCAAGCTCTGGCTTCTGCCTCTGCCTCTGCTTCTTCTGTCTCTGCTGCCTCTGCGGCGGCTGCGTCTGCCGCCGCCACAAAGCAGAGTCAGTCAGGAGGGTCGAGTGGGCAGGGTGGAGAAGCCAATTCCGTCGTAAATGTGGCATCAGGTTCCATGGGTACTTGGCTCAATTCTCGGACACAAAGTGCGTGCTTCTATGCTTTTTTCATTGTGGCTGGCGTCTTCATGAGTCTGTAACAAGGCACAGCATTCGAGATTGCGGAGCACTTGCCCTCCAGCAGATAGCCAAAGCTCGATGCGAGCAGAGATGCTAGAGAATCAAGCTTGCATGGAGATGAAATCACTCTTTGACTCTGCCGCAGGCCGGTAGGTTCCTGGGTTGAATTCTTCCCAGTGTCTCATCTGCTCCGTACTCTGATCATACACGCACGAAGCCAGCCCTCGCAGATCGCCCTGCCATGAGTCTCTTATCCGTCACCTCGACGGACTCAAAGGTCTATTGAATCCACCGACACGGTTCATGTACTGCCTGTAAGTCGTCTTCTTTTCCTTCCTCACGCCGTAGATCTGGTTACCAGGCACCTTTGTGTTATGCGTCGACTTGAACATGGTAAAGCCCATCATCTTCCTCAGTAGAGCGTCTTCGTCGTCTTCGTCGACGGCCATGGCATCACCGTTGACCACGGGCTTTTCGGCGTGGGCTGCTGCTTCTTCATCTCTGCGCTTCGTTGCCCTTGACTCATCGTCGTCGGCCTTGTTCCGCTCCCGAGGCTTCGTCCGATCGTGATCGTTGCGTCGAAGGGGAGAGCGTGTGCGCACGGCGTCCCGACCGCTGGTCCTGGCCGGTGAGCGTGACCGCGAGCGTCGATGTGAGCGTTCAGCCCGGTGATCTGTCGTCGCGTGAGCACGAGAACATGGACACTCGCGCACTGGTAGTGGGTTTATTACCTTTTGGATCTCGATGCCTGTCACGGCTCCTGCTCCTCTCGCGCCGAGCGTGGCCGTTGACTTCCCGGCCACGTCCACTTCCGCCTCCTCGGTCTCGATCGCGATCTCGATCCCTCTCACGCTCACGCTCCTTGTCCCTGTTCCTGTCGCGGTCCCGGTCTCGCTCACGCTCACGGTGCGCCGGCCGGTCCTTGGACCTGCTCCGCTCCCGCCGTCTGTCGGGGGTGTCCCGCGACCTCGATCTCTTCCTGCGCTCGTCGTCTCGCCTGGGCCCCCGGCGATCCTCGTCCCGGGTGTCGCGTGGCTTGGGTTTGTGGTCCCTTCCGCTCGAACTAGGCCGGGAGTCCGTCTTCTCGTCCTCATCCCACATGGCGGCACTGGTTGTGCGCTTAGTGCGCTTTGCTGGACGTTCGTCCATGGTTGCAATACCAGGGAGGCTTCAGAATGCAGCGGCTTTTGGAAATGAAGTCGCAAAGGGCGTCGGTGCGGAGTCGGAGGGAAATTTCAGCGATTGTATCAAGTGCTTTCAAACTTCTCATAGAGCCGTGTGCGGCAGCGTAAGGTACGGTAGAGTATTAAGTGCCTTCGACGCAAATGAGGTCTGAAGGACGCTCGATATTTGTCGCAGCAGAGGGGTGAAAGGTGACTACAACAACAGTTCCTTTCAAAAGTTGGCTTTGTATATGCCCTTCTTGTGTCTGGGCTGCCTGCTTAATTGCTTCTGCCGAGCTGCAGAGACACGGAGAAAAGACGAGGCTGAACCGGCCATGCGTTCGTAGTGCAAACGCAGCAAACTCGCCAAACAGAGCAAACTCTCGTCATACGCTTCCCCCTCCGACAATCAAGGCAACGCGGTCACGAACACCTTCGAGTGCAGCCTGCTTGCAAACGTCCTTCCACTCGCTAGACACTCTTTCCTAGTTGTATCACCAAGGAACAAATCGCGTTTGCGTGCTGCCCGAACAGAGAACTATAACCCATCGAAGGTGCCCTGCTGCCCGAGACAATCTTCAACATCATCACCCCAAACAACCCCACCCCATCCCATAGCACAGACGTCCTCTCTTAAGTCCAACGATGCAGTATCTACGCTCCGGTCTCGACCAACTTCGTGACCGCTACGCCCCTATCCGACACACCTCCACCTTTCGCAATACAGGGCAGATCACGCCCGAAGAATTCCTGCTCGCGGGAGATTACCTCGTCTACAAATTCCCCTCCTGGTCCTGGTCTGACGCCTCCAGTCCTGCACGACGGGTGAGCTATCTGCCCGCCAACAAGCAATTTCTCGTCACAAGGGGAGTCCCGTGTCACCGAAGGTTGGATGAGAACTTTGCAGGTGGACACGGCGCCGCCGATGACCTTGTCAGAGATGGGTTTCTAGGCGGTCCCGACGAGGAGACGGGCGGCGGTGAAGACGAGGGCTGGTTAAGAACGGGGGGAACCACGGAGAAAGAACAAGAAGGATTGAGGGCAGAAGTGAGGACGATGAGTGAGAGCGGACAACTCGGCCAGAAAGCCACCGAGGAAGAGGACGAGGAAGAAATCCCAGATATGGAGGACGAGGACGATGATAATGAGGCTATCATAAGAGATAAGAGTGAAGGGACATCTGCGTAAGTATACTCCCACTCTTCTCAGGTCTGTTGTTGAGGGCTTTAGACACTGACACGAGGTACAGCCCTCTTCGAACATACACCCTTTACATCACCTACACGCCCTACTACCGCACTCCGCGCATGTACCTCTCCGGGTACCTCTCTCCCAGCGAGCCTCTACCGCCCCAACTCATGATGGAAGACATCGTCGGCGACTACAAAGACAAAACCGTCACCCTGGAAGACTTCCCTTTCTTCGACAACAGTGTGAAAATGGCGAGTATTCACCCTTGCAAGCATGCTAGCGTGATGAAGATCCTCCTTGACCGTGCGGACGTGGCCTTGAAGCTGCGACTAGAAAAACAAAAAGCCACTGGCGGCGCCGCGAACGTCTCGGGCATGGAAGGGTTGATTGACGATACGGCAAACCTCAAACTGGCTGAGCAGAAGCGTGGACACGAAGCGGGTGTGAAAGCCGCTAGTGGCGGCGCCGGAGACGAATGGGAAGTGTTGGATGAACAAGACAGTAAAGAAGAGGAAAGTGAGAAGGTGGCAATCCGGGTGGACCAGTATTTGGTCGTGTTTTTGAAGTTTATGGCAAGTGTGACGCCCGGAATCGAGCATGACTTTACCATGGGCGTTTGATGGATGCATGGCGGGAAGCCTGCGATGACAGACACGAATCAGGAATGAATACGACGGGTTAGGACAATGGGGCTTCCAGGAGTTTTGCGCAAAGGGCTGAGGCCATTCCTCGGGTTGATCATATGGACGTCTAGCAGGGCTTCATTCTTACGGACTCGGACCCTGACTCGAAACATTGGGCATTGTTAGTTCATCATCTTATTCTAGAATGCTTCGACATGCAGCGGTTTCTCGTGTTAAGCTCCATCAGCGTCAGACCATCGGCACCTGCCATCCACGTCGACATTGTCTTCACCTGACCTCCAGCAGGGGTTCATGTCTAACACATGCAGGAGTCTACGTCATTTCCTCTCCTTTGCGACCCTACAGATGACTCGCGACATGTTGGCTGGGCCAACTGCCAGAGACCCCATCATCATAACAATGGATAATCAGGCTCGGCCGATGCGGACAGACCCTCGCCAAAAAGGATCAATGGACGAGACGACTACATACATCTGGGATGCGTCATGCTGCGGAGTTTGAGCGGTACCCGGTCCGTCAGCCCCACGCCATTGTCTGACTCCCTGTGCGTGGCATCTCCTGAGATATATGTGCGTATTTCTAACTGCTGGCCTTAATGGGGATACGGTCTTGCAACTCGTGCATACATGATGTCCCCTCTCCTAACGCCGACGTATCTCAGAGGCCGAGGGACTCTATATACTCATGCAAGTCATCTCCACAGAAGATGTCACTGGCCCCGAAAGTGGGACGCGGAGACCTCAATGCGTCCGGAAGCCCGGATTCCGCTCACGAGGCTGTCTACAGAAGGATTTGGAGCGACTGAAGCAAGAGAATGGTTGAGCCGGACCTTTATCGTGTCTGTCTAACTGGTCATGGCTGTCCGAGCCACCCATTCAAGCACCGTTAACTAAGACAGGGCACAATCGTATCTGGACTTTGGGACCGCTAAAAAATGAAGACATGGAATATTTCTCACGACATGTCTGTGGCCTGCGATTCGGGAGGACGGTCAAGCCCACCAAGCTCGAAGGTCAGTCCACCGTCCCTGCATCTGAAATATACGAACATACGTTCTGGATCAATCTAGTACAATTGGTGTGGCCACGGGGCTGAACGCTCCACCACATACAATGCCCCTCTCATGTCCGATTCGACTTCAACATGGCACCTAAAGGTCGCTCAAGCTTACTTGATTGAGTATAGCGAACGAGAACTGCCAACAGCAAGACTCCAATTAGTCAAGAAGGCTTCACATGTGCTCCAGTTGGTGGCACAAAGAATGTAAGCAGCTCTTGGGTTCCTTTGTATAACGAGGTGAACAGAATGCACGTTGCCCTCGCACCTCCTTGCTTGGTCGAGTATAGTTAACGAGAATTAGCAATACCGAAGTCGCAATTGGTCCACCGAAGCTCAGGTGCTTTGCCAGGGGTGCTGAAGGGAGCTAAGATCTTTTCCCTGCCATTCACGGTAGCACCACAAGGCCTTACCGGCATCCGCATAAGGCCGAGCATCCATTTCAGCCTCGCCGTCGACCAATTGCCCACTTCACGGACCTTCATAAGCAGAGAGCATTTAGGATTGTGGTCCTCATCTCACCGAGAGTGTACAGAATTGGTCGAGTGGTGCTGACGGAAGGTGGTATTTCTCTTGGGCTACCTGATGTCGTTGCGTGGCCTCTTGCATTATGCGTCGTGGCGTGGCGGCTTGATTTACGTTTTCGAGGAGAGAAGAGTAAGCGGGAGAGAAGAAAAAATTCTGATGTCTTCATATATAAACCACCATGGACAAGGCAATGGCTTCGATGACATTTTTATGTGAGTCCAAACTATTTCCCCGAGGTCACGTCGTGCAATCCCTTCTCATCATACGCCCTTCGCTCTCCAACATCCATACTTTGCCAGCCATGATTGGGGCCACGGTTGCACTCGTCTACCTTGCTCAAGGGACCTTGGCTGCTTGTCCCTACATGCAAGGTGGCCCGGGTTTCCATGAGCAATCGGCGGGGCAGGGCCCAAAGACCTACGCCAAAAGGCAGAGTTCCCTTTCCAACGGCACAGATCCAGTCGACACCTTTCTTGACCAATTCACGCTCAATGACACTGACACATACATGACTTCGGACGTTGGAGGACCAATCCAGGACCAAGAAAGCTTGAAGGCCGGAATCAGGGGACCTACGCTTCTGGAGGACTTTATGTTCAGACAGAAGATCCAGCACTTTGACCATGAACGAGTGAGTTACGATCTAGCATAGAGAAGGGAACCCTGATAAATGCGTTTGGAAATACCAAACTAATATCTCTGCTTGCACTAAGGTTCCAGAGAGAGCAGTCCATGCGCGAGGTGCAGGTACGTTCCCGTTCTCAGCTGAGTGTTTACTGTTCAGTCCTTACAGAGAGCTAACCCATGCGGCAGGGGCCCATGGTTTCTTCACAAGCTACGCCGACTGGTCAAACATCACAGCCGCTTCGTTTCTCTCTGCAGCAGGGAAGCAAACTCCGATGTTTGCGCGATTCTCTACCGTCGCAGGAAGTCGGGGCAGCCCAGAAGCAGTCCGAGATGTCCATGGCTTTGCCACTCGCTTCTACACTGACGAGGGAAATTTTGGTAAGCCCCGAGCAGGACATGGTCTGGAATTTTGGAAATGGAAGCATGTTCTAACTAATACTACGAACATCAGACATCGTTGGAAACAATATTGCCCCGTTTTTCATCCAGGACGCGATCCAATTCCCAGATCTGATCCATGCTGTGAAGCCGGAACCGGACAGGGAAATTCCACAGGGTGGCACGGCCCACACTACGGCATGGGATTACTTCAGTCAGCAACCCTCTACTTTGCATACTTTGTTCTGGGCTATGGCGGGTTATGGCATTCCCCGATCTTTCCGGCATGTGGATGGTTTCGGCGTGCATACTTTCCGTTTCGTGACCGAGGACGGCAGTTCCAAGTTGATCAAGTGGCATTGGAAAACCCTACAGGGTAAGGCAAGCCTGGTGTGGGAAGAAGCCCAGGTGCTGGCTGGGAAGAACATCGATTCGCACAGGCAGGATCTGTGGGACGCCATTGAGGCTGGTCAGTATCCAGAGTGGGAGCTAGGGGTACAGATCATGGAGGAGTCGGACCAACTCAGCTTCGGGTTTGACCTGCTCGACCCGACCAAGTTCGTGCCAGAGGAAATCGTGCCGGTCACAATTCTGGGCAAGATGACTCTGAACCAGAACCCTCGAAACTACTTTGCGGAAACCGAACAGATCATGGTATTATCACCGGTCGATACAATTCCCAGATCAATGCTGACTGCGGTCAACAGTTCCAACCAGGCCACATCGTCCGCGGGATTGACTTCACCGAGGATCCTCTGCTTCAGGTACGTCGAAATGCTGTGCCTCGCACCAGACAACTGAGCTTACCAACCAGGGACGCATCTACTCGTATCTCGACACGCAACTGAACCGACACGGAGGACCCAATTTCGAGCAACTGCCCATCAACCGGCCACGGGTGCCGATCCACAACAACAACCGCGACGGCGCTGCTCAGAACTACATTCCGCTCAACGTGGACGCCTACACGCCCAACACGGGCAACGACGGGTCCCCGATGCAGGCCAATCAGACGGTGGGCAACGGGTTCTTCACGACGCCCGGCCGCACGGTGGGCGGGAACCTGGTGCGAGAGAAGTCGTCGACGTTCGACGACGTGTGGTCGCAGCCACGGCTGTTCTACAACTCGCTGATCCCCGCGGAGCAGCAGTTCCTCATCAACGCGATGCGGTTCGAGGCGTCGCACGTCACCTCGCCGGTGGTCAAACAGAACGTCATCACGCAGCTGAACCGCGTCGACAACGACCTGGCGGTGCGACTCGCGGAGGTTTTGGGCGTCGCCAGCCCGGCCCCCGACCCGACCTACTACAACGACAACAGCACCGCGTTTGTGTCCATCTTCAACTACTCGCTCCCGACCATCGCGGCGCTCAACGTGGGCATCCTGGCCAGCGTGTCCGTCCCGTCCTCCATGGCGCAGGCGACCTCTCTCTCGCAATTATTCGCCCAGGCGGGGGCCTTCCCTTACATCGTGGCCGAGGTGCTCGCCGACGCCGTCAACCAGACCTACTCGGCCGCCGACGCGAGCGGCTTCGACGGCGTCATCGTCACCACGGGAACCGACGCCCTCTTCACCACGAACAGCTCCACCTCCTCGCTCTACCCAGCCGCCCGACCGCTCCAGATCCTCCTCGACGCCTACCGCTGGGGCAAGCCCGTCGCCGCCCTCGGCTCCACCACCGCCGCCACCGTCTTTGGATCCTCCTCCTCCTCCTCCGCCGCCGCCGCCAACATCCCCGCCGGGCCCGGCGTGTACACGTACACCCAGAACTCGACGGACCTGGGCGCCTTCGTGGCCGACTTTGAGAGTGGCCTGAAGACGTTCCGCTTCGTGAACCGCTTCCCGCTGGATCCGTCCTGATCGACCTCGACCTCGACCTCGGTCCACGCGTATCGTTCGATCCATATCCTGCTTAACACCCCCGCAGGACTCACGATGTTCCAAGGATGTGTTGGTTGTCCAGTGTCTTCCCTGGTTCCCAAAACATATCCGTATCTCTCTCTTCCCGTTCCCTCCCCCCCCCCCCAGTTCCTCACTTCCCCAACTCTATCCACTTTTCTCCCACCCACAGGAGCTTGGGAGGATTTCATTCGTTTCCCGCCCCGCCATTCACTAATACACTTATACACCTATACACCACCCCATACATAGAAGCACAGGATCATACAAGCGTACAAGCATACAAGGATACAAGGTATATGGGTATACGAGCATACGGGCCGACTATATCTCGAATAGTTGAGCGCTGGGGTTCCGGGGCGAGCGGCTAATAGACACGTTTTTTACCAGGACAATCTCTATGAAGCTAGATAATACCATATATAATGAAGGGAATTTTCTCGTCATTTCTGAAAGTCCCATGACCATAAAGCGGCAACTAGAACGACGAATACACATATCTAACGATGGAAGTGATGGCATTGACGAGAACCAGAGAGCTCTCCACTTCATTGATTCTTTCTGTCTTTCTGTCTGTTCTTCCATCTTCCCGGCTCGCATATAAAACCCTTATATCGATCCCTTTGGGGGTGAATCGGTTGTTGATAATGTACCCTATACCAGACTCCATAAACACCTCGCTTGCAATACAACGCAAAACATAAGATTTACCATCCCACGAAAGCCTCGACTTTCCCGTGCCACGGGCGCGAGATCTCAGCTGCACGCCCACTTCCGCGTCGACGGGTAATCACTACCCTTCAACTGGTTCGGCCATTGCATTTGCCACGGCGACGGGCAACGGAACGGGGGCGGGCGAGGGGCTAGGGGCAGGGGCAGGGGCAGAGGTCCCTTGCGGCGTCCCCTCCGGTGGCGGCATTCTCGGGCCCGGGCTTACTGAGGCGGGTCTGCTGGCGACGGGCTTTCTCTGGGGAGGAGAGTTGGGCATGCCCATGCCGTTCGCGTTGCCCGGGTTGAGGGTGTTGTTGGCGTTACTGGGCGGAGGTGTATTGTTAGGGTTGTTAGGGTTGTTGACGCCGTTAGGGTTATTGGCGTTGTTCATGGGTGCCGCTCCATTTGGCTGAGGTTGAGGCTGTGGTGCATTACTCGGTGGCTTCTGTTGCAAATTTGGATTCGGGTTCTGGTTCGGGCCAGGTCTTGGGCCGCCCTGTGGATTTCCATTGACTCCTTGAGGATTGTTCGGGGCATTGGGTCTGGGTGCGCCACCGGCCGGGTTTCCATTCATGCCTTGAGGATTGGGAGGACCACTCGGTCTCGGAGGACCGCTAGCTGGATTGCCGTTGGCACCTTGAGGATTGGGAGGACCACTCGGTCTCGGAGGACCGCTACCTGGATTGCTGGCACCTTGAGGATTGGGAGGACCGCTCGGTCTCGGGGCTCCGCCAGCTGGATTGCCATTAGCACCCTGGGAATTGTTGGGCCCGTTCGGTCTAGGTGGTCCACCAGCGGAATTGCCATTGACGCCCTGCGTATTTCCGGCGGCAGTAGGTCGCACGGGCACAGCCGTTGTACCGGCACGAGGACCCGACGCGTCTTTGTCATTGACCCATTTGAAGACAAAGTACAATCCGATCCCGCAAAGCCAGACAAACACACCCACTCCGGTGGTGAAGAACAAGGTCGGCAATAGGATGATCAAGGAAAATCCCGCCGCAGCAGTCACAAACAACAATGCCCCTAGCAGAACCACAAGGACACCAGCCAGCAGGGAGAAGACGAAGACGGTCACGGTCATCAGCCCGAAGAGGAGGAGCGGGAGGCCGCTGATGGCGGTTTGACTGAACAGGAAGCTGGCAGAGTACGGTCGTTCGGTGGCGAACTTCAACAGCGCATCTTTCCACTGCTGGCGCTGCCGAGGCGGGAAGAAACGATCAAGATAGCTGGTGGACAGGTTTGAGAGGTTGTTGACGCCGCCTTGCATGATGCTCGCTGCAGCGGCCATGTTGGGGTTTGCCATGGAGCCACCGCCGGCAGCGTTGGGTTTCGGAGGAGCGACAGACATCGAATCTGAGATACCTGATCGGTATCAAGGGTTGAGGAGTGTGCCCTTGGTCTTGGAATGGCTCGGGAGATCTAGGCAAGGATTGATCAGATAGTAATCATCGACTTTGCTGTCGTTGTTTGTTATGATGGGGGAAGGAAGGAGTCGCGTTAAGGTTTCGCGCGTAATTGCTTCAGGCAGCCATATCTTTAGGAGAGAATGGGAAGAAGGGTCTTGCTTGGAGTTTTGTACTGTGGCTAGATGGGTACATGGATTCAACAGGTGAGGATTGAGAAGTTGTGGTTGAGTTGATGTAAGTGAATCGGGGGCCAAATCTGACGAGGACGATACAATAATAATACTAATAATAATAATAATAAATCTACGGTACAGACTGCGGCAGTGCCAAGTGGATGGCCACGAGGGATGAGCTCAGGCCGCAACTTCTAAGATGGTATCCCACGCTCACCCTTGACCTTCTTGATCCTACGCCCCGAATCCTGCGAGGCCCTTTTGGGTTCAAAGATAGATCTAGTCATATCATTCCCGCAGCGGGACTCGCCATACTCGGGAATGTGGAGAGGTTCATGGGGGTGGTTGATATTATGGACTGTCAGTGAGCACCAATGCTCGCCCCTATGCTCGCCCCTAAGGGATGTATGGACCTATTATGTATCGATATGTTATGCACACTCTGCTCGTTGATTGGATCAAACCCTCAGACATAGTATACAAGATTATTGATTACAGCTAAATCGCCGCCGGAACGCCCTCCACTTGTTCTAACCACAGACGTCGACATCCTTGCCCCTCAAAACGGTTCCGTCAGCACCTGCGTCGCGCCGGCGTGTGCGAGGATGGTGCGACAAGCGTCCATCATCGCCGGGACACCACACAGGTAAAAATCCGTCGTGGCGGGCTCGAATTTGAGGTTGGCGAGGATATCCGTCACCCGTCCGTGGAAGACACCCTCTGCAGATGGATCGCCGTCAACACAAACCGTTGTTCGTGGCAGAGGTTTGAAGTGGTGCGTAATGTCATCTTCCCCGTGATAGCAGCCGAAGAGCAGCTCGGCCGATTCGAGCTCGCCAGAAGCCGCCAACGCTACGAACATTGGGAGAAACGGAGCGATGCCTGTGCCAGTTGCAACGAAAACCCGACGGTGGGTGTTACGCCGCAGCTGAAAAGCCCCAAATGGTAATTCCACCTCTGTTTGCTCGCCAGGCTGGACGTTGCTGGTGAAGACTGAGCCGTCACCGCCGGTGCGCGTGCTGACAAGCAGTATCAAGCAGTTCTTCTCAGCCTGTGCAATGGAATAGCTCCGCCATTCAAAGGGCGCAACGCGCAGCAGAACGTATTGGCCTGGTGCTGAGACGATGGGTTCGTCGAGTTCAAATTCAAGTCGCCAGATGAACGGCGTAAGTGCGGTTTTGCCCACAAGGATGGCACGCTTCTTGTCGGAGCGACCCGCCGCCGTCGGGGCGAGTTCAGCTGTCGGAGTGACATGATGGGACGCCCACATGATGCGTAGGAAGCCGAAGGCACCCAGCACTCGACTGGCCGCCAGCACACCACCCATTAACGCCCCGACCACGCCAAGACTTGATGCATCGGTTCCACTGATCTGCAAGCCGGTGATGGGCGATGGTTTTGACAGGACTGAGGAAGCGAAGAGCTGCGGTGTCCCTTTAAACCCGTAGATGGCGCCTGCAGAATGCGAGGTGTAGTCCTCCACCGACAGAGGCGTTGACAACTCCGAATAGTCCACCATTTCCTTGAGCCCCGGAGTAGCACTCTCTCCTAGGTCCAGAAGACCCTGTGAGATCCGGTTCTTGAGTTCGATGTACTCCTTTCCCCGCGCCCCATGGCTTGTCCCACGCCAGGCAGAAAATGCATCCGCCTTGACCAGCGCCAGGATCTCGGCGGTGTGGAAACGGTCGTCACCTGACTTGGCGGAGGGAAATGACATAAATGCATGCTGAGGCTTACCTGCCAGGATTGCCTCCGTCTGCGCGTCAATACTATCGTGATCAAACGTCGTGTTGACCCAGTAGTTCTCCCCCTTGACGCCGAGAGCTGCGACAGGGCCACTGAGTCGGAGGTAGAGAGTCACAGCAGACAGCCCGCCCTCGAGCCGGTCCAAGTGCTTGCGGATGTCTGCGGTTTGTTTCCCGATCATGCCGTCGGTGGGCAGGAACTGGGTGTACGTCACTCCCGCCCCAACATCTGAAATGACAATGGGTGCCAGATAGATGACTTCGGTCGGCTCAGCTCCCCGGCCGTCAATCGCTTTAACACCCACGACGTGCGTGTCTTCGGTAAATATAGCTGTGACGTTCTGGCACACTTTAACGGCGCCACCAGTTGCTTCGATTCCCATCTCAAGTGTTCTCGCGATGCGGCTAGCTCCGCCTTTGGGAAAGTACGCTCCGTGTAAATAGCTCCTGACGACCAGCGCGTGCAGGACGAAGGCACTTTCGCCCGGAGGCACACCGTAGTCGCCCCATTGGCTGGCCAGCAAAGCCTTGAGCTCTGTTGACTTGAAATGCTGATTCAGATAGTCGCCCGTAGTCTGCAATGCCTTGTGCGAACTCAATCGACGCCGCTGGCCCAACAAAAAGTTGAGTGGCCAGGGCAACACGGACTGCATGGTTCCCCGCGTGTGCCAATGGGCTACTTCGTTGACGTCGACAAAGTAACGCCGAATTGCGGCGGCTTCCTCAGGAAAGCGTTGGATTAGCCGCTCCTCATAGCGATCCTTGTCCGACGGTTCGGCAAAGCTCAGCCCAGGATACACGAACCGCTCGAAGTCGTCGGGCATAGGGTTCCAGTCAAGAGCTTTTCCAGACATGAAGTCAAAGAGCCCGCGGATCGGTGAACCAGGCTGCAGGCCGCCGATATAGTGAACACCGACATCCCAACTGGCACCGTCACGACGAAAGATGTGCGTCAAACCCCCACGCTCAGAATGTTTCTCAAGCACCAACACCTTCATTCCACCGACTTTTGCCAAAAGCGCAGCCGCCGCCATCCCGCCGATCCCCGATCCGATAACAATTGCATCCCATCTTTGAGGCATGGCTCTTCTTGTTACTTGAAAGATGTAGTTAGAAATGGTCAAGCAGAGAAGTTGACAGATCAAAGGTTCGGGCCCAGAGATATGCTCTGGTGATAGACCATGTAATACACCTGGCGTCGAGAAGACCAGGTCAATCTTGAATATTGTTGCAATGAAATATGAATGGTGATAGTCCAGAGGGGTCACGATGACGATGAAAGGGAAAGTTGTACCCACGGTTGCCATGGATATATATCTCCCATGTTCGACGCGCCATCTCGCTCAGACATAGCGCGACACCTACTTACGGGCGTTCCTGAGAGAAGCATGGACATTTTTGGTGCCCCAAGCCGCTCCGAACCCCGATCTCTCATGACAATTGCAAGGACATCGCCAACAATGAGCAATCAAGCAAGTAGCTCGTAACACCAGGAGAAAGCCAGGGCTTGAAAGCGCCTGAGAAGCGGGCAGATGTGACTGACTCCATTTCAAGCTAACGGCCGAAAGGAATTAGCATATGTTATGAGCAGCGTGGTCGATACTGGGTGATGGCTGAACTCGGTGCCTGTCGCCGATCACTCCACGTTACTTTTCTCACGCCACACACACATGAAACCGAGATCTCCCATAAGACTCAACAATTCGCGAAGTGATATTCGTGGTGAAGGACGGAAGGGAGGAAGACGTTGCTGGAGTTAGAGCAGAGGCACCCATATCATGCACAGAGAATGTATTGCCTTCCAGGATGAAGTCGAAAGAAAAAGGAGTTCGACACTTGTCGCAGCCTAGTGCATGTGACTTCGCGCGCGCGCCGCGTGGTGGCTCTAGCCTTGGCGCGTCTCTTGGTGCCGTCGGCGCCAAAAGATGAGTAAACACTGTTCACACTTCACATGCCGGTCACCCAAGCCGTGCTTCAACTTTCGGAAACGCAAACGTCGTATAGGTGACTTCTTGCCAATAAACAATCATCCATGTAAATGACGATATTGTCAATTATAGCATGATTCTTTGTAAAGAATTCAGGAATAGGTCGTATCGGTGTACAAACTGTTCTTAAACGTACAATGACCAAGTTGCCTCTCCATTAAGAGTATACGAGAGAAAAAGAAATGAAGCAAGTAGCAGCGCTACAATAACAGAATCGAAAACCTCAAGCTCCCCTAAGATACCAGTCCTTTCTGAATGTCTTGGCCAGACGTCAAGGAAGATTGTTCCGCCCACGCCTGCATCTCCATCACTCCATAAGATAACTCGAAAATCGATATCTTCCATCTCAAATATCATCATTGACTCGTCACAAGAAGACGAATGTTTTCCGCAGACTCTCTTGGGAATCCTTTGGTTCAGCTTGATCTGCGAATTTGGACACTCGTGTAAAGCGTCCGTGATTGGAAGTCTCCCATCTCCAAGGATTTGATGAGCAGCGCATCGCCATTCAGACAAAGGAGAAATATCATGAGATGATCCAAACTTTCGATGGAATTTCCACTTTGAATGCATCTCGATTACGCTTGCTGTGAGAGCGAGGCCCATGACCGCCGCATTTTGAGATTCGGAACACCTGGAAGAAATCGGCTTCGCTGACAGCAGAACCCCATCAATGGCTTCTCTCCAGGCTTGAAAGTCTATCGCCGTAGGTTCCATTATGGTTTTCGCAGCGTCAAAGACACGGAGAGCGAGATTCGCATACCTGGCGTGTTGTTCTGAAGTATTCTCCTCCCGTGCATACTCCTTTAAGGTCCAAAAGTCAAAGTCTCCTGTCTCGTCTTCTGCGTGCCAGAGTAGGTGACCAAGCGAAAATAGTATATCAGAGTACTTGTTCCACGGAGCTCCGGACTCAAATGCTGTATCCCAGTATACCTCAAAGGGCCTTTTCTCATAGTTGACCTCGATCAATTTTGCTGGAGAAGTTCCGTCATCCAAGTCGGCGACCAGACCGAGGATTCCATACACTTTGTCGATAGTTCGACTACTTTTGCAGAGCTCGAAATCCGAAATAAGGTCCAAAAGTGGCTTCTTTCCGCCAGTCTTCCGCAAATCAACCAATGACCAGATAGTAGGCAGCCAGGTGAACTCTGAACTCGCATCTCGGAATGGGTTGACATGAGAGAGGAATTCATCAAGGCCAAGAGCGACTTTGCCGTATGCGACCGTTACTTTTCTTGCTAGTACAACTTCCTGGACTATCCAGACTCGTCTCCAGTAGTCGAGAAGTCATAGACGTACCGCCGCGTCCTTCACCTTGTCAAACCTTTTTTCGGCCCATTCAGTCCGCTTCGGTTCTTCTTCATTGTCGGAGCCCAGTGGCGACCAGTCTATGGGTTCAGGCCAGTCCCGAACGAGTCTCAAGTCCTCTTCTCCTTGCTGATCATGTCCAAGCCAGATAAGAACTTCCTCGGCGGCAGAGTATATCTCGCCCATCCGCGGGACTTGCTGGGCGATCTCATTGTGATCTTCCTGGTTTAAGCAGAGAGAATCCATCCAGTACAAAAGATCAAAGCTTTTCTTCTGCCACGCGTGATTTAGGAATTGCCAGAGGTTCTTGTGGAGAGCATGCGGATACGTATTTCCATGCCGATCTTCTAGGTGAATTGTTCGTGTTGGTGTTGGGTCTCCCCAAAAGTAAGACAGAGCATAGTAGCCGGAAGTCGGGATGTCTGCCTCCGGAAAGTCATAGATTTTGCACATGATGGATTCGTCCACTCGATCTGGTAACACTGCTATTAGTCTGATGGCGGCTGCAGTGCCGAGGCGCTGATATTGATATGACTCGTTCATAGTGACGTGACTGAATCGAGCCGGAGACAAAAAGAGACGACAAGAGGTCAAGTTATTATTCAGCCTTGTAAAAACACTTTTACCTCCATGAAGGCATTAGGCAGACATGCCTTGGCAAAGCCTTTGCTACCCAGCCGCGTTTTGCATGGTAGATACGGGGAGACATTGCGCAATGCTCTTTGGCTCTCCAACACCACCCCCAGCTGGTTTCGTGCGCTAGCCCATGACTGGTATCCTACAGCAGATTTCCTCCTGTTACTGGTGAAATCCCGGCTGACAGGGTCGTCCCAAGACATTCGGCCTAGGATGGGTTCAAGTCTGCGAGCGGACTCTTAGCATTTTCAGTACCCTTAGGGCAACTTCGCTCCTGGTGATTATGCCCCAGCTAGCTGTCGGTGGTGGGACATTGATCCTAGGCGCCGAAGCGGATCACTTCAATGTTCAAATACAACTCTAGTGTAGGAATCGATGGCAGTCTTTCCAAAAAGTTCCCACCTCAGCTTCATGAGGTCTGCCCCGCATCGGTCGTGATAGGTATGTATGTGGTCCTATCTCATTTCGTGAGTCATGTTCTGGCACAGATGATCTCTCAATCGGCTCGTGCGGGCCAGGGGGAGCACAGGGCGGCATCACCCTAAGCGGGAAGCAGGATGAGTTGTAGGTAGTTTTCAATTATTTTGGAGCCTTGGAGGCGCGACGCGTCTTCGCAGCGCCTTCATTCTGATAAAGCCCTGCCTGCACTACTGAATCATCCCTCTAGACGTCCACTCCTGCCTGGCCGCAGTAAAACACTTCCTGTCCTCAAACATCTGAGAGCGAATTGGCCCTAGCAAGTCTGCACGTAGGGGCCTTCGAGTTCCAGGACTAGCCATTGATGATCGAACAACAGCCCCCCACAGCTCCTCTGTCTGCTTGAAGAGGGCAACAGCTTGTTTCGAAGAGGTCCTTGTCTCTGCTCCTGTCCCGAGGGCGGGTAAACAGGGCTGATTGAAATGCTATGCGCCTCTGGTTGCCAGTATCTCCCACTGTGTGTTACTCAGTCAGCTCGCTGGATGCTCAATATCTGCTTCACCCCACTCTCGAGTCCCCGAGCCAGTTTAACGACCCTCGGGGCAGCATCTCCTACAGGCAACGCTGGATTGTTGCTCTCTAATGTCGTATCTGCAATTCCTGGCTCCACACCTAGTGTCGGTGGTCTCATCGTGGCCGCACGCGTAGTAGATGATCGTCCTTAGACACATTTTGTCCAAGTGGTAGCTTGGTACTCCTCGAAATATATTTATGCTGGTGTCGCAAAATCTGGGATACCGGAGAATTTGAGAGGCGGCTGCTCTTTTTCTGGCGGTTGTGGAAGTTGATGACTTGAGCGTGTTGAGCAAGAAGACAGGGGAGAAGAGCCGATTCCAGGATTTATACGCCGGCAATTGTGGTCTTGCGTTTGAAGTCACAGTCATGGCGATGATAACTTCGTGCCACATCTCCAGTGGTTTCGTTTAAGGGTTCTATCATTGCTTTTGTGATCAAGCAAACAGTCACAGGACAAACGCATCGGGTAGCTGCCCGTCTGAGACAACCCAGCAAGTCATGGACAGAAGGACACTTGAATGTGCATTCCCTTCCGGAGCTGTGACTGACATGTGATAGTCCTCAGACTCACAACAGATTTGTCAAACCAGAGTCTGCGGCAGAGGACAGTGGCTGTGAAAGTGTACCCAACATGACTTTCGAATCGACGCAGGCTGTTTGTTCAAGTCAGCTTTGAGCACACCAATGTCAGTGAAATGCGTTTTTACCTCCAAATCCCTGGGGTTTGGTCAAACATCACATCGGGAAAACATTACTAAGGCCCTGCTCCGAATCCGCGAATCCAGCCCAGAACAGCTCATTGAACGGGTCCACGCAGAATCCGTTGTCGAGATAGGGAACACTAGAAGTTTGATGTTGCTGCGCCGGCAATTGCGTTGACAGTTGGGCACTGTTCGCTCCGGTTGAGGATGATAGGCTTCTTTGGAGACAATTCTGATGGTAGATCTTCATGTTGGCCCATTCATTCGAGATCTTCTGAAAATAGCTGCACCCATCAGTCTTGAGACGGTGCAGTTCTTGGGCCCGTTGGCACAGTGTGTCGAGGCACTTGCCCAGCCAGGCAGCCCGTTGAGAGGCCTCAGTGCTCACGTACGCCGAGTCGAGAATGATAGATGACTTGGTAGACAGCAAGATAAGGAAGTTCAAGGCCCGCCAGTCCAAAGTTGTCCAGTCGGCCATCTCGTCGAGGGAGGACTCGAGAACCGACGAAAGATATTTCATGGCGCAATTGAAGCAGTCGTAGATGATTGACACGCGGGTCGCAGACGGCACCTGACCCTGAAGCAGGCCATACAGTCCAACCTCGCGCATGTATGCCCCAACGCTATAATAGGCGCGTTGGATACGAACTGTATTCGCCGAGGAGTAGTGAGCGAAAAGTTCCTTTACTGACCGGCAGCGCGCTTACCAATGCCAAAAACACCAGGAGGCAGGGCGTTTTTCCATTCCTCTATCTGTCTCGACAGTGCCCGGACCAGAAGCTGGATCTTCTCGTCGTTGAACTCGCCAACTTTCTCCTTGGAGCCATGATCGAACGTGTAGGTGGTTTCTTCGGCGACACGTAAAGAGTGAATCATGTGGATGAGCATGGTGTCCGACGGATGTTGCGGGTCTGCGGCCAGGGACGCGGCACAGTCTTCGAGATATTGAGTATAACTCAACATGCAAGGCTTTCTGAACATGAATAGACCACTAAGTACCGATCAGCAGGTTTCAACACGAGGCAAACAAGGCTCGTGTCTTACTAAGTCGAGATGGTGTACGCCCCGAGATAAGCTCTTCGAGCCTCGTAGCCCCAGAACTTTGACGACATTGTTTCGCTTGACTGAGAGAGGGCAGCACTAGAGCCCATGATCATATCATGCTGAGTGACATTCATCGGTTTCTGGTTGATGCCAAGTTCCACGGCCAGGGTCACAGCCAGCGAGGCCAGCCGGTAGACTTGGGTAGCCACCGGGTAGGCATGCCATTGACACCTGGAGGGGGTCAGTGGTGATTCTCCTGAGAAGAAGCCCTCGCGAGCTTACCAACCGAAGTATACAATCAGTGCTTGCAAGAGATCCAGCGAACGCTCAGACCCGAGAAAGTACCGGTCGGTGAGGTCCTTGATGAATTTGTCCTTCAGTGCAGACTGCCGTGCCGGGGTCCGCCATGTGGTGCTAACGAGGATGGCCTGGGTAAGCATCGGTCTTTCCTCGACCAGTGAGGCCACAGGGCAAGCCTCGGGGATGAGGACATAGGGAAAGTGGTTTGATGACATGCGCCGGTAGTCGTTGATCAACTTCTCACACTCTTCTAGGGCGATATCGAATAGATAGTTGCTGACGGTAGTGTCAGACTGGCATGAATGGAAACCGGATGGCGATACCAGCCCCGTATTTTGCGACAGCTGTGAGTCGGTATAGGATGGCGTCGAGTTGGACATGGGAACAATCGTCCCGATGGTGTCGCTGGGGTTCTTCTGGCTTCGAAGTAGCGACAAGATCTCCGTGTAGCTGCTCTCTAGTTGTTCCACGCGGCCACGCACTGCCAGCGCCATTAGCAACCGGACCTCCGAGTGGTGGCAGATAATGCCATACGGCGAGCTTTCCGCTTCCTCTGCTTGACTTCGGGAACTTGGCATTGCTTTCCCAGTCGCGCACACCTTTTTCGCCCACACAATCGTCACTAATCGGCCACAGCATACGAGCTTGAAAGAGACGGTGTCTGAGGGCTCACCTGGTGCACGCGTCGCCCCCATCCTCGCCGGGCACACATCGCAGCTTCTTGTCCCGACACTCTTTACAAGCGGCATGCTTTCTTTCTTCGGTCATTGCGTCCTGCTTTCAAGAGGCACTTGCGAAAGCAACGAATGCTTCGACAATTTTGACACCGGAGCCGGTGCATAAGAAGCCTATAAGGCCCCCAGACCTTTGTTTATTAATTCACCAACATCGACTCCTTCTCACGCTGCCACGGGAGTCAGCTGCCCAGCCGCCTTCGGGGACGGGCACAATAAGGTGGCCGAACGAGCCGAAACATCCGGGTTTAGAGAGGTGGATCATGCGTCTCGAACAGCAAGGCTAACCGACTTTGTTTAAACCTCCTTTCCTCTCCTGCACGCTGGAAATGGACGTCTATAAAACTGGTGGCGGACTCGGGGCAGGCAAGGGTTTCTGCCTGCGAGCCCGATGGCTTGTTGCCGGCGCATTATGCAATCGAGAGATGATTCCTAAGGTTGGTGGAGATTTGTTTTATGTCCGCTAATGCTCTGTTGCTTCTTGAATAAAGAAGGGAGCACTTCCCGTATGGCCTGGCAGATGCGCTTCCAGTTCTTTTAGCTCCAAGATCAGACTATACCGCGACATGGTTTCGGCCGCGGAGAGCCCCCGGGTTGAGCCTGCTGAGCTCGCGCCAGCCGTATCCATGCCCGGTGACGAAAAGCCTGTCGAGCTTGCAGTTAGAGAGAGCATTGCCGACCACGATAGCCACACGCCCTCCTCTCACGCCTCGGCCGAGCAACATGAGACGACGGATTGGTCACAGTACACGCTCCGGAAGAGGCCATGGCGACGAAGAGTGACCGACTTTGAAACCATCGTCGAGGCTAGATATCGAGGGAGCGGGAGCCCCGAGGACCCCTACATTGTGCAGTGGCTCGACAATGACCCGGAGAACCCCATGAACTACGGCGTCTGGTTCAAGTGCCTGATGACCTTCCTGTTGGCCTTTATGACGCTGTGCGTGTCGCTGGCCTCGTCCGCATACACGGGCGCCGCCGAGCTCATCATCCGGGACTTTCATTGCAGCGACGAGGTCTTCCTTCTCGGCTTGAGCCTGATGGTCATGGGCTTCGCGATCGGGCCCTTGCTGTGGGCGCCGCTCGCAGAGGCCGTCTCACGACGAGACATCCTGCTGGTCGCCCTGGGATTCTACGTCATGTGGACCGCAGTTTGTGCCACGGCGCAAAACATCACGACACTGATCGTTCTGCGTCTGCTCTGCGGCACATTTGGTTCTGCCGCCTTTGTCATCCCGTCAGGCCAGCTTTCCGATATGTGGGATGCCAGACATCGAGGCGTGGCCCAAGCTGTGTTTGCGGCGGCGCCCTTCCTGGGTCCGACCCTGGGCCCGGCCGTTGGAGGGTTCTTGAGCCCGGCTGCAGGGTGGCGATGGCTCTTTGGCTTTCTCGCGCTGTATGCGGTGACTCTGACGTTCCTTGGCCTGGTCTTTGTGCCTGAGACCTATGCTCCGGTCCTGCTGAGGAGAAGAGCACAGCTGCTGTCCAAGGTGACGGGCAAGACCTACATGACCAAAATCGACATTGAGCGACCGCTGGTGTTCAAGGATGTGGTCAAGCGGTCACTAAGCCGTCCATGGGCACTTTTATTCCGAGAGCCAATTGTGCTACTTCTTTCGGTATGTATCCCTCTTTCACCCACTGCCCATGGCGTCCAAAGACTCACGTCTGGCCCCTTCAAAACACTAGATATACATGGCTGTGATCTACGGCACACTGTATCTCTGCTTCGCGGCATTCCCCATCATCTTCCAACAAGGCTACGGCTGGAATGCCGGAGAGGAAGGGCTCGCATTTCTCGGCATCCTGCTAGGGACCCTCATCGGCGTCGGCGTGATCATCTTCGACAACAAGCGCTATACACGCATCCACCACGCACACGGCGGCTTTGCGCCTCCAGAAGCGCGGCTGCCGCCCGTCATCCTCGGCGGCGTCATTACCATCGTCGGCCTCGCCTGGTTCGCAGCGACGGCGGACCCGAGCGTGCATTTCATCGTGCCCATCCTGGCGGGCGTCCCTTTCGGGATCGGCTTCATCCTGATCTTCATGCAATGCACGAATTACCTGTAAGGCTTTTCCCGTCTCCATCATTTTTATATCTCTCTGCTTTCGCACCTCCACGTTCTACTATTACTACCTACTAACACCAAATCCTTCCCCCTTTTTCTCCCCTCTAGCATCGACTCGTACGTCATCTACTCGGCCTCCGTCCTGGCCGGCAACTCGATTTTACGGTCTACCTTCGGCGCCGTCTTCCCTCTCTTCACCACCTACATGTACGAAAACCTAGGCGTGCACTGGGCCTCGGCGGTCCCGGGCTTCATCGCGCTGGCCTGTTTCCCCTTCCCCATCTTCTTCTACAAGTACGGTCCCCGCATCCGTCGGCGGTGCAAGTACTCGGCCGAGGCGGCCCGGTTTCTTGACAGCCTCAAGAGCGACCTCGAGAGGCAGCGCAGTCGTGCCTCGGCCGCGGCCTCCAAGGCCGAGGAGAGCGGGCTGGGCGGAGACGGTGGTGAGCGAGGTGTCGCTGCGGGTGAAGGGCAGGAGGGGGAGAAAGAAGAGGAGGTCGGACAGGGCAGGCAGGGCAGTGTTGCCGTTGGTGCCGCTTGAAAATTTCAACAAGCAGATTCAGATTCGGTTTCAGCCTCTTTTTCTTCTTCTGCATTTTCTTAGCGTCTGTGAAGGGAATTTGTATACGGGATGGCTGATTCAGGCGCAGGCCGTGCTGTGCATCCATCGGACCTAGCCCGGGCGGCTTGGGGGGAATATGGTTCTCAATACACATACTTTGTATATGGACAGGAGATGGAAGAACGGATGGATAAATGGAAGGATGGTTTCCGGACAAGTTCTTCTTTTGGCTTTACAAATTCTACCTAACCGTCGACGTGCTTGACTGCCAGTGGCCTGGGCTGAACGACAACGAGAGAACCGACGTGGCTTTCCCTCCGTTTTTACGTCGATTCTTGTGCTTTCAGTCCCTGGCAAACATTCCCGCAACCCATTCAATGGCACTTATTTGCATTCTTGCCCTCTTCTGCATCGTTTCCCCTTGCGGTCCTGCACTGTCCTTCCTGGCCCGGCGTCGTTCGACGTCTTCACTCTGTTGGTCATCCTGTTCTTCTCCTTGCTGTTGATGAACCTGAACACGCTCCTCCGCAAAGCTCTTTTCCCGCCCCAGGAAACAAGCACGCCGCATCAATTCGGCCATCTCCAGTCCCTGGGCCCGCATCAGCGCTGCGTGGCCCCTGACGATATCTTGCGCCTGGAGGTCCGAGCTGCTGGGTAGGAAAGCGTCAGCTTGATCGGGTGGAGATTCCACCAAGATCTTCACATAAGGCAGTGTGACGGACTCTGGGAGGCCGACGGCGGGCCAGCGCCGGAGGACTTTTCGGCGGCGGGGTTGCGTCGGAGGTCTTGATGGGTTCAATTCGGTGCTATTTCCATCACTCGAAGATCCGCCCGTATCGTGTGGCGAGCCTGAGGGGCTCATCTGTGTTGAATAGCGCCATTGTCGCGAGTCTTGGTCGACATGACTAACGGAGTCATAGTCCTCGTAGCTGTCGAGCTGGTCAATAGCTGTGTCGTCAATTGACTGGCCTGCGACCGTGGTTGCCAGGGGCGTGTCTTTCCCTGGAGCGCGGAGGAACAGCATCGGACTTGCAAATGGGTCGAAGTAAGCGGACGGTATCTTGAACAGTCTTGATCGTAACCTGATCAACTCCTCCGCCGCCGTTATGACTGACTGGTTCTTGACGCCATAGCGATTCGTGACCCTCTGTTTCTGCCTCTTCTGTGAAGGATCGGATGAGTCGACAACATGTAGCTGTTCAACAACATCATCTAAGCCCGCCCAGTCTACTATTGGTGCAACCACGGCAAGCGCATGGATCTCGTTGGGCTCCGTTAGGGCTAGCATGGTCGCAAGTGCCCCTCCTATATTGCTTCCCAAGAGACATATCTTCGGGGCCTCCTCAAACCCAATATTGAACGGAGATGTTGGAGAAGTGAGGTAGTCGAATGCCATTGAGACGTCGTGGACGGGCACTGGAAAGCATACCGACTCTTTCGTTGAAAGTGCTGGGTCGCCGCTATTCCCCAGCCTGTAATTTATCGAAACGAGCGAAGTCGACGGTGGGAAGCTGTTTTGCAGCTGAGCTAGGGCGTCGATCGAAGGGGAGTCGTTTGTCCTAGTGGAAGGACCGGGAGGGAGGTGAACGAGCAGATTTCGTGATCCATGCTCCTCGAATGTGCGTCGATCGGGAGAAAAGACACTATGACAGTCAGCAATGGTGAACTTATCAAAAGGCCTTCACGTACTCGAGTTTGATAGGGCTACTCGCTCCAACCGGCAGGTCAATACTACGGTAATTCCATGTCTTCAAGGTCAAGGCCGAAGCAAAGAGCCGCTTCAGATGAGAGACGTGTCCATGAACACGCGCTTGAGTAAGCCGAACGAAGGTGCTGAGGCCTCGACGGCGACAACATAAAAGCATTACATATCAACAGATCTTTGAATGAGTCCTGAGGGGACGATCCAGGATACTTTGTGTACGGAGAAGAATGCCGTGAAATGCCAACCTTGAAGATTGTGTAAAACTGCGGGCAGCTCACCCTCCTGCAGGACTAGCACCACATTAGGGTGACTTCGACCTGTGCTACCCCCCGTGACCACCCGTGTATCACCCGTGGCACCACAGTTGAATGTGGATTTAGCAATTCCTTACTCGCTTGGTCCAGAACTACCTGGTATCTTGCTACTGACTGCTACGCTCGACGATCTCAACTTGAAGTCTACGGATACCTAATGTTTGTCCCCAGCACTTGCCTCGACCGATGCAAGCTTGTATGAAGATTGGGTAAGAAGCACTCTTCTTCAACTCTGCCCAGTGCTCAACACAGCCTCTTACCAGCCTTTTCCAGCTTCAGAGCCCAAGCAAGTCGATTGTCTGCAATAAATGTCTTCGCTTACATATCGATCTCCCCGAACGCCATTCATGATTCGGTTTACCAATACAGCTCCATGGGGTAGACGTCTAGTGCTTCAATCCCCGTCGATGTCACCCTCACAATCCTTTCGGTCCGTAATCCACCAACTCCAGGAACCGTGATGGTGGCCTTCAATGTGAAGACCATGTTCTCCTTCAAAACCGTCTTGTTTCCAGGACCAATCCACGGAGCCTCCTCCTCTGGATCCATTCCCGTCCCATGCCCGGTTCCATGGCCTCGGGCCTCACTGGAAAACTGCTCATACCCCGATTTGACCAAAGCTTGTTGCATGAAAGCATTCAGGTCAGAAGCTGTCATACCCGGTCCTCCATGATTGAGACCCGCCTCGACAGCCTCAGCAGCCGCTTTGACGATTTGTTTCTTCTGCGGGTCCGCTTTTTCCGTCTTGTATATGAATCCACGACCGCCGTCGGCACAATAGCCTCGATATCGAGCTCCAATATCAGTCATAACCAAGTCACCTGGCTGCACAATCCGATCCGTTGGCCTCGCCAGGTTGAAGGCAGACCGAGGACCAGCCTGGACCATTGAATCATACGCCGTCCGTTCGGCGCCGCCGGCCAGCATTCTCTGGTCTGCCAACAAGGCCAACTCGCGTTCAGTATGAGGCTGCCCGTCCGCAAGCGTCTCCCTGATTGCTTCCATTGCTTGGTCTGTCAGGTATGACGCCTTCCGGATCAGCGCAATCTCTCGCTCGCTCTTGATGGCCTTGATCTCCGCCAGGACTGGATGAGGCTCCAGCGTCAAGTTCCCAAGAGCATCCCTTATCCGCCGATGAAGGTCTTCTGGTATGTAAGCTTCACCGGCAAGGGCCACGGTGCCCGTCCGAGCTCTCGAGAAAGCTTGCAGCTTGGCCCGCATCTCATCGAAAGTGAACACGTCGAACGTAGTGACCTCTGAAGCGTAGTGGAGACATTGCTTTGACACAAATAAAGCAGGCTCCGTATCTGCTCCGACGAAGAATATGGCGTTTGCTATATCCGAAACACCATCAAGAGGTCGGAACTCGGTGAAATAACACACATTTGCGCCACGCCAGCAGTCGCCAAAGGATATCAATCCCACGAGACCAGCTGCTCGTATGCCATTGCGGACTCTTTCTATTCGATCTTGGAATTCGGAGGAAGGTATGTTCTCAGGTGAAAAGGTCACTTGGTGCCCTTTTGGTAGGCCGTTGTGAACCCCGTTAGCGGTTCCATTGGTGATGGCCATCGTCACAAATCGCTCTTGTCTCTTTTGTGCAGGCTTTTGAGCCTGGTCAGGTTTCGATGTTTTCGTGAACACGTTGGAAAGTTGCCTACACTGTTGGCGGGCAGGAGGGCAGAGTTATATCGTCAGCGACATGGAGCAAAGAACTCTGGGGCGCCTCCGTTTTCAAGGACATGTCTCCCTCAGTCCTCTGCACTTGCAAAGATCAACGGCTGCCTCGCATCTGTGAGCGCGTCGCACCCGACAAACGATATGAGGACATTTCTTCGTCCTAAATTCCCCCTTTCAGCTTGCAGGACACATGGCCACAAAGCCTGCGAAAGCCATGTTGGTCCCTGGTACATAGAGAGCTGGAGAGGCCGGACGTCTCTTCCGGCCTAGGGTCCAGGACTCCATGCAAGACTTTGTGAGGACATCCGTCAACGTCGCATGTCGACCGTTCTCCGCGGCATGCAATGCCTTGACAGCGAGTGGCCCGCCAATTGTCCCCTCAGCGCCCGTCGTTGGCAACCGAGGTTTCGGAAGCCCTTTCCCGGAGCTTTCAACGACTCCATATCGTCAAGAATTTCCAAATGGAGAAACGGCAAAATGGCAAAACGGCAAACCAGTCTTTGGAGGAGAGTTCGTTCATTCCTAAAGCAAGCCAATTCGGCTTTCGCACAGCCTTTCGCAAGCTGCACGATCGATCACACAGTTCCTGTTGATTCAATTTCTTGCTTTTGCCACGCGTGGGCCTTCGCGGGTCCATGGGGCGGATGGATACCTTTGCGCCCCCTGTGCCCGGGGTCTCGAACTCTGGGGGCCCGCGCAGTCTCCCCAACTTCTCCCGCATCTGATCAACTTCGTGTGTGTTTTTGCCTCCACCTCTGAGACCTTTTCTGGATGCTGAAATTCGAACTTCTATCTAAGGCAATATCCAGCGTTGCGATACTGTTTTTCTCGATTTCTCAGTAGTTGAATTGCAGCAAGCATTCCAACCGCACCAATTAGGCAGGGCGACTCGGCCGTTGGGCGCTCCTCCATGTTCAAGCACCCAATTAGCCAGTGGCTATGCCGGAAACAAAAAATTCATCACGGAGAGGCCGTACAGGTTGGTATGCAAGCCTTCTAGCTCGACAACAATGTTGTCAATAGCTGACTAGTGGTGTTTCGATCAGCCTGACATGTCGACGCCGACATCTGAAATGCGATGAAGAGTTCAAGCCAGACTGCACTCGTTGTCGCCGGAGTGGTCGAGAATGCGTTCCAGATGATCTGCTCACATTTCGAAACAGCCAAAAGGTCGCTGCCAGGGGACAACTTAATACTCCTTCCAGCCCAATCAAGAAGATCCGCGTCCACAGAGATCCACATGATGTCTTTGGTGACGAGCAGAAATGGGTGGACACACCTCCAATAATATCCTTCATCGACGAGACAGCTCATGTGGACGCTGAATATCGACATCATCAACTGCGTTACAAGAGTACCGTTGGCGATTCTTCGATAATTGAAGATCCCGAGCAATCGCCTCAAGACGACGAGGTCGAGGATTTTCCTCCCATAACGACTGAGGATGAGGCCGACGGTCCACGCAAGCAAGACCAAAGCCAGACCCAGTCTGTTCCACCCTCATCATATCTTCAGGAATCTTCCTTTCTCGTCTTAAACAGGCCGCCGACTTCGACTTCACAAGATGGACATGAGCACCTTGTGCATAGCGACAACTCCGACTTTGCTGAAGTCACACGAGTAATCTCTCATCCCTCATACCCGGCGTTCATATCTCCTGTCGTTTCCCACTCCAGCCTCGTGGTGGGATCAGTCGGCAATTTAAGCAGCCATAGCCTTCCGTCCGAAGCGTCACGCCTTCAACTCTACGGTCCTAGAATGCCACTGCCGTTCCAGGATGCTCAGGAAGCCATTCTCTTCCAATATTACATGGAATCACTGGCCGGCCAGCTCGACATTACGGACATGCAACGCCACTTTGCAGTAGATGTGCCAGAGCGTGCCTTGTTCTGTCCTGTGCTGCTCGAGGCATTATTAGCCTTTTCTGCTCGACATCTCAGCCGAACCTCCGAATTCGACCCCGCCGTTGCCGATCACCATCACCAGGCTTGCGTGCGACTTATGATACCGATGCTTGACCAGAAGGAGCTGGTCGCTGATGAGACTCTGTTCGCGGCAACGGTAATTCTCAGAGCCTTTGAAGAAACCAGCGAGTCGAAGATGGGCTCGGAGCCAGAGCGCCACCTGACGGGCACGTCAGTCTTTGCAAATGCTCAACTTGAATTTCAAACTTGGGGAGGCTTGGGACACAATGCTTTCTGGATCTATGTTCGTCAGTGCATCTACATGTCACTCCTGACACAGACTCAGCTCAAGGTTGATCTGAAAGGCTGGGAAGAGCAATTGAGTTTTGACTTGGGTTTCGATGAAACGAATGATTGCACCTGGGCGCAACGCATGATATGGATCGTGGCCGAAGTCGTCAGCTGCTGTTTCGGGAACAACGACGCTGACTGGGAGGGCTTGAAAGCAAAGATTGACATGTGGGATCTGCGCCGGCCCAAGAGTTTCGACCCAATCCTATATCGACCGAGGGATGTGGAAGCAAAGAGATGGTATCCAGAGATACGGCTCGGCCATCCTTGGCATGGTATGTTTCAAACAGGCGTGAAGTGACTAATGAACATTTTAATACTGACGTTAAGCTACAATAGTCACCGGCATGCAGTACTACTATATCGCCCGACTCTTCCTCGCCATCTACAATCCCAGTGCCCCCAAAGTTGGGCTGGGATACCAACGTCTTCGCCGCACTATGGATGAGGAGGTCCTAAAGAATGCAGAGGCAATATGTGGGATATCACTCGCTACCCCACTGGCGGCAGCCAGAATTACGACCTGCACTGCTCTCGTTGCGTGCGGGCCATGGTTCCATGATCGACCTATAGAGCAACAGGAGCTGATATTGCAGCTGTTGAAGAGAGCAGAAGTCGAAAATGCATTGCCCACAGCGAGTCTCGCCCAAGGCCTTAAGGAGGAATGGAATTGGGTGTAATCAACGCTCAGAAGTATACGTCAATGCCAACCCGGTGCAATCTAGCCGTACGGTATTACGGGTTCTGGACGTGGGTCCAGTTCGACCAGCTTGTCTACATATCTTTCGGAATACCGCACCATTCTCCCAAACTACCTGGCCGGTGTGGTGAACAATGTCACTTCTTCTCCTGGTGCTCATACACTTCCTGTGCGATTTCAGACCCAGATCCCGACTCACTCTTGTTCTCAGCCTGAGCATGGTTTGCGACCTCAATATCTTGTCGTCTGTCGGCCAGACGGCCAGACTTGCTGAGGACTCCACCCGTGATCCCACCTGCCTCAAAGAGGTGGTCCACGTCTTCAAGCCGCATGTTTGCAGTTTCCGGGAAGAAAAAGTAAACGGTCGGGACGATAATCACCAGATTCAGCGCGGCGAAGAGAATGTAGGTACCCCAATGGATGTTTTGAACCGCAATCTGCAGAAATTCACCAGTCAGTATTGATATAAGCTGAAGATGGGAGTACTTACTGGTGTGATTTGGACGACCATGAACTCGATGATCCATGCTCCAACACTAGCCAACGCAGCGCCTTTAGCTCTGACTCTCAAGGTGCACACTTCAGCCGGCAGAATGAATGGAATCGGCAGCCAGCCAAATGCATAGAAGGTGTTGTAGAGAGCAATCATGACCGCCCCTGCAATGCCGGCGGGAGATGAGCCTTGCCATGTCGTAATGGCGAGAATCACCATCGTGATGATTTCACCAGCGCTGGAAACGAACATGAGTGTTCGGCGGTTGAATTTGTCGACCAGCCAGATTTGGACGAGAGAGGCAAGGAAGTATTCGGTCGTGATGATGCCGCTGATCAACAGCGCAAGTTCGCGAGACATGCCGATGGATTCAACCAAGACTTTGGGGAGATAATAGGTAATCACACACTGAAGATTCGGTCAGTATGGAGTGTTTTGTAGGGTCATGAAGTGTCAAGCGACTTACAATACCACCCAGCTGCTGGAACGCATTGCTGGCAAAGCTGATGCACATTCTTCGGAAGTTCTGCAGCTTGCCACCTTGAAGCAGCTCCTTGAACTGGAAGGGGCCGCCCTCTGACTCGAGCGCGAGGGCATTCAAAATATCCTGGGAGAGCTCGCGGACGCGAGGGTCGTTGGTAGAGGCACCTTTGCCTACCAGCCGCGCTGTCACTTCCTCGGCCTCGTCGTGTTTGCCCTGCGCGTGAAGGAACCGAGGCGTTTCTGGGGCAAACAGAAGCAAAATCAGGATGATGACTATGAAGATGATTTGGAAGCCGACTGGGAATCTCCACTGGGCTGGACCAGACACCTTGGCAAAGCCATAATCCATCCAGTATGCTACCAAAATGCCGAAGATGATGATACACGAGTCCACGGCAATCAAAGCTCCCCTCGACTTAGCGGTTGAGGTTTCTGCCTGATATACAGGGACAGTGGAGGTGTTTGCACCATTTCCAAATCCAGTGATGACTCGAGCGGCGTACATCATTCCACGGTTGACCGAAGCGGTCTGCAGAATGGCACCAATGAGCATGATGATCGTTGCCCAGACGATGGACTTCTTGCGGCCCAGTTTGTCACCGAACAAGAATATGACGATGGACCCGCCGACGTTGCCCAACTGGTAGACGGAGACAATGAGTCCCTGGGTGTTTGCATCGGGGTGATTGAAGTCTTTGCCGAACTGATTGTCCGCGCCGATGAGGCCTGAGAGGACTCCCTGGTCATAACCGAAAAGGCAGAAAGCTGTCGAGCAGATGGCAGTAATGATGGCGGTCAACGTTCTTCCCGAGGGTTTGTACATGGTGAATGAAATGATTCAGTAACAACCACTCTGAACAAGATAGAGGGCAGGCAACCAGTGCGCAATATGAGTAGTGTGTGGTTCCGACGACTGGTGATGAAGCCAAAGCGACCCAGCAAAGGAGATGTCCTTCTTTATAGAAATGCATGATGTGCCCGGAATCATCAAGGTTCGCGCGAATATCGGCCTAGATTTCCTGTTCCCCACGGGGTACAGTGTACCTTGACATGGCCATTTGCAACATGGTCCTACCGAGAACGTGGCACGCTGCCATCGCGAGCCCACAGGGATGGGAAAAACTCTCGGCGTATCTGGTGGGACGCGTTGCCGACCAGCATCTCCGACATACGAAGCACCACATGCCCTTTTCTATGGTTGTTCCGGTGGAGTGGCGGAATATGTGAGAGGCGAGTGGGACAGAAGATGGGTCCAGATATCAGGGAAGCATAAATTGCGCTACACTTCCGAAGATGGAAATTCATGACGAGGCGGGAGAAGGAAAGTTGATCGCATAGTGTCGAACCCCTCAAAGTTGGCTATGCCACTATCCAACTCACCATCACTTTCACGCGACGATCGTCTTCCCCAGCTTCATCGTCGCGACTTTCCCTCTCATGAGACTAAACTCCAGCATCTCCATGTTTGCCCCAGGATTGACCTTCGCTCGGCGCCGCGGACATTGAGAATGATTGGCACAATGTCTACGGAGAGACTCAAGAAAGATCTCGATGGTGCTGAAATGTCGGGATGGCCACCATGATATTCTGCCCTGATCGATAACTTTTTGCTACCTCGCCCTCAGTGTCCTTGCAGCTTTACATTTGATTCTCTCCTCTCTCTCGAGGCAAATTGAAGTTCATCTCTTAGGGTTTTTGTTTCCGCCATGGACACGTCCTTGCAAAAACATCCTTTCCAGCTTGCCCTGCAGGACATGTCGCGGACATTGCTGGCAGTAAGGGCTGGGGACTGGATAGTTATACTGGTGTTGCTCTGGGCGTTCTGCTTTCGTCTTGGAGACGGGAAGCTCTGGGGCCGGCCAGATCCGAATCAGTACAAATGGTATGAAGCGCCTCAGAAAACGGGCGACTTGAAAGTCAAGCCAAAGCAGACCAGAAATATCGGCGAGAGATTGCAGCAGGTCGGGTATGACATTGCGATACTCTGGGGGTCTCAATCTGGCGTCTCTGAAGCCTTTGCGGAACGACTGGCACGACAATGGCAGTCACGATTTGCGCTCAAGACTCTGGTGGCTGATCTCGATGACTACGACGCTTCTTCTTTGTCAAAGTTCCCGGCTGGCAAGCTGTGTGTCTTCCTGTGTTCGACATATGGAGAGGGAGATCCTCCGGACAATGCTGTGAGTTTCTGCGCAGCACTCGAGAAAATGAGGAAGAGCGGAACTCGCGTCGACGGCTTGCGTTACCTGGCGCTCGGTATGGGCAATAAGAACTACAAGTACTATAACCAGGTTATTGTGGTGGGTACTGACCCGATCACTGACATGGCACGAGGCTGATAATTTCTAAATCTACAGGACCTTGACCGCACGCTTACTGAACTTGGAGGTCTTCGTATCGGTCCTCTGGGACGAGCGGACGAAAGCCAGGGCATGACCGAAGAAGATTTCATCGAATGGCAAGAGAATTTACTTCAGGATCTCGGCCAGAGCATTCAACTGAACGAGCGACCAATCACCTACGAGCCGACTTTGAATGTGCTCGATGTCTGCGTTGACGAAGAGAGCCTCTGGATGGGCGAACCAAGCGAGGCTGCGCTGCTGAACATGACAAAAAAGGTGGCCTACAACTCTAAGAATCCCTACCCAGCACCCATCGCGGCTTCTAGAACGCTATCTCCACATCCAGATCGAGTCTGTGTGCACATGGAGGTCAGCATCGCTGACGCGCCCGCGCTTCGATACCAGACAGGCGATCATTTGGCCGTCTGGCCGATTAATCCTGAATATGAGGTCGACCGGCTGCTTCGTGTCTTGGGCCTGGACGCTCCGAACAAACGGAGGCAGCCGATCATGATCGACCACTCCAAGGACGTAACTTCGAGGCCAAATCTGCCTTCCCCGACCACGAGAGAGGCCCTTCTCAAGTACTACCTGGAGATTTGCGCACTCGCATCACGAGACTTGCTCGTTCTGATGTCCCTGTATGCACCAACAGAGGCTGCGAAAGCAAAGCTTCTGAGGCTGGGCACTGACAAGACTGCATTCCGGACTGAGGTGGCCTGGAGATACGCCTCAATCGGTCGCGTCATGGAAATGGTCGCGCCTGATCAGGTTTGGTCTCAGGTGCCATTCTCCCTCCTGATCGAGTCCTTCAACCGCATCCAGCCACGATATTACTCCATCTCGAGCTCGCCGCTCGTTCAACCAAGACAGCCTACAATCACCATGGCGGTGAACAACCGACCGATCTTGTCACAGGACCATACGAAAAATGAGGAGGATGGGTTTCTGGGCCTGGCAACCAACTTTCTCTTGGCCCATGACCGAAAGATGGCGGTCAAGGAGACGACGCAAGAAGACCAGAATGTTGTCCCATGGTCGCAGTCGCAGTCATACGGCTCCGTACCCAGCTACGATCTAGATGGTCCCAGAAACAAGCTCAGCGGCGGCCGGATCTACATGCATATCAGAAAGTCGACCTTCAAGCTACCCTTGAACCCGGCCATCCCCATCATCATGGTCGCAGCCGGTACAGGCATTGCTCCGTTCCGCGGCTTTGTCCAGGAACGGGCCCGACTCGCGGAGCTCGGCAAATCGATTGGCAAAATGTTGCTCTTCTTCGGCTGTCGCGACGATGGCCACGATTACTTGTACAAGAACGAATGGGAGGAGCGACGGGCCAAGCTCGGCGGTGACAGCTTCGTCATGGTTCCGTGCTTCTCCAGGCTTCGGGGCCAGAAAAAGATGTACGTCCAGGACGGGCTGGCTGAACACAGACAGCTCGTGTTGGACATGATTGACAACGGCGCAGCGTTCTACATCTGTGGCGCTGCGACCATGGCGAGAGAAGTGAGAGCTCGGCTTAACCAAGTCGTGGCCGAAAGCAGGCAGCAGAGTGTGGAGGAGGCGGATGCTTGGGTGAGCGCTAAGATGGGAAAGGCCGGGCTCTATCATGAGGATGTATGGGGTTAGAGATGTAATAGGTCCTTTTTGGTAATTCGAGAAGATATCGGTCATCAAAGCGCCGTTTATTCTGCAGCTCTGACAAGACCTCGGACAGTCCCACTTGTCCCTGTGTTGGCAGATCTAGAATATGAGAAGTGAAAAAGGTCATCCGATTTATATATAACATTTTCACCGACAGCTATCTAATCATCACAAGCATCAAAGCTACAAATGCCAGCACACCCCTCATAACACATCAAAAACAACTATTCAGAGCTGCTTCAAACTTTGGGCTTTCCTCCTTCGAATCTTCATCATCATAGGTCCCGGATGCGCATTCACGGTATCCTTTGTCTCGAGCTCGAAATCGGGCTTCTCGAATTCGAACTCATAGCGCCGCATCAGCGTCGAGATGACAACGAGGAGCTCCAAATACGAAACGTTCCGGCCAACTGCAAAGCAGGAGTGGTTTAGCGAGATCCGGTCGTTCACGGCAAAAGATGGAAAAGGAAAAAAGGGGAGATTTTGGGTGAAACTTACTGCAACCACGTCCGCCGGCTGAGAAAGGAATAAAGACTTGCTGCAGATCCGCGGCGTCATCCTCCAGCCACCGTTCCGGCTTGTACGTCCAGGGGTCTGAAAACAAATCCGGGTCGTGGTGGAGGGAGTAGGTCGGCACCGAGACGGTCGTGTTGCCGGCGATCCACTCGCCAGCGATCATCATGCCCTCGGGAGGTGTGACGCGCGGCAACCCGCCACGAAGGGGAGGTCTCATTCGCATGGCCTCGTCCACGCAGGCGCGCAGGTACGGCAGGTTCTTGACTTCGTCGAAAGCACAGACGCCGGCGGGGTGTTCGTCGGAGTCATCATCACCCAGGGGCCCCAGGGCGTCGTCGAGCTCCTTGCGCAGCTTCTCGGCGGTGCGTGGCCATTTGGTCAAGAGGAATATGGTGCCCGTGAGGACGATCGAGGTCGTGTCCGAGCCGGCGTTGAGGAGCAGGCCGCACTCGGCGACCATCTCGCCGATCTCGAGGCCCAGGGGCTCGCCGTTGCGGTCCCAGAGCAGGGCGTGGAAGAAGTCGTTGAGCTCGACGCCTTCCTTCTTCTCCTTCTCCTTCTCCAGCCGGGTGCGCACCATGTGCAGCACGATGGCCGTGAAGTCCGCGCCTCCCCTCCAGCCCTCGTGCCACCAGGTCAGCCTCTTGAGCAAGCCGAAGTAGTCGGCGCTCCACCCCATGGTCGAGCCGATGCGGAGCGAATTGCGCAGCGCATCCGCCGGCTTGGTCCAGTACTTTGTCCCGTCGAGCTTCTGCGCCTGCATCATGTCGTCGCCGCGCTCCACGCAGCCGAGGTTCTGGCTGAAGACGAGGTCGCCCGTGAGGTCGAAGAGGAGCATGTTGATGTACCAGCGCACGTTGACGGTTTCTGCTTCCTCGACGGCCCGGTCGAACCGGACGAGCAGCCGCTGGATGTCCTCGACCACGAGGTGCTCCATGTCCGCGATGCGTTTCTGCGCAAACGCCGCCGCCAGCCGCTTCCGCTTCTCGCTGTGCATGTGTCGGTCCGTCACGTCCAGACTGCTCTCGTGCGTCCCCGTGAAGGAAATGTAGAACTTGTCCTTCTGCGCCGCCGTCCCGTGCCCGTATATGTCCCTGGTGGCTTGTCGGCCGACAAACGAGATGTGGTTTGGCCCGACCCGGACGATCTTCCCCAGCCGCTCATGCGCGGCGTGAGTCGACAGCGCGCGGTTGTGGTTGTATTGTTGATACATCATCCACAGGTTGGAGAATCCTGCGATCCCCGGCGCTGGGAACCGCCGTAGTTGCTTGGGGTCGTGGAAATAGCAAACCACCGGGTACACTACAGCGGCCACGATCAGGAGGATCACCGTCGTTTCCCATAACGGGAAGAAATCAAAGATAATGTTGTGAGCATGTGTTGAGTCGGTCATGGTGTGGACTTTGCGGTGGCCAGGTTACCTACAGAAAGGAAGGCTTGCAGTCCTCCACGGCCGGGTCGAGATGACTCTCTGCATTTATTCAGGACAGTAAAGTGCTCGAGAGACCATTCCGCATGCGTGGGGTTCTCGCTCGCATCTGGATCTGGGGATAGCGCTTCTCCCCATTGCCCCAGACAATGCTCTAAGGATCATAACACGATGGCTGAAGAAGGAAGAACTCGTCGAAAGTGAGGTTTACGAAATCAACTTGCACATGTTTCCGCGGATCGGCCATAGCCATGAGTATACATAATCGGCGGATCTTTGGGTCTCGGACCTTTATACCGGATGCGGCATTTGGTCATTGCCGAGTACGAGATAGGAAATCTGCGACGAAGCGGAGGTCGACAAAAGGCCAGATGTTTTCCAATGTCGGCCATATGAAGTATCAAGAGTAGTCGCGTAATATTTCCTACTCGAGGTGGTGGGAGATACAGAGGCGAAACTCTAGAATGGTCTATGTCGTTCAAGGATTGATCTCTGAGTCCTCGTTGTGGATACGCGAAGTTGCATACTCCCGCGCCAGCGTCGTGCGAGTGGGGCGGACCATGGAAAGGGACCAGACCCGAAGAAAATAGATAGGATGGTTCGTGGTAATAATCCCAAATTAAAATCAAAACACAAAAAGAATCAAAGAGCAAGACCATTTGGCCTAATCAGCTTTCAGGTCTCATTTACATGCCCTCGTGCAGCGCCGCTTGTATAGAGCAAACAGCAACTCTCTTGAACAAAACTACCGCCATTGTGGAGCGAATAGCTTTATGACAGAATGAAAGCAGTGTGTGCTGCGGCTCTGCGGCGTCCCAGCCAACTTTCGCACGGCCAGCAACTTCTCCAATCATGCCGTGTTCGACGGCTTCATACCTCAAGAAGTTGCCGTCTAGCATCAGTGACACCTCCGCCCAAAGGCTCTCACCTGCCTCCGACGATGCGAGCCTGTCAAATTGTGAAATATAACTCACCCCACGAGCTTCGAACCATTCCAACCCCATCTTCCTCCTCACTGCGTGAGCACGAGCTTCTCTTAAAAGTGGCTGCGGCATCACTGTGCCACTCAGATCTGGAGTATGTCAAAGGCCACTTGGATTGCACTCTGCCGGTAACAGCTTCACACGAAGGAACAGGTACTGTCATCGCGGTCGGCAGTGGCGTGAGCAGATTTCGGGTCGGAGATCGTGTAATGGCAGGCCAGACATTCGGACGGTGTGGCGAGTGTGAAATCTGCAAGGGCCCGGAAAGCTACCGACACTACTGTCCGCATCGAGAGACAATGATGAGTGTGCAGCGTAATGGTGCCTTTCAAGAATATCTGGTCGTCGACTCAAGAGAGGCGTCAAGGATTCCCGACGAAATGGCATTTGAAACAGCAGCGCCGTTGGCTTGCGCCGGTATCACTGTGTGGAGAGGCATCCTGCAGGCAGAGCTCAGACCGGGTCAATGGCTCGGAATCGTCGGTTCAGGAGGCGGCTTGGGACATCTGGGCATTCAGTTTGCAAAAGCAAGAGGCCTGGAGGTTATTGGTGTTGACGCTAGGGACGAGGGTATTGCTCTCTCGAGAGAGGCCGGTGCAGATGTCGTGCTGGACGCGCGCTTGGGTAAGGAGCATATTGCGAGACAGGCTTTCGAAGTCACCGGCGGGAAAGGCGTGGATGCGACCTTGAACGTTAGCGATGCAAAGCTAGCAGCAGCAACTGCTTGCGCAATCACAAAGAATCACGGAACCATGGTACAGATTGCTTTGGTGGGTTGACAAGAAATCGAATCGATTGTCGCTGTGTTCAAATGGGCGCTGGGCTAACAGCTGAAGCAGCCTCCTGAGGTGTCGATACCATTTTCCGAATACATCTTCAGAGATATACGCGTGAAGGGATCGTTTCTCTGCTCGCAGAAAGAAGCCGAGGATATGCTCCGGTGCGTGGTCGAGCATAACATCAAGATTGAGAAGAACATTTTTCACGGATTGGAACAAGTCCCAACAGCGGTAGAGATGTTGAAGACTGGTGGATACAGAGGGAAGGGTGTCATAATTGTGGACGGAAGTCTCTGAGGGTAGGCCAGGGAGCTGCGACAGGCTTCTCAGCACACGCCCAGCACCCTGTCCACAGGTGCTTTTCCATGGTGCGCCATCAGCAACAGCCTTTGGAAAGTATCAGCTCCTGGATCAAATGGAGCTCGGGCAAAACTAGACGCGAATTCGTGGAAGGCAGCCAAATTCGTCGCTCCGTGGTTCCCAGAGCCATGTGTCTCCGTACACAGATCCAAGAGCGCTTCCCATTCTCCTTCGGATCCAGCAGTCCACATACCAGGGCGAATATCGAACGGCAGTGCTTGAATGAACAGCTCATGATAGCAATATCCTCGCGCCCAGCCATGATATACGCCTTGTATAAGACAGCTCATCAGTACTGCTCGTCGCACGCTTTCTGCCAAGATCCAAGCTTCCCATCGAGAGAGGTTTGACGGTATCATACTGGGCGCGTCCTTGACCAACTTCATCGCTAACCTTCTTGTATAGCCAAGAAGTTTCTCCTTGTGTTGAGGAATGGTCTGTTCATTGGAGAGAAGGAGCCGCGTCAGGTGGGCGAGGAGAATTTGAAAGGCTTGTAAGATGTCGGACAGTGGCTCGCGAGAATTGTAAAGTGCGCATAGCAGGTCACAAAGCCTAGTACACTGCGTTGTATCACTGTAAATAGTCTTTCGACTTTGAACGTCGAAGTCTGGCCCGAGAAGTGCTGGCCGAGGCCGAGGCTTCCTTTGGGGGTGTATGTATGCGGCCGATTGACTGAAGGCCACCGAATCGGCCATGTCCAGCAATTCATGGGCCAAGTATCCGACGGTAAAGAAGTCGGCAGAGATAGGAACCTTGGAGATTACAGGGTATTGAGTGGTTGGGTTCTGGTAACACTCGACAGCGACCCTTTCAGGATCCATGTGCAGAGATGAAACATAACGAAGGAACTTGGCATTGTGCGAGAGGTCGCCATCGTCATCGGCCGTGGATCCTTTGAGGCTGGTACTGGTCCTTGAAGACCTACCCACCAAGGGCTCGAGGTCGTAGACACAGTCGATCTGCCGGGTCTGGCACCGCTGACATTGAGGCAGTTGCACGATGCATCGCCGTTTGGCAGCGGTGCAGGCTCGACAGGCTTTACGTAGGATCCTGGTCATTTGGGTAGGGGCCGGAGCAGAGGGATACGTTTTTACAATGGAATATTGAAATGGTCACTGGGGTTGGAAAGGATGAGGAACAGATGGCATCGAAGAGACTTATCCTTACGCCAAGACCCTACATTGACCTTGATCCTGCCTCCAGTGATGCATCCTCCTCGCCTCCTCGCCTCCACAAACTCCGCATCTTGTCCTGCGTCTCACCATCACCGCCACCCACGACGAATACCCACTGCTAATCCCTTAAACTCAGTCGAGTTTAGCTCCCACCACATCATGTCTCGTACTGTATGAATACAAACACGATATCGAAGGATCGCGGTCCAAACGTCCTCCGCCATGAGAGCACGACAGCGACAGTCTCCAGCCACCCGCAGGCAGCCTCATACAATCTTGCAGTCGTGTTCCTGCAACAGCGCAGTCAGGTACTACTGATGAGCTCTCCACCTTTGCTGACCGCAAATGGTTTAGTCCCCCTCTTGAATAATGGTAATATCTCAACTGCTGCTCGTCAAGAACCACTTCGAGGTAGTTGCTTGCCCAATGTCCCGAAGCCTATCTCCGCTAATACCACTGTCAACGCGGGCGAGCTCGTGGAGGTGCACTGGTATAAAAGGCGGAGTCAGTCACTTAAGACAAGATGGCTTTTGTCCAGCTCCACCGTCACCAGCAAGCCGACACTGACTCCAACGATGGCTCGAATGACTCGGAATTCGGCCTTGAGCGCCTTCATACGCCTATGTCTTCGGGGTAAATACTGGCCTCAGCCTCCCAGCGATCTCGAAAAGGGTGGAAGAAGCTCGGTTGAGGCGACGCGCCAGGCTGATGAGAAAGAGACACCGATTCACCTTGTGGGTTGGGACGGCCCGGACGACGTCGAAAACCCACTCAACTTTTCTGTCGTGAAGAAGAGTGTAATCACGGCACTAACTTGTGTCTACACTTGGGCCATCTATGTCGGCTCTTCGATATACACGTCCAGTCAGCCTGGTATTGAGCATCACTTTGGCGTGGACAATTTCCAATCGACCCTGGGTCTCGCCCTCTACGTCCTGGCATACGGTCTGGGAGCTCTCTTGTTCTCGCCGCTCTCCGAGGTGCCATCGATCGGACGCAATCCCCCCTATGCCATTTCTGGGGCCTTGTTTGTCATCTTGTGCATCCCAACGTCACTTGTTGACAACTATGCGGGGCTCATGATTCTCCGATTCTTGCTGGGCTTCATGGGATCCCCTTGCCTGGCCACCGCTGGGGCAACACTGGGCGATATCTGGGGTCCGATTAAATTCCCATATTTCATCGGGCTCTGGGCGTGTACGACCTCATGCGGACCGGCTTTGGGACCGATGTTGTCGTCCTTTGCTGTCGAGTCTCTCGGTTGGAGATTCTCCAGTTGGGAGCTCCTCATCATTTCAGGCTCCGTCTTCGCCGTGTTCGTCGCCTTGGTTCCCGAGACGGCTGCGCCAACCATCCTGTATTACCGAGCGAAGCGACTCAGAGAATTAACGGGTGATAAAAGGTTCATGTCAGAAGAAGAGATCAAACAAGCGGATCTCACAGCTGGTCAACGCTTCTGGAATTCTATCATCAAGCCTTGGGAAGTCACCATCAAAGACCCGGCGCTGTTGTTCATGACCTTGTACATGGGATTCATCTATGCAATTGTCTACTCTTTCTTCGAGGTGCGCCACTAGTACTCCATGCCTTGCTCTCCACCTTTTCCAGCGTTGCTGCTCAACTCTGGTCCTAACTCTGCTCAGTCATTGCCCCTCGTCTATCCGCCAATGTACGGGTTCTCACCAACTTCCACATCCCTCATATGGCTAGCAGTCATCCCTGCCGCAGGGATTGGCTTTCCACTCCACTGCTTCTGGCTGACCAAACGTATCGAGCCCAAGATCCTGAACCAAACGTTTGGCGATCTGGAGGATTTTCTCGAAACCGGGGTCGTCGCCAGCCTGTTGATGCCAGCATCGTTATTCATGTTTGGTGAGTTTGCGTTATCCTACTCTGAGTTGTCTCCCATACCAATTTCTTCGATCGAGATTTTGAGAGTAGGGATGCTGATTGCGACTTTCATATGTGGCGGTGATGTAGCATGGACGGCTAGACCCTCTGTCCACTGGATGGTTCCCACCATTGCCATCTTTCTCTACATGGTCGCGCAGTATTTCCTGTCGAACTCGGTCTTTCTCTACATTCCGGCCATCTATCCGCGCTATGCAGCGAGCATCCTTGCGGCCAACAGTGTAGCGAGGGCGCTTCTGGCCTTCGTCGCGGTGCTGGTGGGACGACCGATGTTTAAGGGCATTGGCATTGATGGGGGTGTGAGCTTGTTGGGAGGTCTTACGACGGTTTGTGCTGCCCTACTAGCTGGGTTGTATTGGAGCTGGGGGAAGAAATTGAGGGCCAGAAGTCGTTTTGCTGCGTGATTAGCTGATACTGATCCTCGTATTACATTTTGGGGTAGACGCCTAGTGCTGGTAGCGCCAGGATCAGACATTAGAATTAGCCCAATAGATGATACACTAGATAGTACAACCATGAAATAGTAGCTCGAGAAGGTAGATTTTCAAAAAAAGCCGAACGGTACAGGATCCTGTCTACGGAGGAGAATGCGGCGAAAATGCGAAGGAAATTGAAGACTATCCGCAACTCACCTCAGGTTGATGCCTCCCACTCAGCAGCTATAGCTTACTAGTATCTCCGAGGGCATTGGCAGATCATCGTCTTCTTGTTACTCTTCTTCCTTCTCATCGTCGTCACTGGGCCCCTCGGCGCTCATTAGACGCATCTCAGCTACATCAAACGCCCGCCAGTACATGTCTCCCGGATCAGAATCATGAGGGATCTTCTCAATTTCCTCCAGTTTCGCCCCAACGCAAGCCGCGTTAGGGGTCCTGATATCCTCCTCCATGATTCAGATATTCCCGGTCAACGTAGGGCCTTTCTTTTGTATTTCATTGAGCAGTTTCGTTGGGGAACGAGGCGGGTTGGGTAGGAATCTCGCGATCACGTCAACTTCGGAAGCCCACGCACCCCTGCCTGACTTGCTAGAATCTGTCCACGGATTCCTTGACTAGATTGACTTTCATGGCCAATGCTAGTCACTTGTGATGCCCCAAAGGTAAACCATAATTGGGCCAAAACAGGACTGAAATTGCGCTGCCGAGATTGAGCGACTAAGCTCTCACCAGTTCTAACGCCATGAGCGCTGGAATTGCATTTTGGCATGATCCGACGACATCACCCTTCATTCGCAACTGTGAGGGATCTTGCTTCAGCGCGCAAGACTTGCTTTCCACGGTGCCTTTTTGAGAGAATGTTCAGCGCCGTTTCCAAAGTCTTGGGCCGCGGGTCGGAGATGTCTCATGGAGCTCATTTCTTTCAGTCTGAGCAACAGATGCCAACCTCACCTCATTTCGAACTCGGCCAGATGATGCACAGGACTCGATCCCTTTAGTCCACCGCTGAAGCGACGCCAGCGAGAGCCTCCGTCTTTCGGCACTCGATCTCCATCTTCAAAAGCTAGGAGGAAAGGGCAAAAGGAACATACTGATCTTGCCCACGAATGAGCGCTTCCCTTTCGTATCAGCGATCCCCAGCTCTGGAAGATCAGCTATACTCTCGCCAATTGATGCAACCGGTTCTCGCCAACGTTTTCGGACATCTTTAGCAATCCTGTTGTTTTCAGCGTGGCTCCAACCACTAACCAAACCTCTGCCTTCCTCCAAACAAAGGTTTCGATGCATTTCCCGCTTATTAAAGCCTTGAAGAGGCTTTTCGGGAGATCCAATCCTGAGACGAAGCCCGTTGGCACAATGTGGAAAGATTGGATCGTATTTATCGGGGACTACCAGCGTGTCCCACCCGTCATCTGTATGTGTGAGGTGCTCCCTACCTCGCTTACCTATCCAAACCTCCATTGGCTGGTCGCCCTGGCCTTGGACTTTGCTCGACAGAAATCCACCACCGTGAGAGGGGTTTGCCAAACTTTATGGACGAAGCTCACCGCATTGTTCTTTTGTTGGAAAAGAGAAGTCGCCGTTTCATACTAGTACTTTCCACATGCCCCTCGTCACTATGACTGTGGGTCTATAAGAGGAGCCCCGATCAGCACTACACAGCTTCGGCCTTCATTCTCCGATCTCCATAGACCCGAAGCTGGGGACCCGGGGACCCCAGAAAATGCATCGCACCCTTCGCACCCTGCTTTCTCCAGATCATATGATGAAGGCCCACGGAACTTGTTTGTTGCTGAGCTCTAGTCCCCCTTCCCCTCCCCCTCCCCCACGTACCAAGCCTTTCTGGGCACCACCCAGTTGTCATGCTCAGCTCGTCGTCGACATCAAGGTAGCGACCGTGCCACGGGGAATGGTATCCATTTGCGGACATCGAGAACCGAGAGATGGGTTTGCGTCCCCTTACTTTGCTTCCATGCTACGCGTCCGTGTTTGCCCACGGCCGCCGCTCGGATCAAAGGCATCAGACTCTATAATTCTGGAGGTTCAATCCGAATACTTCTTGGGAGATCCCGCCCGAGTCACACCACAACAGCAACGACTTCAACGAACGCACTGTGTGCTGGCACATTAACTGAGTTCACAACATGCTCGTTAATAGCGTGTTTACGCACGACATCTCACCTTTGTTTATTGTTCTTCTACTGGGGTCGGCTGGCGCTATCCTCATATGCATCCGCCTCCTCTATAACCTCTACTGGCACCCTCTCTCGAAGTACCCCGGACCATGGTACGCAGCTGCAACTTCTCTGTCGGTGGCGGCGATATCGGTGTTGAAGGTTGAGCCACAATGGTTGATGAGCGTGGTAAGAAAATATGGGAGTACGTAGTCCACCCCTTGTTTTTCTCGGAGCCATCAACTTTTATTCTTCCCTCGCCCAGTTTGATTTGAAAAAGAAGAGCTGGTTATTGATTGACTGCCATTTCCCGCTTCATAGCTGAGACACCTATCCGTATCGCGCCCACGGTGTTGCTGTTCCCAAAGCCGTCCGCGCTCAAAGAGATATACTGGGACCCCAAATGTAACACTAAGATGTCTCTCTATGGGACCGGAGCTTTGGGACCGCCGCATCTCTTCACAACGCTGGATGGCGAAGAACACAAGAACCTGAGGAAGGCTCTTGGTGGTCAGCAGGTAATTACAAATTCTACAGTCTTTCTTTTTTCGCAATGCAGCAGCTTACCAGCTTGTGATTGTGTAGTGGACCATTGGGTCTCTGAAGAACAATTGGGAACCTCGCATAGACGATTTGGTCCGTCTGTTCATCCACAAGATGACGGAAAGAGCTCAGGCCAAAGATACGGTCTTGCTCTCGGAAAGAGTAGCGCAAGTGGTATCCAGGACGCGGCTCTCGAATCAAATAACTGACCGTGTAGCAGTGAGTTCGCCGCGGATATCATGACCATGATCTCTTTCACCGAGCCCTGGGGCTTCGTCAAGAACAGCCGTGATGAGCGAGCCATCCTCGGCAACTGGCGGAAAGGACTTCCTTTGTTTGGATTCGCCGGCCGATCGAATTCCTTTAGGAAACTTCTGTCCATTCCTGGCGTTGGCGAGCAGCTCCTCCCCAAGGCCACCGATAAAGACGGCTTCGGGTATCTGATGAACTTCGCCGACAAGGAAGTATCCCGTCGCGAGGAGAAGATGGAAGCCGGTATGACTTCGGATAAACCAGATTTCCTCCAACAGTGAGTTCAAAGCGTGCGAGACACGACATGGCGCAAGCGCTGAACATTCCAATAGCTGTCTAGACGCACGAATGGACGGAAAGCCCCTCAGCCCGACGCAAAAGAGAGCCCATGTGACACTTCTGATTCAAGCAGGAGCAGACACTACTGGGACTGCGCTTGGCGCCACTTTACGATTTCTGGCCTTGAACCCCGACAAGATGAAACGCGCGTGGGAGGAAGTTGACGCTGCTGATCGTGCAGGCAAATTGTCGGACCCAATTCAATACGAAGAAACGCGCGAGCATCTGCCTTTCTTCTGTGCATGCATCAAAGAAGCAGTTCGATTATGCCCCCCTGCCGACAACCTTTTCGGGCGTGTGGTTGGAAAGGCGGGTAAAGTGATTGACGGACACTTCCTTCCTCCCGGGACAGAGATCACGAGCAATGCATACGTCGTGCAGCGAGATCCGGTCTTGTACGGCCCAGATCCCGAGGTCTTCCGCCCCGAACGGTGGCTTGAAAGCAAAGAAAAGGCTGCGGAATTGGAGCTTCACAGCTTTGTGTTTGGCATTGGGCCCCGCATCTGTCTGGGAAAGGACGTCGCAATCATCGAGCTGCACAAGCTTCTTCCCGAGGTAGGTCAATGAATCTCCAGCATAAAGAGCAGTTCAAGCTCGGGAATGGGTCTGAACTTACATACCTCGCAGATTATTCGCCGCTTCGATATCGAGATTGTCACTCCAGGAAGGTTCGTGGTGGCCGGGGGTGTCGCATATTTCAACGACTTTAACGTGAAGTTGATAGCCAGAGAGCAAGCTGCTTGACTGACCAGGAGTCTATCGGTGAGCGAGTGATCAAATCCACCAGCGTGTATTGGTTTAGAAGAGAGATCTGGTGACTCGGCTCCATCGCAAGCTGTTCAGCACCTATGTAGGGCTTGAAAGGGTAGTTTCGGGGCAGCAGGAAAGCCGTACCAGTCAGAGTAACGATCAGATCGTTGGCATGAATGGATTCTGCGCCGGTCAGATGAAGAACACGAAATGTAATACCAGCCTAGGTACTTGACCGTAGCATTGTACGGTGAATCTTATCGCCCTGGACCCGCAGCATCCCCGCCAGCTGAAGACAAACTCCCGGCCGTCGTCGGGACATTATCGACGCCGTGGAGGGACCGATGACCCTCGGCACTGACTCGATGCTGGCGATGGCATATCGCTCGTTCCAGGGATCAATGGCTGGCATCTGCCGTCCGTTGCTTCACGAACAGGCTTTGTGTCTCCTCAGAATCCCTTCCAATCCTTGATCTGTTGGCTTGACCGTTCCGAATTGTTTGAGTTCTGCTCTCAGTCATTCCCTAGAAGCCCAAGAATGGACAAACCCAAGAAATTCTATACCAAAGACTACATGTCACGACCGGGGATGTCGTTCGCGATTGAGATTGCAGATCCGGTGCAGAGAATAGAGGAGTTTATGAACAGATACAGGAGAGAGCCCGTTGCAGAAGTACGCCTCCACCACGCCCGCGGCACCTCGCCGGAGGACGAATAAGGTCGTTGAGAGCGTCGATGTCTGACAAATAAGCCTTGCAGGGCTTCGAAGAATCTCTGATGACGAGAGATCTCAGCGTTGTCAGTGCGACGGGCCCACCAAATGTCACCACCGCTGTCTTCGAGATGGACATCATCCCCATGTACGGAACCCGGATGGGCAATGCTTCAGGCGCCGCCATCACACTCATCCACGACATGTGCACGACGATGGCTATGGCGCCGCTGGCGAGGCAGGACTTCTGGCATTTCGGCGGAGTGTCTAGAGTCCTCAGCGTCACATACTTGAGGCCAACAAAGGTGGGCACCACGGTGTTGATCGAATGCGAAGTTCTGCAGGTGGGAGCGCGATTTGGTACGTTGCCGCGATAACTGCTTTTGGCAAGGAAGAACTGACATTCGACCTCCAGCGACGATACGAGGGAGCATCAAGGACAAGGCCACAGGTGATCTCCTCTCCGTCTGTGAGCACAACAAAGCAAGCATCATTTTCCGCGAAAACCCCAAGATTTGAATCACAGGGTGCGTGCCACAGCATGTATCCATTCCTGTTGCCCAGGGGGTTTCCCGAGGTTTGAGTGAATATAGCCCTACCAATTGCGAATATCAGCGACCAATTCGTGCCCTTGAAGCGCTAATCGAAGTAGGGTGTGCCCCCTCCATGTTGGTTTCTGGCTCTGGACAGGGTCATCGACGTCGGCCCGACTGGAATGTATTCAAAAGTTTGAGTTGTGGCACCAGCAACCCCCTCCACGGACGGATCTTATCCCGCTCACGCAAAAAGTTCCCGCCACTGTTCAGCCACTGACATGCCACGGACATTCGCGATACGAGCATGTCCAGAACCAGTTGACATTCTGCTTTGATATCATTGGTGGAAACATCAACACCACTGCAGGGGAAAAGGAAAAGATGATCTCATACCGCTCGGGGAGTCCTGTTTCCAGGGAAAACGTGGAAAATCCCAACCAACGCCAGATTCTGGTCCTAAAGGTCGGCCTGGGCATAATTTGATGTCATTTGTAGACTTGCTCTTTTCTCGTTGACTGACTTATCCTCGCCGCTCCTTCTCATTTACTTCGTTTGCCTTTCATATCCAACTGGATCTTATAGAGTGCACGGCTATATTTCCTTGACGGACATTTCTTCTGCTTTGCTTTTCGAAATGGGACCCACGCCCGAGAATTACTGCATGTTGCAGGGTTTCGAATGGAACGTCCCTGCCGATCAGAAACATTGGGTTCGGTTGCAAAATGCACTCCAAGACCTGAAGAACATTGGAATAGACAACGTCTGGCTCCCGCCTGCGTGCAAAGGTCAGGGTGGTGAGCAGGCCAATGGCTATGACATTTACGACCTGTACGACGTTGGCGAGTTTGAACAAAAAGGCTCCAAATCTACCAAATGGGGGCCCAGAGAGGATTTAGATCAGTTGAGCAACAAAGCAAAGGAGCTCGGGATTGGACTGTACTTCGATGCGGTGCTAAACCACAAAGCTGGCGCGGACAGGAAAGAGAAGTGCAGGGTCGTCGAGGTGGATCAGAGTGGTAAGTTCAACTTCGAATGTTCGCAATGTTTCAAGTTATTTGACTGATTGGATTCTCAGATCGGAACAAGGAGATTGGAGAGCCGTTTGAGATCGAGGCGTGGCTGGGCTTCGACTTCCCCGGCCGTGGCGACAAATACTCTGCGCAAAAGTATCACTGGGAGCACTTTTCAGGAACCGATTACGACGCAGCTACCGAAAAAACCGGTATTTTCCGCATCCTCGGCGAGAACAAGCATTGGTCCCATTCCGTGGGCGACGAAGCGGGCAATGCCGACTTCCTCATGTTTGCCGATCTCGACTACAGCCATCCAGAAGTCGCGAAGGATGTAATCCACTGGAGCGAGTGGGTGGTCAACGAACTCAAGCTGAAAGGGTTCCGCTTCGACGCCTGCCAGCATTTCTCTGAGCGTTTCACCAACGACCTGGTGAAACATCTGGAGGAAAAGTTTGGAAAGGACCAGTTGTTCCTGGTCGGAGAGTACTGGAGCGGCGACAGACAGGAAATGCTCGAGTGGCTGAACAATATGAACCACCGCTTCAGCTTGTATGACTCGCCACTGGTATATTCCTTCTCACAAATTTCCAAGACAGAGAAGGGAGACCTCCGAAAAGTGTTTGACAACAGCCTCGTACAGGCCAAACCTGAAAGTGCGGTGACGGTGGTGATGAATCACGACACGCAGCCAGGGCAAACGGTCGAGACACCTATTGAAGGTTTCTTCAAGCCGATCGCCTACGCTCTGATCCTGTTGAGGAGGGAAGGCTACCCGTGCGTCTTCTATGGTGACCTCTACGGTATGAAGGGAAAGCAGGCCGAGCCACCTGCGTGTGGTGGGAAGTTGCCTCACCTCGTGCTCGCGAGGAAGCTTTTTGCATACGGCGACCAGGACGACTACTTCGACGAGGATCCGAACTGCCTCGGATTCGTGCGCAGAGGTACCGAAGACAGGAAATCTGGCCTTGCCTGCGTCATGTCGAACGCCGACCCAGGTACAAAGAGGATGTTCGTGGGCAAGGAGCACGCGGGGGAAGTCTGGACTGATGTGCTCGGGTGGCAGCAGGATGAAGTGAGGATAGGAGAAGACGGTTTTGGTGAGTTCATGTGTCCTGGCACGAGCGTCAGTGTGTGGGTGAGCAAGGACGCCGAGAGCAGGGACAAGATGGATAAGTTGGACTTTGATAGCGACATTTACGCCAAAGCATAAGCAGAGCCAAGCTCGGAGGCGATTTGGATACAAGGATATTAGACAGCGCTGACAGAGAGTCAGGTTTAATTTGGGATAAAGGCTGAAAGAGGTATAACAATAGAGTATTTGTTAATACGAGGCGAATTTAGAGTCTAGAACAGGTTAGGAAATAGGCCGTCGACATTGATCCGTCGAAAGGGTGCGAGATAGGGTTGACATAACACTTGCATCTCATCTTGCCCTGTAAGGCTGCATGCAGTGTGCCCGTCCCAAACCCACAGACTCATAAGACTCAATGCGATCGTCAGAGTCAGGGTGGCAAGGCGATGGATCAAAAGGGAGGAGCCGAAGGGGGAGCTGAAGTCCGGATCCTTGAGCCTGGGCTTTGTTAACACTTGACCAAGACCCCTAGATCCCCTAGATATTCTATTTCCCCCCAGTGAAAGCCGTCAGGCCTGATACATCTCTGAGATGCATCCTAGTAAACGTCCAAAGAAATATCCCAAGGCGACGACCGCCATTCTTCCCGAACGTACAGCTTCAGATTACGGCCGTCACCAGCGTAGCGAGCGGCCGATCTCCTCGCCATGTCAGACTTACATACGAGAAATGCAGGGAGCCTGATTGAGCACGTACGCCCTACCATTGCCAATCATTGCCAACCACAACGCTTTTCTCCTCACTCAGCTCGTTCGGGTCTGGGGTAATCCCGGGTTAGGTCGATACGAGGGCACAGGCGGCCCTGAGTACCATGATATAAAATGAAGACCAAAAAAAAGGCCGAGCTCCCCGTCCGTTTATCTCGAGTATAGAGGTTGTGCTCACTGCCAAGCTGGTGCGCTCCAGGAGACATAGAGAATTCACGGCTATTCTCACTATGGACGTTCGTCTTCTCGTTGCATTGGCGGCGCTATGCTTCCTGCTCATCCGAGTGATCTCCATTGGCATGCGAAGACCGAAAATGCCTCCAGGTATGACCCCTTGGCCTTTCTCCTGGAATAGTGGTTCCTCGAATACATTTCACTGACAGGAGGTGAAAAAGGACCGCCGACGCTCCCTGTCATTGGGAATCTACATCAAATCCCCAAGAAGGACATACACTTGCAACACCAGAAATGGGCCCAAGAATGTGAGTGTCACAACAGACCTCATGTGGAGTTTGGCGATGGTTAAACGACCGGTGATGACAACAGATGGACCGATCTTCTCCCTCAAGCTGGGAACGCAGGACGTCGTCGTGCTCGCCAGCGGCGAGATGATCAAGAGACTCGTGGACAAGCGAAGCGGCAACTACGCCGACCGGCCCTCGCTCTTCATGCAGGACATCTTCGAGCACTCGCGGATCATCATGCGCGGCTACGACGACCTGTGGAAAGTCGAACGCAAACTCTACCACCAGTTCCTCAACAGCACAAAGGCCGCACGATACACCCCTTACCAGGATCTGGAGACCAAGCAGCTCTGCTTCGACCTTTTGCACCGCCCGCAGGCCTTTGAGGGTTTGATCACGAGGACGACACTGAGCGCCGCCACCAGCATGGCGTACGGGTTTCGCGTGACGGACCCAAACAACCCCATCATGAAGGAGCTCCTCCACAACGCCCACGGCTTCTTCACCATGGTCCACAAATCCCAGTTGCTGGACTGGTACCCTCAGCTGCGGCCCATCGTGCGCTGGCTCCCGTCGTTCTTGTACCCCATGTATCGAGACGCCAAGGAGATCTTTCGTCGGGAGAAAGCCCAGTTCCACCAGCTGCTCAACGATACCAGGAAGAAAATGGCCTACGAGAACTCACTCCCAAGTACGCAAGTGCCCCCATCAAAGAAGGGGTGTTTTTCTCCCAGAGGATGAGGGACCCCGAGCTGACTTGTTCTTTCTGTACATGACAGGCTTCGCGTCAGATATCGTACGAGCACAAGAGTCGTGGAAGGGGAAGCAAGAAGGTGCCATCCTGACTGACCATGCGGCCGCATACATCGCCGGCATCGCCATGGAAGGGGCAACAGACACCCAGAGCAATCAGCTCGCCGGGTTCATCAAGGTAGAGGACCGAGTTCTTTTGTTTCAACGTTCTCATACTGACTTTTGACCTCCCAAGGCAATGATGCTGTACCCCGAGGTCCAGAAGCAAGCTCATACCCAATTGGACGATGTCGTGGGGAGCGATTGCCTTCCTGAGCCCAGCGACCTCGATCATCTGCCGTACATCCGACAGATCATGAAAGAAGTTGTCCGCTGTATGCAAGCCCACACCCATCCATCCATCCCACTGCGTGAGAAAGGCTGATATCTTTCGAACAGGGATGCCCACAGCCGTGACGGGCGCGATCCCGCACGCAGCGCGGGCCCAGGACGAGATCGACGGGTACGTGATCCCTCAGGGGGCCACGATCCTGCTGGCCGTGTGGGCGGCCAACAACGACCCGGCGCTGTTCCCGAACCCGCGCGTCTTCGACCCGTCGCGCCAAAACCCAAGTCTGTCCATGGGCGAGGCCGCGCTGGCCCCTGACATCCGCGACCGCGACCACTGGACGTTTGGGGCGGGCCGGCGCATCTGCCCGGGCATCCACGTCGCCGAGGGCACGCTGCTGCTCAGCATGGCGCGGATACTCTGGGCATTTGACATCTCCAAAGCCAAGGACGCGCAGGGGCGCGAGATCCACGTCGACCAGGACGAGTTGACGCAGTCGATTGCCGCGAGGCCACTTCCTTTCAAGTCAGTTTTTTCATCTCCTCATTTAACCCACCTTCACTCTGTTTCCGCCCCCTTCTTCTCTCCGACGAACAGATCCATGAAGAGGGGTTATCCTGCTGACGGCGTCCGTTATAGATGTGACATCCGCGTTCGAAGTGACAAGCACGCCGAGGTGGTCCGGAAAGCCTGGGACGGGGCGCAGCACGTGTTGGACGAGGCGGGCAATTACAAGATGAACGTGCTGTGAATAGAATAGGATGGCGCATAAAGAGTTAACCGGGTTAGTTGGTTGATATCGATGGCATTCCACACGGCCGATGGGTCTGATTCTCTCAACCGCCACCACCATAGCCGTCCGTTCACCTGCGCAGGACTGCACAACAACCCTCGACGGGTCCCTGGGTCCCTAAAGGAGGAGGATTAGGAAATCCATGTGCCCGAGTCAATTTCCATCCCCGCTTTCCAAATAGGTGACAATGTCGATCCAAACAAAGGATGGTTGGCGTGGTTGGATTAGTTTCGTTGCCCAACTTTTCCCCGCAAAACTTTCCATTTTCGCAATTCGGCAAACCCCTTATTATTATTGTTGTTACTTTTGTATGGACCCTCGTCTTTTTTTCCCATTTCCCCAAAAAAGAGAGTCCACACTTATCCCATTGGGCTGGTTGGACAGTGTCGACGTCAACGGGTGTGCGGGCCCCGAAAGTGTGGGCGCTAGCTAGTACTGTAGGATGGACGACTATGTGCGGGCGAGGGTGGCGAGGAGGAGGAGGAGGAGGAGGAGGAGGAGGAGGAGGAGGAGGGGATGGATATCCGGATGTGCAACGCACGCGTTACGCTCTGGTTGGGCATTTGCCCCGCATTCCCCGTTGAGTGAGTGACTGAGTGACTGGACAGATATGACGCGTTCGGGTGTCTCTCTCGCTGAATTTGTGGGCGGGGGAGAGGGAAGTGGGATTGCTAACGTAGATATAAATATGGGAGAGTCTATGGGGGTTAGCCAGCTAGGCAGTCGGTAGGTCGACTTGCTCAGACAGGCCATATATACTAGAAAGACATAGCGTCGCGGAGCAAAGGGGACAAGAAAGTGAACTGAAGCGGACATTTCGGCCTCTTCGAGAAAGACAGAGACATGGTATTTTAACCGTCCGTTCCATCCGGTTTGGAGACGAAAACCTTTTGCAACCAAAAAGCAACCGAGTTGTTAGAGCAGAGTTCCCTCTCACAGGGGGGCAAGGCTGACCTGAGAAAGGGGCTGCCGCTGCCGGTCACCAACAAACAGATCTGATTACTGGTCCGACGCCGTCCCATAAACAGAGTCGAAGAAGCCAGTATATTGAATTTGATATCGTCTTTCTACAAAACACGGAAGCTCCTCTACATCCTATCTGGCTCCATCTCACCCACTCCATTCTCCCTCCTTGTTCGTTCATTCAGCAAAAATGAAAGCCGTGCGCGTGGTCGGGTACCACCAACCGCTCGAGCTGAGCTCGGACGTGCCAGAGCCACAAATCACGTCGCCGCTGGACGTGATTGTGAAGATCGGGGCCGCGGGGGTGTGTCGCACGGACATCCACATCCTCGAGGGCCAATGGGAGGCCAAGTCCGGGGTCAAGTTGCCGTACACTATCGGGCACGAGAACGCGGGCTGGGTGCACAGCCTTGGGGAGGCCGTGACGGGGCTGGAGGTCGGCGACAAGGTCATCCTGCACCCGCTGGCGACGTGCGGGCTGTGCCGGGCGTGCCGCTCGGGCGACGACGTGCACTGCGACGCCTCGAAATTCCCGGGCATCGACACCGACGGCGGCTACGCCGAGCTCCTCAAGACCACGGCCCGCAGCGTCATCAAGCTGGACCCAAAACTCGAGCCGGCCGACGTGGCCGCCCTCGCGGACGCCGGGCTCACCGCGTACCACGCCTGCGCGAAGGCCGCGCGGGCGCTCAGGCCCGGCAACGTCGTCGTCCTCATCGGCGCGGGCGGCCTGGGCCACATTGGGATTCAGGTCATGAAGGCCATTAGCGCCGCCACGATGGTGGTGGTCGACAGAAACGCGGACGCGTTGGCGCTGGCGAAAAAATTGGGTGCCGACCATGTCGTGCAGGCGGGGGATAAGGGCGACGACGGTCTCGTCAAAGAGGTGCTCTCGCTGACGGGTGGGAAAGGCGCAGAAGCAGTCATCGACTTCGTCGCCGAGGGTGGTTCAACCGCAACTGGTGTTCGCATGCTCCGTCGAGCAGGGAACTACTGTAAGTTTACCCATTGCCGCTTGCTCATTTTCCACCCCCTCGTCACTCCTCTTCCTGTTGTACAGTGATCTTTTTTCTTCTTCTTTTCAACTACGGCACTCTACTGCGTACTACTCCCCCCCCTTTTCCCCCAATGAAATGATGAGTGCTGAAAAGACACCAAACAAACAGACATTGTCGGATACGGAGAGAACATCAACGTCCCCACCATCGACATCATATCGACCGAGATCAACTTCATCGGCAACTTGGTCGGGTCGTACTGTGACCTGGCCGAGCTGATGGTGTTGGCTGCGCAGGGGAAAGTGGTCCTGCACACGTCCATCTACAAGCTGGAGGACTTCCAGAAGGCCATTGACGATCTGTCCGCGGGCAAGGTGAGGGGACGAGCTATTCTTGTGCCCTGAAAGGATTGGGGACGAGGACGAGGACGACGTGCAGGCTGCGGTTTCAGATAGCAAAGAGATTGGTTGCTCAGAGGGGTCACCAGAACGTGATTCATTTCCTTGAAAAGAGGCGACAGTAATAGGAAGCTTGAGACTGTCAGTAAAGGGGATGTTGTAACAGGTTCAAATCTCATCAGTCTACGCTGCAAGCTATCTTGACTTATGCTGCTCGCCTTTTTGCGTCCGCTTGCAGTTGATGATGACGGGATTCTAAGGGAAAAGTTCAGGGTAGTTGAATGGTTTGTGACGGCGGACTCAGTCGTCCCAACGGCGTCAGGATGAGGGCGAAGGATCCCAACTCACGGTGACACGCGACGGACTAGGAACCTACTGCATTGCAGTGCTCGACCTGCGACAATAGAGCCGCTTCTCATTTGATCAGTGCCGATCGCCAGTCCGAGCTCGTATAGAATTCATGCACCACCTGCGCCCAAGTCTTCGCCTTGACCTCATGCCGGAACTCTCCCCCCCAGTGCGCAATGTCTTGTTCTTTTAGCTCGAATCCGCCAAATCCCACACTACGTCGAAAGCTCTGCTGCACGTCGTTGCCTACCATGGCTTTTTCAGAATGCTCAGTTTTGTACGACGACGCATAGAGACCCTCCTCATACGTCACGTCTATCGGATGGCGTAGGACGTAAGAAATGGCGTCGAAGAGGGAGAGGGTCGGTATTGTCGACGCAGCAAAGCACAGGTACCTCCTTAGATTGAGGTCGGACAGGTGGTGCGGAAGAAGACTCGCGACGATGAGTTTGGCGACGCTTTGAGAGCCAAAAAGGTTAGATCGATTGACCGTGTCCGCAGGAGAGGAGGGAAAACTTACTCGTCGCTATGTGTCACTGAGATTCGAGCGTCCGGGTGTCCCAGGTAGACGACTGATCTTTGATCTTCGCTCAGCCCCAGAACATTGGATTCGAGAAGGAAATCCGAGAGAGCGCCTGTCATGACGCATGTGAACCCGAGAGAGGTGTCAGCCTGCATTTTCCCTTCGATGTATTTGCGCGTGACGATCTTGCCGACAAAGTACAGCTCGTCTCGAATGGCAGGATGGTTGAGGTCAGGGCCATCTGGATCCCAAGTCAGCAACGACCTCGATACAACTCTTTTTGGAGGCAGGGAAAGCAACTCTCACATTCGGCGGAATACAGGTGTTTTACTCCGCCAGCAAAGGCTGCCTCAGCATACTCGGTTTGTTTGGCGCAAACATCATCTTCGACAGTCGATATGACTATCTGGAAGCCTTGATACGACTTGGAATCGGAAGGGCTTCCCACAATACATTCCAGTGTGGTACGGCCGTACTCGATTTCCTTCTGGTAGGCCGAGTCAGACGGTGGAAGGAGAAAAGCCACTCGAGAGAAATGCTGTCTGTGAAGAGCCAATTCTTTCAATGTTTTGCGGCCGACCCTGCTTGTTGCACCGAGCAAGAGGACTGAATAGGCCATCTTGATAGACGATCTCCCCAGTGGAATCGGGCAAAGTCTGACATAGAGATGAAAACGCGCACAAGGGAAACAAGATGGTCTATCCAAGCCATACGCAGCTTCAGTTTCGGAAGTTCGAGCTGGGAATTGCCTGCAGCATGTCGAATTTGGGACATCATCGGGCTCCGTGGGATCCGTAAGGCAGTGATCATTGATCAACCCCCGTCGCCACCTCCACGCAAGTTTTCGCCCAGAGGAGTTCCTCCGGCTCTGTATAAAAGGGATCGAAGATCGGACATGATCTCTAGATCTGTGTTCTTTTGGAGTATGCTGGGCGAAACTTGGCCCCGGAAAGCTGGTTTCCACGCCAGCAACTACCGCATTCGGAGGAGAGCCAATGCGCCAAACAAGGCCTACGGTTGCCGGGACTGCTCCAGCCTCCCAAGCTCAGGTGATAGTTCCAGGGCCTTGTTGCAGGATCGAATTAGTAATATTGTATAAACGTACAATCTGTCCAACAGGGAAGTTTGAGGCGTCACTCTGCCTTCGTGTTGCCTGCCATGCCATGGAGTGCTGCGACTGGAGCATGTGAAATTGCTGTATCTGGGCATAGGTGCCAATCCGAACTTCTGAGGAGGCAATGTTTCTCATTGATCAGGTCAAAAAGGTAGACATGGCTCACCTAACCTTGCCAATGCTTAGGAAGGAGTAGCCTGATCAAGAAACTGGGGAGTTTCCGGAGAAAGGCACATAGACGACGGTGATGACGAGGCTGCATAGCCCACACAGCTTTGACCTGGCAGTCAAAGCCAGATGAAAACCGCAGGTGCTCTCGGTACCTTGTTGGAGGGTGTCACAGGAACTTACTCATGTAGGATCTGCGTCAGTCATCTTAAGCAGGGAACAGTTACTGAATACAAAATCTTTGCAGCTGATGTGACGCTCCTCCCTGTCCTGTATTTGCCTCGCAGCTAGGCAACTTGGCACCTCTGTGCTTTTAGATGGGCGAGAGCTGTCCACTCTCTAGTCAGAAGATACTAAGCATTCAGAGGTTTCCTTTCGTGTTCCCACAGCTGAACTATCCTAGACTCGGTATTAACATCTACGTCCTGAATTTCTTAGACATCCAGAGCCAAGATAGAAAAGGAGCATTGATTCAATCTGAGACGAAGACCCATTCACCGCCCTGTTGGGATGAGACTGCAATCGATTATCTTATGCGCTTGTCACATGAGAAGCTCCAAGGACACAGTAAGAAGCTGAGGGGTATGGTTGGTGGAAGACGTAGGTATGGGGTGACTGGGAGATCAAATTCCCATTGACTGCCTCGTAGTTCCGCTCAATGGCCGCCCTAAGCTATAACAATTCTTAAAGGCCAGGACACATTCCAATCTAGGACTACGAGTATTCGGTATGCTCCTAGCATTCAAGTTTCCGCCGCCCTAGAACTTCCCCGAGTCCTACAGATTGGAAGCTGGGGTGGAGCACAGGGCGGCAAGACCCTCATCCCAAAGCGGATTTCCTCGCACTCATTCTTCCTTGCTAAGTGCAACCCCGCGTCGCGTGTCGAGGCATTTTGGAACTCATGCTGCAAACCAAGTCTCATCCCAGCATTCGTGATTCCAATCCAAGTCACGCCTTCCAGCATTTCTCAGACCACTACTTGCAGGATTTGTCGCTCTCGAGGAGAAAGAAAGGGCAAGAAAATGGACAGAACCACCACCGCTCCCGCAAAACAATCCCTACCACGCCCGTCATCCGTCGCGTCCACAAACACAACATCCACCAACAAAACCCGGCAGTACGCCCATCTACACGCGCAGTTGGCGCAGTTGAACGCGCATCTCGCGGACACCGAGAACCTGTTGAGGATGACAGCCGTACAAGCCCAAGACATGCGATTCTTGGGAGGCTACGTGGGGGCACTGTTCATGGGCAGCGCCAAGGTTCTTGGGGAAGAGAGTGTGCATGGGGCCAGAGAGAAACAACAGGGAGATGGATCGAAGAACTCCTGAAATAACTTTGCTAAGCCTGAGTGCCTGTCGATGAAGCTGAGAACAACCTCGACTTCGGCGTGATCACGACGAGTCTTCTCACAGAGGACTTCTTCCCCCTTCCCCTCCCCCGGGAAAAGTGACGAAGATCAGCAGTTCAAGAACTCCCATTCCGGGGGAAAGGCTTTATCGCATCAACTCCCTCCAGGTGCTCCCTGGCTTTCTGGAGTCGGCACCGCAGATGACTTCTACCGCCCCGTCAGCCGTCGCCTTGTATTCAACTGTGGACGATCGAGGAGATCCATGTCTGGAGAAATCACTATTCGAATATAGCATATGCCAACCGACTTTGCTCCAAATGAAGCCGGGTATCAATCCAACTTGGTGGCTACTCACTTGCAAGGATAGGTGATTGTCACCAAATTTGCGGCGTATCTTCTAGTGGGGTAGAGGGCTTTGCAAGGCACGCATGCATTGCTCTTGCCTCGACAAATAGCGGAATGGGGTTGTCTCATGGCAGCAGAGATGCTTGTTCCTGTCATCCAAAGTTCTCACTCTTTGCGCCCGCTACGTATCATCAGAACACAGTCACTATTGTGGCTCAGGTCGAGACACCAATGCCGGTCTCCGCCAATTGTAACCCTCAGCTGAGGAGTCTCTGGTCTGCATTTATTTCTGCACACGGGCAATATTGCCTTGCCAACCTATTTGAATGTACCCAAACATTCAAACCCCGGCAGACTCTTCTCCTGACCTTCCTCGCCTCCATTTTTAGTAGGCGAAACAGCAAGGGCGAGCACGAGAGCTATCAAGGCCCTTTGTCCCATTTTCCAACTTCAGCCGGGGTTCTTCCAAAGCTCTGCTCTCCGTTTTCTCCGTCGTCAACGCATTTGACAAGTCTATGTTGAAGCCACGACCAACCTCAGACCGGCCTTTTCAGTGCCATCTCCAAGTCATGATCTAAGAGATATATGGAACATATCATTCCGTCACATTCTCATCATGCAGGCTCCCGAGGACAAGATTTGGATCAGCGTCCAACTCAGCTGATAGCCTCTCTGCACGTCTCCTTCCGGCCACCCAACGCATGAATTCCGAATAACTCTGCGGTAAAACACTCACATCTGCCGGCGAGAAAAAGGTATAGAAGAACGTCCCTGTGGACTTCCTTTCTTGATCCTGATGTTCAACAGGCCGGACGTGCGTCCGCACCATTACTTGAATACGAGTACCGCCGCCCGGGTGAGGTTCCGTGAACGAAACGCCGGCCGAGACGTAGAGCACTGAACCAACGGGTACAGGCTCTTCAAATGTACTAGGATCGAGGTTCAAAAACCGGGGACGAGTATGCGAGAAAGAGGCAGCGCAGGTGAAAGCCAGTTCAAACGTCTGTTTGAGCAAAAAGCCTCCGAAGATCATGAAGTGGTGACGGTTCCTGTACTGTGGCATCATTATCTGAGTGCTGTGGATGGTCGTCTTAGACATGGCCTGTACATTAGAGGGCTGTCTCTTTGGGTTCTTGCTGTCCGCATACGCAAGAGAGTCGGTCCACATTTTGTGAATAAGGGCCGACTCGTCTGCATCGGGCGGCTTGGTCAAGATATGTGCCGATCTCATGGTCTTTTTGGCTTTGTAGTTCTCCTCGCCCTTGGCGAAAAGCGCCTTCTCTGCTGGAGTATTGACTTCCAGGGGGGCGATGTTGACGGGTTTTTTGGTCGTGGGGTCCAGTGCGACCATGGTGAAAGCGCAGGTCATAAAGACGTCCTCTGCTACAACTTGCCGGCCAGGGGCTGGAGCCTTCGCGATCTGCAGAGTTACTTCCATACTGCTTCTTCCGGTGGCGTATGTCACTTGTCCACTGAGCTCCAAATCACAAATCTCTCGAATCGGGTTCTTGATTGTGATCCTGTCAACAGCCGCCGTCACATTGCTTACTCCTTCCCCGGTATGTCTGTAGGAAACCACGCCGGCCATCGCGTCCAGGTCCATGAGCAAGGTCCCGATACGGATTTGGCCCGTATAGTTTGCGTAGGTGTCGAGCAGCCATGGGTCTTGCTACAGGATTGCACGTCAACCGTAGGCTAGGAGAGATAACGCCATCAGCATAGGGAAGAAACTCACAGACAGAGGCAGGACAAGGCTGACGTAGCTATCCGACATTTTTTTGGGCGTTGTGACTGGTTTGGGGGTTTCCACCGCTGCGATCCGAGGGTTGTTCTCTGCCTCTTTTCTTTCCCGAAGTGCTTGGATCCAGGGTGTTCGAACCCGCATCTCTGTGAGAGCTTTGTAGACTCCATCTGTCCGAGCTGGGAGGGTAGAGTGGAAGGGTCGGATCGAAGCATGGTTCGCAAGGGCCACCCTTTGGGCTGTTCGTGGAGCGAGCCTTGCTCGCGCGAGACAAAATACCAAAGGTCGAGCCATTGGCAGAGAGGTAGCAATATGACAAGTTGCTGCTCGGACGGTTATAAGAAGTGACTCATTTGGGCGGCAACATAGTGCTGATTTGCTTTACAGCGCATAAGAAGGTGGTCGGTCACGAACTCCAGCATTGAGTGCTCATATTATTCTCATCACAGCGTTGAGATCGACTGCCATGGCCCATGGTTGATCCTAAACGTCCCGAGCATGGGTCCCAATGCGCAGTCGGAAAAAACAATCACCGATGCCGGCGAGATGCAACTGTCGCAACTTTCCCAACTTCATCTTCCCTTTTCATTATCTTGGGAAACAGGTGCTCCTCCGTTCGAGCATACCGGCTGATCCTCCAGGATGTGTGAGGCGGCCTTTGAGCTGGGGAGAAGTCTCTTCGAGCACCGAAAATCCCATGTCTACTTACTAACGACGACAAGCACGAAGGTAACTTGTGAAGACGCTTCTCAAGCCGCTCCTCTGACTACTGACAATCAAGCTCATCTCTATCGTCTATGGATTCCTAGAGCAAGATCGTTTCTTCTATCCCTTCATTTTTCTTTTGCTGATGATTTGGATGTTCGTTCGATTGTCTTGAATGATTTTAGCGCAAGCATTGCCGATCTTGTTGAAGGGGCTGAGGTAAGCCTCATCTCAACCGATCACAACTCCTGCGGTGTGCTCATTATCCACATAGATGTGGGCGCAGCTCGGATACGAGGCATCTGTAATGCGGTCCGCCCACAGCGGTACCCCTGAGACGGAGGGTGTCCTGGGTTTGGACTTCAAGCTTTGTGTATGGCACTATCGACCTGCTGCACTAATACTAATCCACAACCCAGAGTCGAAGAGATTTCGAGTGCCATTCATTCTTTCCCATTGGGGTCCCGCCGGTAGAGCTGAAGTCGGTGCAAATGCATCTGCATTTTACAGGCGAGAGCCCGTTGACTGGACAGAAACAGACAACATCTGGAGTGGAACGAAGGAATGGTCTAGCCATCTGCCGCCAGGATCACTTTTTGAGCAGCCAGCATATGGGCTGGAACATACCAAGCACCCATGATATGGCTAGTGTACCACTGCAGCCTACGTCAACCATACATTGCGCGGACAAGGCTTCCTCGTCAAATGAACTGCCTGTATCGGAGAAGGCGAATGGGCGGCGACCGTCATTGCATGAACACGTTCTTTTTGCCTTACTAGATGCGGGCGTTCGTGGCAGCATCTGCTCCAAACCCGTGCGCTTATCTGCGGGCGTCAAATGCCTGACTGACGAGAACGTTATCCGGCTGTGCGATCTGGCCCCAACCATATTCATCCCAAGTTACATCCCAAAGTTTGAAGACCAGGCAAGATTCATTCCGACAATTTCCAAATGCCTGGAGACTTTCCTCGGCTTTTCGGAGCCTGTCGCTTCAGAGCAGTTCGAAGGATCCGTTGACTTGGGGTTGGGAAGTTGTGACGGGGCAAAAAATTCTGCAGGAACCCTGCAGAAGGATCTCTGGTTCACTATCATGAACAACCTGCGATATCACGAGTCTGCTCGAAAGCTCCAAGCTCTGCGGGTTCCCAACAAACCACCTGATTCCATTTTGGACTTGTTCTATCATCTGCCAAGGCAGTCAGAGATTGAAGCTAGGGAGGCATGCGGATCCTGGTCCGAGCAAGACTCGGGTGATCAAGATTTCGATCTCTGCCTGAAATTCGATGGTCAGGCTAATATATGTGGGAGCCACGTCGACCGGGTGTCAACAAGGGGTGTCAATGGTGCAACGAGACAGTTGCATGATGTGGAACTCACAGGCGGTGGGCATAGGCTAGGTGAAACCTACGACTGCCCGATTGAAACCAAGACGGCTGCCCGTAGGCCACCTCACGAAAACAGAAAATACTCGAATAGCCGGTCAGGGACAAGTGATGCATCAATGCTCCTGGGCGGCGAAGAACCTATGAATGAAGGACGCATAATCAGGCAGCCGAGCGCCATTGGCGGACCAAGCTGGCTTACTCAGAATGTCATCCGCATGCATCCGCTGAGGCAGCAACGCCATGGGAATCACGAAGTGGACCACCAAAACGGCCCATGGCAAAGGGACAGCTTATATGAGAGGCCCGGCCTCGGCTGGTGGTCAGACACGAGTGATGCAAGCGAATTGCCCCTCGAAGACTGTCGTGACCACTATACAAAGCCTCAACTAGCCGACTTCTGCTCATCTCCTCTTTCCTTCAGCGACGACGGTCGGGTCCGAGAGTATCTGGACCTACAATACGACTCCAACCAGGAGGATCTTGTTGGTGGCAGGACAACACCCATGTCAACAAGCCAATCCGTGGAACAATCGAACGGCTCCTTGGCGGAGGTACTTGGAAACGACCATTTGTTGTGGCACATGTGGAAACGACGTGCAAGCGTGGCCCCTCGAGGGGAGGAAGACGTCACCGACATGAAGACATTGTATGCCACAGATCCAGATATGAAGCTGTTCAGTTCAAGATGGGACCTCGATCCTAGCGACAGCAGCTCTGGGAGCAACGAAGACCCCATGCTACAAGACGCTATGGACAGCCGACCATCTCCTCGAGACAAAGCCCACTCACCCATGACTCCAAACTCAGAAAGACGGTCCTACTTCACTCCAACACGATCCTCGTCATCTTCGACATATGTTGGGCGCTCAGGTGCCGACCCCAAACGAAAGTCAAGTCTCATCAAACGCTTTACTTGGGGAGGGCGGCACAATGGCCCCGAAGCACCCGCACTGGATGTTGGCAAGCTAGAACAAAGAACAATTGAAGTCAAGAGGAGAAAGACGTTGGACGACTACGACATGATGGACAGAGAGGCCAGCAACGATGACTCCAGCGACATGCTGTTTTGAAACGAAGGTTCAGCGGACCATGCACTTTTTAGGCGTTTAGGACGAGGGAAACGCCAAAGTCACGGCACAAACAAGACTTGGAGGGATTTGGGGCGTTTTTCTGGTCTGGAGAGACCGTCTCAGTGATATCTGAGTACGGCTTTTTGCATCATGGCATGGGCACAAAAATGCTACACCTCGAGAAGGGAAGCATCAAAAAGTGGCGGTTCTGGGAAAGGCACTCGGCGTGCTGGATGTACTAACAGTAATGACCAACAGAAAATGTTCTCCAAGCTGTACATAGTTTATACTCTTAATGTATGAGAACGATCAGATGTGACATGATCACATCCTACGTCCACTGGTTTCATTCGGGGTGGATGAACCCCAAGAAGTTTGCAACCCTAGGCCACCTAACGAGCGACCTGTGCCCGTGCCTTTTGCAGTTCGGGGCTTCAAGCAGCGTCATTGCGCCCGCCAACGAGCCATTAGGAGTGGCCCGGGGCGCCCCACCCCTAGAATGCCATGCTCCCAAGGTCGGCAAAGGGGCCCCGGCTGGCAACAGTGCCCCTGCTAGTGCCCGCTAAAATTTTCCACGACATCATCGGCCGTCATGCCTCCTTGCGCCCAGCAGCTTTCCATCCATCCCATCACCAGGCTTTGGGAATGAACCACACCAGAATCTGCATATGCTACGCTACGTTGCCTGGCTTACCTCCTCATCTCTAAGCCTCCTACTGGCTCTGCCCCTCGCTGAGAATTGGAAGCTTTTTCGCGCTGTTACTCCGTGCCCCTCACCTGTCTTCGTTCCTGGCATTTATGCCACCAGCAAAGCTGGCTCCTCCTCATTCTGCTCAGGAAGAAGCCCAGCAGCCGACCTTATGGCAGAAGGGTCTTAGTTGGATCCCTGGTACTCAACAATTCAGAGCGCGAGCCAAACTCCTGTCCAATTCACGCGTCCCTCTCCTTTACTCTGTCTCCGGCCTGATCCTCCTTGTCCTTCTGCTCGCCCAGTTCTTCACCTCCAGGGACGTCCAGCCGCGCCTTTGGGCTCCTACTCCTTCTACTGCATCTGCACCTGCTCCTGTTACTCTGCAGCCGACGTCAAGTCCTTTCAGTCCGTTTGGTGACAGCGTCTACCGTCAAGAGGCGTACTTTGATTTACTGGAACCGGGCACCCAGTGCAGACCCAAGTCTCCCTTCACATCAGACTTGCCCGTTACACACGCGATGACCAATATGGCGCTGGAAGCAGAGGCCAAGCGCATGGTTGCACAATTTGAGTACACCTCAGAAGATGTCAATAAAGGCGTAAAAGAGTTCATTCGGGAGATGGAAGAGGGCCTGGAGAAGCAGGGGACCTCGATCAGTCAAATCCCAACCTACGTCACGTCGGTCCCCAATGGCACTGAAAAGGTAGGAAGGGAAACCACATTGCGATTCGGCTAACAGCAATAGGGTGTTTATCTGGCCGTGGACCTAGGCGGTACCAACTTCCGAGTATGCTCTATCACGCTGCATGGCAACCAGTCCTTCTCGTTGCAGCAGTCCAAAGTCGCTGTCCCCCGGGCTCTGATGGAAGCAAAGACCGCCCACGAACTCTTCTCCTTCCTTGCCAAACAGATCGAGTCTTTCCTCAAAGCACATCACATGGACCATTTTGAGTCGCATCAAAACAAACCTGGCGAGGTCGAATTTTTCGATCTGGGTTTCACTTTCAGCTTTCCTGTCAATCAGGTGGGCATCAACAAGGGTAAATTAATGCGATGGACAAAAGGCTTCAACATCGATGAAGCTCTAGGACAAGACGTTTGTGGGCTGCTGCAGAAGGAGATTGACGCATTGAACCTACCAGTGAGAGTGGCAGCTCTCGTGAACGATACTGTGGGCACTCTGATGGCCAGGTCGTACACTTCGCCGGGTAAGACAAGTACGTTGATCGGCGCCATCTTCGGCACCGGGACGAACGGCGCCTATGTCGAAAAGCTCGACAGGGTGAAGAAGATGAAGGCCATAGACGAAGCAGAGGGCGGTGTTGCAAATTATGACTCGTCTACCGGTTTGATGGTCATTAACACAGAATGGGGCAGTTTCGACAATGCCCTGTCAGTCCTCCCTAATACTCAGTACGACGTGGACTTGGACCGCGAGTCAGTAAACCCTGGCATCCAGATGTTTGAGAAACGCGTGTCGGGAATGTTCTTGGGCGAAATTCTGCGGCGAGCTCTGCTTAGTCTCTACCAGCACCCCGATGCGGGTGTCGCCTTGTTCAAAGACGCATCGTCACACGACAACGATATTAGAAGTACGACAACCGTGGCTGACGATAGTCCCCTATTTAAGATATGGGGGATTGACACCTCGTTTCTCTCCATTGTTGAGGAGGACCACTCGGACCGCCTGCGTATCACCAAGCAGACACTGGAAAAGGAGTTGAAGGTAGAAGCCGCCTCAACCGAGGACTGTGTTGCCGTCAAGATGCTTGTGCACGCCATTGGGAAACGTGCGGCAAGACTGAGCGCCGTTGCTCTTGCTGGAGTCATCCTCTCGACGAACAAACTACAAGAGGATGAGATGGTCGACGTGGGCGTGGATGGAAGCTTGGTAGAGTATTATCCGGGCTTCGAGGAGTACATCCGGGAGGCTTTCAGGGAGATTGAAGGCATCGGCGAGGATGAGAAGCGGATAAGAATCGGGCTTGCGAAGGACGGCAGCGGCTTGGGCGCAGCGCTGATTGCGTTGGTGGCTCATAATGCAGACCAAGCCTTGTAGATCTCATACAGCAAACAGACCGAGAGGAGGAAGGCACCTGTACAATTGAGCTTTGCATCGTCCTGGTAGCATTGACAAAATGGAACCGTCAGGGATTGACGGTGATTTGAAATAGATTTGCCTTTTGATGATTGTGACCTTAGCGATAGGTATTAGTCGTGAAGCAAAGGCTGAGTGCGCCGTGGTCAAAAATCTGCGGTTGGAGATTCTGACAGCCTTTTCCATAGTGACACTCGTGACTCAACTGCCGACCTCACCCGCCAGCAATTCTTCAGTCGAGACCATTACCACTCCGCATCAATTCCCATACAAGTTTCCCGTGGGATCGAGAAAGCGATTTCGACTCACGGATACCAGGAACCTTTGCCCGCTGATATCGATATAGCATGAGCAGCGAGTTGCAATCATGGGCGCTCCCACGCCTTGGCCGCTTGTTGCCTCTCGATGATGACTCGCTCAGGGAGGTGGTTGCCTACTCATCAACCCTCTCCAAAGACTCGGCCGCTGAACACCTGAAGAACCTGCTCGGCGACTCTCCACAGGCGCTGGAGTTCATTTCGTCGTTCAATGCACGTCGAGGAGGCAACGCTTCACAATCCTCAGGCGGCGGCGGCGGCTGGGCGGAGGCATCTGGAGTGCCCAAATCACAGAAGAAGGGCCTCAAGAAAGTGAAGCCGCCCCTCCATGCTGCAGGCCCGGTACGTCGTCCAGAGGGATACGGGGATGTCGTAGGCGGATACACAAAACAGTACGACAGCGATCCGGATTTCGGCGCTGGTCATAATAATCGACCCGTCTCGAGAGACCGAAATGCTCCGCCCATGTCCTCGACACCTGATGCTCTTCAACTGCCCCGATATACGGCGGGTGGGCGGAGTCCTGGTTCCTCTGCCGCCTCTCGGGACACGTCACCCGGGAGGAATCCTCAGAAACTCCCCCCATCAGCGTCCGGGAATCTGATATCGGATTTTGGATTTGCCAATGTTCGGTCAAAACAATCTAAGAAGCCCGCGCACGCCAGTCACTCCCAACCACAGTCTGGCACTTCTACGCCCCATAGGGGTGGTGCTACGACGACCACGTCGAGCGTTGCGGACCTCACTGCCGCAATCGCAGCGCTGGAGCTGTCTACAAATCCAACCCTGTCAACACAGAGGAGAAAATGTCCTTGCAATGCTTCCATACATCCACTTTTTACGACCGCGCCCAACTGTCTGAATTGTGGCAAAATCATCTGTGCCCTCGAGGGACTCCAGCCTTGCTCGTTCTGTGACTCACCGATATTAACAAAAGACCAGGTAAATGCTATGATCAAGGCGCTGAAGGAAGAGCGAGGGATTGAACGCATGGCTGTCCATAATGCCGGACAATCCGTGTCAGGTCGAGGCACACCCATTTTCGGCGCAGCAACACCGGAGAGTGGCTCAGGCGATGAAGCTTCCTCTGCCGCAGCGCGGGCACGAGCGCACCGAGATAAACTGTTGGCATTTCAGAGAGAGAATGCTCAACGAACCCGCGTCCACGATGAGGCTGCTGATTACGACGCGACTCTTACGCCCGGGACTACGCAATGGATGACCCCTGTTCAGCGAGCTGCTGCGCTCAAAAAGCAGCAAAAATACCTTCGAGAACTCGAAGAAGCGAACCGACCGGAGTGGGAGAAGCAAAAGACAGTCATGAGCATGAGCATCAAAAACGGGAAACTGGTGAAGACGTATGAGCGGGAGAAAGCACCTGCTCCGGCACAGGAGAAAGAGAACCATGCTGGCTCCGAAACTGAAGGCGATGGAGCTGAAGATCAACACCTGTCTTTGAGTGAGACTGGTCGGAAAGGGGCCTTCAGCAATAACCCACTGCTTGCAAGTGGGAAACTCATACGGCCAGTCTGGAAAGCACCAGAGGGGAGCGATACAGACAAAGGAAAGGGTCGCGAGACGGAAAGGAAGAGTGTGTGGAGGAGGGTACAGGACGACAATGAGGACAACGAGCAATGGGTCCTGGATGGAGGGCTGCACGGCTATGGGACAGAGACCAGATTGATGGAGGACCAGCAAGAGGGCGGCTGGTGAGGCTGGCTAGGTACCTAGCGAGCCTACCTAACTAGCTCGCTAGGTAGGTAGGTATTGATAACCTCCGAAAGTTGTCTAGTGCACACGTGCAGCTAGGCCCCGGCAAGAAAGATTTTCCGGAGTTGATCCGGGTGACTAGCCACAGTGCCACAGTGCCCACAACTAGCATGCAAGGCACAAAGAAACTTTTGTGGTGTTTGGTCCCTTTTGTGTCACTAACGGTCAAGGAGGCACGGAGGCAAACCAGAGGCGCGCGCCATTTGCTTGCACCCCCATCCACTGTGATCAACACACCTCTTACGGTCATTGAAACAAGTTTCCAGCAGCATCCCAAGGTCGCTGCCCGCGCTCTCTGCACACAAAGATCGAGTTTATCTACCTCTTTCCTTCTTTACAGTCGTCACGCCCTACCAGAAATCGACAGTGCCTTCAAGTGACACGCGAACCCCTCCCTCGTTACGTTCCCCCGTTTTGTCCTACAAGTCACCCTCACCCATCCCTGGGATAATGCAGATCGACCAAAGAACCCTCTGATAGCCTCGAACCCGTCGAACCCATCGAATCCAAGCGACTTGTTCTACTTCTTCCTCCATCTGAGCTTCTGAGAACCGAGACTGTAGACTCTCGGAGCTGCTGTGAGAGGGCGACTGCGACAATTTGGCGACTGTGCTAGAGAGGAGCAACGTCCCGCCTTGCATCCTGAATGCCACCCATCGACTATGCTGCGGATGCGTAGGCCATTCCGCAGCATAAACCATCGCCTCAATGCTGGCCATTGACACCATTCCTGTGCTGGGGTTCCGAGACATCAATCTTTCTAATATCATGGACCCTGAATTGCCCCCAGCCACTAATCCCCGGACTATGCTCCGTCCAGAGGACGCCTCTCGATTGGGACGACCTTCTCGCCTTGAAGATTCCGACAGAGCTCGCGCTGCGAGTGAGAACAGGCTGAATATTGAAAGAGGAGGCAGCGCCCTAGGTGCGGAGGATTCATCTCCCCTGCGGGAGGAAAATACAGTGGCACAAAATAATATCGGCCGCGAGCCAGCCCTCTTGTCTCTTGAAGATACAACTGAACTGTTTCGGAGAAAGGTCGCCGATGCAAGACAGGACACTGAACATGCGCTGGCTGGAAGCGAAGCCGTCAGCGACGCAGTCAAGCCGAAACTCACATTGGACCTGGGTCATTCTAACATCGCAAGATTACCTGAAAGTGTGGTGGACCTGATCAAGGCCGAGGTCGAAAGGCTGTCTTTGTCCCACAATCAGATCTGGCATATCCCGCTTCGGTTCTCGGAATGCTCACATTTACGATACCTCAATATTCGATCCAATGTGTTCCGCGAGATCCCACGAGGTGTGTACAAGCTAGGTCAGCTGGAAATCTTGGATATCAGTCGAAACAAGGTTCGAAAAATCTCGAGCGACATCAAAAATTTGAAATCCCTGCGTGTCTTCTCGGTCGTGCATAATCGGGTGGAAGATCTGCCCGTTGAGCTGTGTGAAATGACCAAGTTGCAGATATTGAAGATCGCAGAAAATCCACTGCGGTTCAAGTTGAAGAAGATTGTGGAGGCCAAAGAATCTGAAGTCTCATTCTCAGAAATGACAGACCACGAACGAGAGACGGCAATCACCCTTGAGATCAAGCGATATCTGAGAGAGATACATCCTGTCGTCACCCCCATTGATGTTGAAGCGTCTCTTCAGGTTGACGAGAGCCCGATGGAGATGACACCGAAACCTCTCAAACGTTCCTTGAGCAGCAGGTTCCCTGTCATACCCAGCACCAATAGCACTGACTCCGGGTCAGAGGCCAATAAATCATCACCAATCCAGACTCTCGCAAATCCACCCCCTGTACCGACTCGCTCACACTATCGAATGACTTCCAATACGCAGCCGATTGCGCTTCGACGGCCAGGTATTGCCCCACTGATTAGCCAGAGTAACGAGAGAAACCGGAGCAACAGCGAAAGTGTCCTGCAAGCCTCGGCTGCTGCTCGGCAAAAGAGGATGGGCATGCTACGAAAAGAAAAGCCTGACTTGGACAGTATAGACGAGCTCAGGGTGAACCGGAACAGCCATCTCCGAGGCTTTAGCCACGGCTCGGTTTTGAAACGTAATGGTGCGCTGTCTTCCCCTGGCGGGAATAGCTCTTCAAGCCCTAGCAGTCCACGCGACCCCAGAAGGCACAGGCTCGCCTTTGTGAAACGGTTGTCGAGCCTTCCGGAGCACAAAGTCGAGACCGAATGGAACAATCCCGTCATCGAAGGTGCCAAAGGGATTTTATATGCCCTGTACCAGATCCACCCACAAATATCCGGTCTTATCGCTGCGATCAGAGGAAAGGACGTGCGCAGGAGCACACTAGAATTCACCTTTTTCAATGCGTCCACTCATGTCGACCGGCTCAATTTAGCACTGGAAGAAGCGGACGCTGTCGATCCCGGAGACACAGACGCGGTTGAGAAGGTCGAGGATAGCGTTCGAAGGGACTGTGCAACCTGCATTATGGCCTACACGCACGTAACTGCACAGCTGCAAGATAACGTCAAAAAGATTGTCGCTGGGTCTGATGCCCGTTATGTGCGGACATTGATGCTCCTGCTCTACGGAAGTATGATTGAAGTCAGAAATGCAATTCAAAGCTTTGGGGCGGATGTGAGAGTTGCACAGGGTCTGGGTCATAGAAGACAGATGTCCAGTGGAAACGCACATCCTATCCAGACCATCCCGGAGGAGTTCAGCACTCCTTTGCAGCCAGTCCGAGCAACCACACCCACCCGAGACAGAAATCTTGCTTCCAGGCAAGCTGGGAGATTGCGCAGTGACACGGCCATTCAGCATCCAGTTGCCGAGAACGTCCCAGCATATCAACCGAATCCTGTACCACCTGCAGGTTCGGCTGCCCTCCCGACTCCGATTCACTTGACCGGTACCACTCTGAATGGTGGGACTCTCACTGGCACGTCTTCTACCTTCTCAAATAGTGGCACTCTCACCTCCGCTTCCAGTTCTGGGTTGAGATCACGGTCAGGGTCACGCACTGCTATGACGATGAATGGCTTCACATCCTCGTCGGTAGCTAGTACGCCCCGGTCCGGTGAAGTCTTCAGCCTCCCACCCTCGAATACCTTTGCTGCTCGAGTCAATCCCGCCACGGGTCTCACCGATGCTCAAGAGGAAGCCGTGTTCGAGCAGATTTTCCTCGCCCTGACAAGAGCCTATGATGCTGCTCTGCACACCATTCCGATTGCCAAGGCACAATTTCTGCGATGTCTTGAAGCGGCGGAAGAAAACCGACAGCCAAAGGCGGTGCACGATCTATGGTCGACCCTGGTCTATCGGTGCAAATTGTGTATCGACATCAGCGAAGCCCTCCAAATTCGACTCGTCAACATGCGGGTTCAAGATCCTAGCGTCCATATCGTCGCAGCAGGAAGCGGTCGAAATGACCCCTCATTGTGGCTCCTTTGCAAGAACTTCTTGATGAGTTTCATTGAGCTTCTGACGGAGATGCGGATCGCCAAGTCTCAAAGGTTGTTATCACAGGAGATCATCACGATGTTGAGACCTGTCCAGAAAGCGAGTCGTGAGGCAGGGAGATTGATAGAGACGAGTCCCTGGCGGTACTTGACGGATAGTGCTGCGGCTGCAATGCCGCCGCCGAGCGTTTTCGGTGCCAACGCAAGCCAGCCGCCTGGCGCTGTGGTCAATGGCAATGGATACCCCAGCAGCGTGCATGCAACAATTACCAACGGTAGCATTGCCTCGCCTTACCCACCGAGCACCGTGTCATCCCAAATCTCGAACTATCCGCTGCAAAGCCCATTCCCTCCTCCCCTCATTCCCGTCCCACCGATTCCTGGCCCCTCCTCAACAAGCACGCAAAGCACAACAACGAGACAAATGGTCAGCGGCAGCATGCCTCCAATCTCCTCAATGACAATCAACTCTGCAGGATCTGTGACTACAGCAACAAATGGCATAAGCCCCGTCTCGGTCCCGCTTCCGGCAACACCGCTCTCGGCAGCCCTCGGGCCGGCAGCCCAGGCAACGGTACCAAACAATCCCAATTCGAATGCAACCTCGAATCCTCTTGCAACACCAACGAGTTCGTCTGCATTACCGACGCATGTGGCGCCCGTGCCGAGCACACCGGCGAGCGCGTACGGAGATTCTTTTTTCCGAGGCGATGTGTTTCAGAGGGCGGACAGCCTCCTGAATATGCAACAGATTGGTGGCGTGAACTTTCTGAACCGGCGGTAAAAGGTCAACTAAGCAATGAGAAACATGGGATCCATGACGTCGCCTGCCGCGATCCTGACGAAATGATGGGAAGGTCAGTCCGGGAAGATTGGTTCACTACGGAGGATGGAGAAAAGTTGCGGATCAACTCTCTTGTACAACTATCCAGCTGCAAGCGAACAACGAGCCAACATGGCTACCTACGCCCCGCCCTGTCGACTGTATACGTCAGACTTGGATGTGGGCGTTCTTGCTTGCTTGAGGTGAGCCGCCTACTCTGAGCATCATTGCATGGTCTGCCTGTATAATCAAATGAACTGTATATTTATGCTGTGACTGCTACTACTGTTACTCTCAACTGAACTCCGCCTCTGCATCGCTGGCCGAATGGGTGGGTTGATGGACTCACGGATTCATGGATGGATGGGATGGAGATGTGACCAAAAGGCGCCGAAAAAAATTATCTTACGTCCACTGTTTCTCTTTTTGGAAAATGAGTCAAGGTCTGGATCAGGGTCAGGATCGGGGTGCGGGATGCGCATGCGCATGGGTATGGCATGGATAGGTAGGGGACCAGAAAAGGAAGTCAAGGACGAGGGGGACGTAATAGGAAAAAGGGTAAAGGGTATGCATCGGGATATGAAAATTGTACCGAATATACTGGGTCCTCCGTCCTCCGTCCCTCCGTCCTCCGTCCCTCCGTCCTCCGTCCCTCCGTCCTCCGTCCCTCCGTCCTTCGTATGCTCAGGTACTCTACAGGAAGAGCAGCAGCTCAAGCGCACCTGGACAAAATGAAGATAGACAGATGTATTAGCACCTCCAAGTCTCCGACCCACCAGACCCGAGCAGCCAGAAGCCACTAAGTGGCGAGGTAGTATATCCGGTATATACTTTTCGTGTCTGTCTGTTTGAATTTCTCAGGGAAAAAAACCAGACTACTGTATTACCACCATGATGGATAGGCTCCCTAGGTAGGTGCTGCCTCTACGTACCTAGTAGTTCAGAATTGTATTTAATTTCATTCGCTGGGAAATGCCATGCATGCGTGCGTGCGTGCGTGCGTGCAAAACATGATGGATACAGATACAGATACAGATACATGGAAGGGGGGGGGGGGCCGATTTTGCACACAACGTTCCCGAATAAGTAAACATCCATACATGCATACATACATACATGCATGCATGCATACATACATACATACATACATACATACATACATACATACATACATACATACATACATACATACATACATACATACATACTATGTACTATGTACACTACACACACTGGCCCGGGGAGATCAAGTCTGCGCGAGATCTTATCCGTTCTGATCCTTCTGGTCTGCAAAGCGGCAGCAGTAATGCTGGTGTTTGACCAGTTCTTTTCCCGCCCACGGGTCCAATGCCATATATAGTGGTATAATATAATTAGGTAGACGGTACTCCGTACGGAGAATATATATATAGAGAGAAAGAGAGAGAAATGGTAGACTAGTTATTCCAACCTATTCCAATTGTTGTTGTTGTCGTGATCAGTAGTTACTATCTAGGTAGTGTTTCCATTCGTCCTGACCGATTACTTCACTTCCACTCCATGATAACCTTTTCCTGCTTTGGGAAAAAAATCATCAGCTGGTGGCGCCCCTCTTCCTCCTGCCCCGCCCTCCTCAAGCGAAGGCCACTAGGCTATGAACCCTCTCTTTTTTTATTTGCTTCTTTGAGGACCGTATTCGCAAATGGCGAAAGACAGGGTGGGAGAAAAGATTCATCCGCGACACTTTTCAATGCATAATCACAACGCTGACCATCCTACCATATGCCTCTCGGCTGGGGGAACTTTGCATCTGCAAATCTGACATGTGGCATCTTCGGAGAAGGGTTTCGTTCCCAGATCTCCAGCAGCTGGCCCACATTGGCCTCTTGCCCTTTCTTCACATCTTGGGTCTTTCGAAGCGGCTTCAGGCCAAAACGTCAAACGACGTGTCGGCCAATGCCACCCTTTCACGGAAGACTCTGGCCTTCGCCGGTTGTGGGCCGTAATTCTGCCTCCAACGAGCTTGATCTTGCTTCCTCGACGACATCCAAGTCTTCATCCAATAGCCCGGCTCGCGTCCAAGTTATACCTCGGATCCCGTTCCTTGCCGTGACATCTTCATCCGCCGGTCGATTCGATCGACCAGTGTCCGATATGTAAGTTGGTGGCGCCTAAAGACGGGGCCAGATTTAGTGGTAATATTCCTTGTTCCGCGCCGCGGACAGAGTGACGACATCCTTCTTGACTGGCGGCCGTGACCTTCTTTCGGTTCGAGCATCAGGCAGAGCCATAGTTTGTGTGCCCTCTGTGGCCATCACCAATGTGTAGAGTGAACGGAGCCGACCCTGAATCACTCATATGTGAGGACGGTAACAGTCTTGAGGGATCCGATCTCCAGCGTGAGTTTGGATTTGGACGATATATATCCCGATGAAATGATACTCGACGTTGCCGAGACCGTATGCATGCCATCTCTTACTTTGAGGATGTATGCCACCAGTCTTTTCAGCCCACGCTGTCTTGCGAGCATGATTTCTTCGTGCCTGTGTCAGGGCACTCCCAACTTTGTTGAAAACATCCCATCTATTCCCAGCGCTAGTGCCTGCGCGGGTTCTTGCTCGTGTAGTAGAAACTCGTTCGGCACTAATGGATCGTCGATGCAGATGGACAGGTAGGAGTCGACACTTGCCTGTGAGGCGGGGGATGGGGTTGGAGTTTGTCGAGAGGAGAGCATTTGGATCAAGGATTGGTGTTCTCTTTCGACCTTCTTGTACTTTTCGTCCAAATGGTTGTAGTTGGCTTGCAAGGCGAAGAATCTCTTCTCAAGCTGAGCTACATAGCGTTTCTGCCGTTCACGGTGCGCCCGCTGAGCGGCACGATTTTGGGCACGACGACGCTATGAGAAACCAGAGTCAGCTTGGGCAAGGCTTGACGTTATCTCATGTGACGCACCTCTCCGGGGATATCAATGACCACTTCTGGTACGGGGGAACTGCCATCTGGAACGGCCTTTATTCGCTTCTCATTTGCCGGTGGCGACGTCCCCTCCGCTTCGAGCAGTCCACAGAATGCAGCAGAACTTGAAGTTGTGTAATTGTTTCTAGAGGGGTTTGATTCAGTCTTGAAAAAGGAGGCATGTTAACAGATATTCCTGAGCTGAAAGGAGCCAGGCAATCATACCACGTCAAAGAAAAACTTATCCATTACTTCAGACTCAAACAGGTCATAGTCCTCATCCAATGACGATTGAGACTTTCTTTCTGGCAGACGCTTGGCGTGGCCAAGTCCAGAGGTTCGTTGGCCTGGAAGATTGACCGCCGTGGTATGGTCCCAGTCAAAAGGGAAGCCCGCACACGTATCAAAAGGAACGTTTTCGAAAAGACTTTGCGAATCCATGTTGGCCGGTGGCTCAAAGTTGGGAGGTTGTAGATAGAGAGTATTAGGATCGTCCACGCTATATCTTGTGTTCGGTCGATGGTGCAATTGAAGGGTCGCAAATCAATGTAGCTTGAGATTTGAAGCAAGCGAATATGTGTAACCGAAGTGGGCACTTGCCCATCCCATGGCCAATGCCACTAGCTTCGTTGATAACCTTTTGACACATTGAACCTCCAGGTCCTGTAGTGGGGCTTTTCATGGTATACCCGGGTCGCTGAGAAGTCTATGGAGACGGGGAACCGCAAGTAGTGCTGACCGATGAATTTCGTAAGGATCTCAAGAACAACTAGAAATGCGACCGACTCCGAGCGAGCTCCGGCGCAATGACGACACATGGAGTCGAAGGCGCCTTATAGAGTCCATATCGCTCCAAGTGAGTAACCGAACTTGAGTCAGTGAAGTGGTATCGTCCTTCAAACCGGCCGGTGAAGGAAGGAAGAACCACGCTGTTGGAATCCAGCGCCTCTGGTTAGTGAAGAATGCACCGAATCCACCAACCTGCTTTTTAGGCTTTCCGACTAAACGTTCCCTGCAGCTCCTTAGTCATACGAGTAGTCATTCCTGCAGGGCAAAGCAGCACTGGTTGACAATCCTCGCTTGCGCGTTTGGGTCTGCAGACCTACCTGAAAGGAACGAGGCTGCATACCCTATTCGAGGAGGAATCAGCACAGCTCAGCCAGGGCACACGCCTTACCTGAAGAGGAAGGTAAACCTTTCCCAATGCGGAATAGATGCGGAGTGCGCGCGGAATGCAAATGCTTCTAGAACTTTTCTCGACCCGCCAGTCACCGTTGGCTTCACCCCACGGCGGAGGCTTTCGTTTCTGATCGCGCTTTGTCCGTCGGAAAGCTATTCAAGCCATATAACATTCAGCGTTTCGGCACCAGATCCAACAACTCGCCCACCGACCAATCGCCGCAGTTCCCGCATTTCCCGCACTCGGAGCCGCAATATAAGCAAATCATGGATGCATAGGTATTGCCGTATGGAGGAGGTGGCAGCCATAAAACGAAACTGTCGCCCTCGTCTGTTGGCTCTGGTATTTGGAGGATGGTAGCTAGCTGATGCCTGACTGGACCTTGCTGTCTGCCCTGGTTGCTAGGCTAAGTCTGTGACGTAGACACAATTTCTGACGAATGCCACAAGGAGGCTTGATAACAGCATTCGACCCTGACTAAAGCCAGATTAGGTCTCAAAACAGCTGCAGGATTGAAATTGGAATAGCCCAACATGATCCCTTGGATGAGGAGGTCTAGAATCAAAATTCGTTCCACAACTTCCGTATAGATTTCCAACCCGACAATGAAGGTGCCGTTAGCCGGATAGAATCCTTGGCGAGGTCGCAAGGGACCTTCGCTAGGCACGACGAGGTAGTCGGTATGGTTTGATCGCAGATTATATCGTCGATGAAGTGCGGCTGTGGTGAAATGCGGCTGTCTATGAAGTGCGGCTGTCGATGAGTGCGGCTGTGGTGAGGTGCGGCTCCTGTGAACCGTGGCTCAATTTGCCCTGGCTCTTCGAGTGGCTTGGGCGTATCGAGATGGCAGTGAGGCAAGCATTGTCATATGAAGGCGATTATCGTGTAGAGGGATTCTGAGATTTCTCCCGAGCACTCAGAAGATACGCTTGAAGGCGCCAGCCCGTCAATTAAAATCCTGCTGACGTTGGGCCAATCCACCGCCATTGCACTGCGAGAGAGGGAGTTCGACAAATGCCGCTGGGTGGGCCTGATAACCCGGAGAGGTTGGCCGACTGAATAGTATCGTCCACACGTCTTGCTGCGACTCCCTCGAGACCAATCCAGGATTTGTCCACCAAAGAAGCCCTTGCAGAAATCTCTCAGGAGCCGCCCAATATTCTGTTCACAGCGTAAAATGATTGTATCTAGGCAGGGTCGTTAACGCATCGTCGAGAGCAGGAAAGAAAGAGTCAGGATGTATCAAAATGCGTTTGAACAATCCTGGCCAGATATTGGCAGCAGCCTCTCTCTTAAGTGTTAAAGAGACAATGGAGAGGGAGAATCGCTTACATCATCTGAAGGCTCACTGGGGTCTCAGACAAGTGGGTTTGACCTAGTGACTTGGTGCTTGTCGCAAAGCCTTACGGCGCACTGCGTGACTGCTTATGTACCCAGACCCTGATCGTCGATCGATATCTGTTCTCAGTGCCGCGAGCACTATCTCCAGAAGAGCTAGGTCACATTTTCAGAGACCCTCCCAGCATTGACCGGGGTTCGCGAGGCTTCTCGCACGAACGTATAGCCGCTGGCGTCGGTCCGTTTAATGGGCCCTCAGGTAAGGTCACGGTCCATCCACTGCCAACGTCTCGCATGACGTAGAAAGACATCAGCGGCGGAATTGCTTACGGTTGTGTAGAATGATTACACCGGCGTCACCCTGAAATAGCCGACGGTCTCGAGCGACGGCCAGCGATTCTGGCTAAGCAGCATCTCGGTGGCTGAAATGGGACCAGTTGAGGTGATAATATGTGGAATAGGAGCTAGTTCTGCGCCTGCGTCAGCTAGGTTGGGGGCAACTGCGGGATCACAGCGGATCAATTGATTGGATATAACGGTAGGCGCAGGGGATGAGCAGGGGAAGCGGATTTCCTCATTCTGTTGTTGATTTTAGTTGAGGGTCTGATGTGTACTCGGTACTTCGCTGCAAGGTTACGCAGAAGGCACTCAGTGACGTAGCGTTGAAGGACTACTACCGAGTCCTGAGGAGGCTAGTAGACGACTATGGTAGACGAGTCCCAAAATGATGGCGGGAGACGTGCTGTGGCAGTGGCATCGTCGGATTTGTATTAGTGCCAAGACTGTCGACTGATACGTACAAAGCGCGCTTTCCCAGACAGGCTAGAAAGGTCCAGGCAACTCCGACACAGCCTCGTCAAAGTGTCGGCAAGGCTGAGGCTATGGATACGGGGCTCTTGAGTGACGGTGTCAGACCCAGCAATAATACTCGTAATTGAACACGGATCAAGCACAGCTGAGCGTCTTCAGATTGATATACAGGTGCCGACTCACTCCGGCTCCTCTTTCTGTACTCTCATTCCCCGACCAATTTTTGCTTGCATTCGATTATTACCCTGCTTTCACCACCCCTACCATAACCGGTACCACCATCATGTTTCCCTGACCCTCCTTCACCCTCTCCCTGTTTACCATGCAGAGATCTAGCATAATGTGATTATTTCATTCTCGGTCCCATCGTGTTCGTGCCTGAAAACTGTATCTTCCCAATTTATGCAATACAAAAATTCCTCTCCAATCAACTTGAAACGGAGAGACACAAGGAGTCTCAGTCTGCCCTCCAATCAATCCCTTGTCTTTGAGAATGTGCAGTGCTGGTCGGGCACAATGTGCAAAAAAAGAAAAAGCGGAGCCCAACTCCTCTTTGCAATGCTGTATGTACTAGAAAAGGGCACACAAGTCGAATGTTACAACATCTCCATTCAACCGTGTGTCATCCACCAAACTCATCTCAATGCTTTTTTTGCTGAGGGTGAAGGGCCGGCGCGGGCCCATCGTGTCGTAATGTTCGCGGACGCCGATCATTAAAGGTATATGCGAAACAGGGTAACAATCAACGGTATATGTGATGCTGTGTGGCCAAGGTGTGTCCTCATCATGTAGTTCGCCAAAGTGCAACAAATTCGTCAATCCAGGTTAACTTGCACAAAACTGCGCTGAAACACCCTCTCAACGGATGCTCAACATCTGTCGAGGCGCGAAGCTACTGGTGCTGCTGTGGGCTGACGGTTCCGAATCGATATTGGCACTTCCGCTATCGCCGCTTCCAGCGCTAGCACTGGCACTCCCAGTCAGACTTTTCACAGGTGCTTTTGGTGGTGGGAATGGTTTGCTCACCCCGGCCTGTTCCATTTGCTGTGGAGGAATGATGCCGCCTTGGCCGGGAGGATACCTGGGTATTGGTGCAGGCATGCCCCCTGGCGGAGATGGTCGGCCGTTGCGCTGTCCTGGTTGCACATAGGGATCAATTGGGGGAGACGGTCGATTGGGTGCCCGTCCAGGAGGGCTAAATGGATTCCCCGGCGACCGACTTGTTCGTCTACTAGGCGGACCAGGGTAGGGGGCCCCATTTGCACCAAGTTCTTGAAGCCGGCTTGCCGTTAGGGAATTCGCACGTGATTCATCCGCCATTTCCTTGCGGTCCACCGAACCATACCGGTTGGACGAGAAGCCCATCATTGGATTGTCCAGGATATTCTCTCCGAGCATAGGCATGTCGGACATGAGCTGGGTGCTGGTCCGATGCCTGTTGAGGTTGGGGCGACCATAAGAACCGGGACGCATGCCATTCCCGTTAGCGAAGACATCTTTCCGCAATTGGTTCTGGCTGGTTGTCCGTTTAGTCCGCCTAGATGTAACACTCATCATATCGAAATTGTCTGGGTCGATCGGGGGCATTGGAGGACCGCGTGGCTGCATCGGATCAAAATAATCGTCGTCATCGTCGTCGTCATCGAAGTCCTGGTGCCGGTTGTGTGAGGCCCTTCGACCCGGGCGGTTCCTCATAGCCATCTCGTGTTGTTTGAGGTGCAGCTCCTTTTCCCGAAGCGCTAGTTCTCGCTCACGCAACGCCGCCGCAGCCGCGTTTCCGTTGTCGGGAAAATTCGCAGCCACCTCACCGTCAGGGAGTTCGTCGTAAAGCACAACGTGACTAAACTCGTCCAGATTCGTTTCATCGTAAGACGGTCGACGTTGCATGTGACTAGGTCCTCGGGGCGGGTAACTGTTTGGTGGTCCGCGAAAGCCGTTGACGGGAGGAGGACCACGTCTCCCGGGTGGCATCATGGATGGTCCCATGTTGGGACCGCGCATCGGCCGGGGACCTCCATTGACCGGGGGGTTCGATTGTCGAGGAGGAGGGGGATTTGCAAGAGACATCGTGCGGGGCGGCGGTTGCATGACCGATGGCGACTGCGGCATGCTGGCAGAAGCGGCAGGGCGATCCTTACTGACAGTGTTGATGTGACGTAGCATGGTGTACAAAGTTTCGAGTCGGGGGACCTTGATGTTCGCCTTTTTGGCTAGTTCCACCGGAGAGCCTAAGTAGGTTTCGACCTCCATGGGACGGCGAGATGTGAAGTCCTGGTACATGGTGCTAGGATCTTGACTTGATCCGACCATGGATCGCATTGTGGTTTCCTTAAAGTTGCTCGGAAATTTGCAATCTTGAGAGAGGGCAATCTGTATCAACTCTTCAATGACATCGGATATCAGATCGTGGACCCCAGGTACCCGGACCAGGTCGGAGAGGTTCGGCTTTTCGAAAAGGACGCTTGCAGGATGGAATGCAATGGGCCTATAGACAAAACGTTAACAGATGTGGTGCTTGCACCCAATGTAGAACAGTACCGACCCAATCATCTTTTCAAATTGCTGTTGCTTAATATTTCCCGACACTTTGCAGTCGACCTGTGCAGTGGTCAAGGTCATAGCCAGGGCTTCTGACATGTCCCCCTGGATCGACTCGGGAATCGAGGCGTTCTTGCTTGCCGGGCCAACCCAAATTTCCGTTGATCCAGTGTGTTCAAACTCGCTGGACCCAAGCTGGGTCAAATTGGCGCCGGAAACAAGAGACAAGACAACATTCGTAGGAAACCGCTCTTCAAGTTGTTGTTCCACCCCCAAAGTGTTTGTGGTGTTAACGAGAATGCAGGTGTGTTGAGGGGTAACGACAGACTGGATTATATCTGCTAGGTTGTAGACGTCGGGAAGGGCTTTGACGCAGAGAAGGACATAATCAAAGGCAGCCTGCTGGCTTGCCGCCTCTTCAGGGCTTTGGACGACTTCAACCAGATCAGTTTTCGTCTTTCTCAGGGGACTGCTGCTTTCACTCACCGAATCTGGGCTTAAATCGTTCATTTCCATACAGAGAAGATCTGGGAGTGTTAGTCGTGTGGTAACAGACTCAGCGAGATCCAAGTCACTCACTTGAATGAGACACCATATTGGGCGACAGCCTGGTAATTGGCTTTCCACACCAAGGTCACGTCGCAGGCGTTGGTGGCTTGCAGCCGCCATGACAAGAAAGCGGAAACTGCATTTCCACCCACTATACAGCAATGTCTTAGCTCACGATTCATCTCAAGTGGACTGACGGCTAACAAAGCACAAGGAAAGGGGAAGACAAAGGCCAAAATTCCAATGGGGGGTTGAGCGGACCTGCGCAGGGCAGGGCAGGTCAGCAAAAAGTCATGCTCACCTGAAAGGATTCGCAGTCGAGGCGGAGAAGGTGCCATTGCGCGTCAGGGCACCGAGTTGGACGGTTTGATGTATTAAGTAGAGGAGGCCTGAGAAGGCACGTCCCGATAAGGCGCGAAGCGGTGACTGCGACTGAAGGTGTCCAATATTACGTTGTTCCACTTCTCGAACAGAATCCTCGTCTTTTCTGTATGTATGCCTTGAACCAAACACGCCGACAAGGCTTTCGTGTATTAAAATGCGTGCCTCGGAGGAAGCGAGTGATGCAGAGGGAGCGAGTGTAGGAAGGGAAGCGGTAGGAGGCTAATAGATTGTTGGCGACATTGAATTGAAACGAGAGACTTTGTGGTAGATTTGTCGGAAGATTGAGTCTAGGGTGACGAGGAGGGATGTTTCAACACCCAAGCTTCGTTTCTTTGGTCGCGAGAGGGAATGAGAACGAGACAAAGTCGATGCTGCTACAGGAGCGATGCCATGTGAATGCAGCACGAGGGCTATGATGCTCGAGCTAAGGTAACGAACGTCGTCGAGAAAGAAGTGAGAGAGTTTGAAAATTAGGAGAGGGAGTTGGTACAACAGAGGTGATGGCGTAGATTTGTCGCGGTGCAGATGGAGTTGGCTGTGATTGAAAGGGAGGGTTCGGAGTTGCGCCTGAATTTGGGGGGGTGGTGGATGGACAAGCGGTAGTCGTGGAGTGCAGCACAGCGCTGGCCAGTGACAGAATAGGGAGCGTAGGCTGCGTTAGGCGCAACAATTGTGATGCGCAATTCGAAACGAGACGAGGGATAGGCCAGGAACCGCTGGGAAAATAATTCACTCTGCCCCGGCACCGCCAGTAGTAGGCCCAGTGGCTAGTGGCCTGCCCCCGGTTTCCCTCAACCACTGGTGCGAGGGCGTTCAGTCACTGCGCTGCTTTACTCGCCCGACAAATTTCTGAACAACGCAGCACACAGCAACCCAACCTCGCAGCTGGCATACCCTCTAGGTGCCCTCAGTGCGCGGACACAACGAGAAATCGGACACAACTAGGCCCATGCTGGCTAAAGCCCTCGCCTAAGCTAATGAACAAACCAAGGCATGGTCGCCCACTGCAGCTCATGGTGCAATGGGTCCCCATTGTAGGCCCATTGTTGTCGTTGCCCGTCTTCGGATTCGACATCCGCTGTTAACATGCTCCGTGATTGTCCTTCCACCAGGGCCATGGCCAATGTACATAGGAAACTCCGTCTTACAATGCCGGCTATGGGAAGAGGGTACAGCTACGAGTACGTACATTCTCCGGGTGGCTCTCTTTGACGGTATCTTGGGTGTCCTAGCGTCCTACGAGTACAAGTATATCGAAACCCACCCCTCGAGCATGCCGCAGGGGCCAATCCAGTACGGATCTTCCTCTCAGGGGGCCCTATATCCGGAAACCTCGCAATCTTCTCGAACAGGACGAAACTTCGCACCAGTCGCGTTTGCTGCTGTCTTGTTGACGCCGTTGTGGACTGATCAATGAGGGAGCCGCCCAAATGTCCGGGTGAGAGAGCCACTCCGCCCCCTGTTGATGATCCCAAGCTGAGTGAGAGCTCACCGCGCCATGGCGTTTGTCTTGTTGCCGAGATAGGGCACGAGCTTTACCTGGAATGAATCTTGACTAGCCATCTCCCTATCACCGCCACCCGCTTTGTCGGCCCCTCAGTCTGTGGACATCTTCTCCACTCCCAGCTTCTTTGGATCCAGAAATCAAATCTAGATCCATTTTTACCTTGTTCTGAGCCCTCCGGTACTTCGCTAGCCTATGCAACTTGATATCGCCTAACGATGGACAACCAAGAATTTATGAAAAAGTCCTATCTTCAAGCTAGGGAGTCTTACAGTGTCGGGTTTTCTCCAACTTGAAGGTCAACAGGACGAATGCCGTTTGGTGCGATTGTGAAGGATTCCCCGTCCCCGTCCGCCCACTTGATACCATGGCCCATTGCCCCGCCACTGGAAGCAAATGCCATGCGGTGACGGGCATACGCTGCATTGACCAAGAGCCCTCACCGACTACGGTGAGGGCGTGATTGAGGCAAAAACACACCTCATCACCACTGAAACATTTGCAAAGCATGACCATCCCGTCACTTTGTGTTGCTTTGTCCACAGCGAAGCCGAGACTCTGCGAATTGTGAGGTCGAGATGCGCCTCACATAATACTCGGTACCCTGGAACGAATTGCATCTCCCAATGAACATGGGGGGATCTGGCTACACCCCTGGCTGCATATCCGGTCTAGTCTGAGACTTGCATACGTAGCAACCCTAATTTTGACTCCCCAGGTTATTCCGGGCTGAAGCATTGTTTCCGTTTCATCTCATGTTTGGCCATCTGCACTGACGATCACACAGATGAAAGCTATGGGACAGCTTTGTACAAGGTCGAGGACACCGCTTCCAGATACCAATGCGCCTTCTCCAGCGATGATAGGAAAGTATCATGGAAGACCCTCCGATGGCCAAGAAAAGGCACAGTTACGTACTCCTCTAAATGCAGCTAGCAATTCGCAGCGCCACTGAGGCATTGGCGTCATGTTCAGACCAGTGGCATCAGTGGAGACTGATTAGCATCTCCAAAAGAAGAGTGGTTCCTACCTGATATTGATGCGTGGCGGTGGAGCTCGACGCCCACGGCGCAATTAGGTACTGCGTCCTCGGAGCTTCCAAGGTCCGACGCCATGTCAAACTGATGATAAACAGACATATGCGGAGTTACAAACTTGCCTGTTATACCTACCTCTCTGTGCTATGCACTGCAATAGCGATGCTCATTTCGTGTGCACGACCGGCAACCAAACTGTCTGCTCTCACATTTTATCTCTTGCTTGTTCCCCGTCAGCTAGGCTCCGCTTGTTGTGACGTGGCCACTGGGGTTCCTCTTCGGACATAACAACGAGGGGCCCTAAGGGGGACTGAACAGGAGTCACTCGTTGAAGTTGCGGCTGTTGTTTGTCCAACGTGTTCGCACTCAGGGTATCGGCAAGCGAGATAGCCCTTATCCGGCAAACCCGGAATGTTTGCTGTGGCTGAATCTCCCAAAAAGGCGAAAATGGTAATCTAAAGTGGCAGGGAACATTCCCTGAAGTTGTCGTCAGCGCAAAAGCAGGATCTGCTGGTTGACGTCCGAAAACATCAACCCCCATGGCGCGCACCCCTGGATATGATCCTCCGCAAAGCTAACCTAACCGTCCCTTAGCCGTCTCCCTGCAGATCATCTTGAGCTTTCTGCCAGCTTAAAAATCCGGGTCGAGAAATTATTATTTCGCCATTTTGACCCAGGTCGAAATCCTTACATCTCCTTTGTATCTCGCTTGACGACTGCCAACCGTTGCTCGGCACCGAGTCCATGCAGTTGCGTCCATGAAAATCGCTCATCTGCCCACGATTTTCCAAAATTCTTGATCTCGACCGAAAGATTGCCTTCTCTCGGCTCACTTCTGTGCCCGACCCGGGCCTACGGACCATAACATGGTGGAGGTCCGGCCATTCATTAACACTATTTGTTAAAGTTTTCCAACCGTCGGTCAGCATGGCTCGACAGTCCTCAGTACCTGAGTGTTTTCCTCACAACGGGGAGCTTCTGAGTGCCACGAGTGACTTGGCAATCTGTATCTCGGACGGATTCTGTTTCGTTGGCTTAGTGTTCAACTATTAGGCTACCAGACGGAGCTCACTTGGTACCTAATGCATCTCAAAGCTTGGTCAATGCTCGCGGGGGAAAGGTGTTTGCTATATGGAGCATTACATATAGCGCCTGCCGCACACGCTCGAAGGTGCTTTCGATTCAATTCTTTCTGATATGCTAACAAAGTTCGTGTTCAGAACGACCAGTTCAATCGACCTTTAGATGTCTCTGATTTGGCATCCGTGTACAGAGTGTCGCGGACCAATCGAGCTCTCAGGTCATCATGCTAGCTTGCTAGGTACCTATGGCACTCGGTTTGCACACACATCTACCAATCCCTTACCCCTTTCCGATTGCCTGCGACAGTGTTTCTGTTAGGTGTCCCTTTTCGAGCCCGAACGACCCTATGGTCTGCATCGATGGCATATTTTCTATGGAAACTATGGTGTGCAAGGTGTACGTTCGAAGCAAGAGATCATTGGCGTTGTCGTCCATCATATACGAGATTGTGGACTTATCGAGCTTCCACAAGAACGCACGACCTAGAACCAGGACAGAAGGCATATGAGCCGAAGACAAGACGTATTCTTCGCAAAGACTGAGAAAATGATATGGTGAGGATCAGCAGCTGAAGATCTGATGGAGTTGTGCATGAACCCTGCTCCTAACAGTCAAAGGGCCCAACACTCCGCAGACACGAGTACACCAGACGGGCTGTGACGGAATTTAGGCGTCCCTTCCGGCCTCGCATCATTGACGTTCGTATGGGATGTTTTGTCATCGATGAGTGTGAAGTTGCCAAGGTTGCTGGGCAGATTACCGCAGTGCGGTTTGTGGTAGTACTAAAAGCAGCTTGTGCATCCATGACTCAGCCTGGGGCTCATAGATGACTTGCCTAAAGGATCAGACCTGGCAGTGGCGGTCATCTTGTGCATTATCTTTGGTGTTTCTTGACAGAAGGCCGTGTCGTTTCTGGAAGAAGCATCAGAAGAACAGCATGGAAAGGAGTGAATCTGTCAGTCACGGCATATTCAGGCGGCTTTGTACACACCATCGCTCCAGCTTTTTCGGTGTTTCTTCAGCCATCATTTCAGTCAGATGCGTGCGTGTTTTGACAGAGTGGCGCTGCCTCTTACGAGTAAGGGTAACCGGCTCCAGCATTTTGAGGGGCAAGACCCTGCATCTGGCCTATCGAAACGTCAGATCTCGTAGATATTTGGGTATGGGAGCGTGCTTGGTCAGCTTCCAAAGGCGCCAAGCGCAACGCCAGTCACCCACAGAGACTAGAGGGGGCTTTGAACGGGGATCGTCGCACTGGGCAATAGCGATGACTAGCAATTGATTCGTCGACGGCAAGGCTCGGGAGCTTGGGGCAAGGCCAAAGGTACGCAGTGGGCCAATACCTACCTAGGTACAGGCACAACTCACGAGGGAAGCAGATGAGTGAACAATGCAGGCGGGCACAATAATGTCGAGTCGGGGCCTCAGCTATGTACCTAGGTAGGTACGAGGTACCTTGGTGACTTATCAGCAGCCCGGCTGCGAGTGTATCTGGGCGCGATTGGGATGACATGGTGTTAAAGAAGAAAAAAGACAAGAACACTCTCACCATCCCCCTTTTCTCTTCATCCTCGCTGTCTCCTGGTGCCTGGGCATAAGTTCTTAGGCAAACCGTATTATTCGTCCGCGCTCGGTGCAAGCCGGAGTTTAGCAATCAGAAGCCCAGAGCGTCCGAATCTGAAACCGACACGCTTCGGCCCCTTGCGCTTCAGAGGCGTGTAGAGGCGTGTGCGCGCACTGGCATTATTGGCATTATTGGCATTATTTGGCATCTGGCACTGCATCCTCCTCAATCTCGAACGTCCTCATCTCTCTTACCAGCCATCTGGGCATAACATCGCCATTCCCCTGTTGCGCAAACTACCGGGTACTCATCTTACAAGTTATCGCTAAACTGACGGCGGAGCCCCGGGCCAACAGCGCCTTATCGATCACGGAGTGCAGTTTTCGGCCCATCGAGAAAAAAAAACCCTCCGAAGGACCCTACTCGTATACTACATTGACTAGGTACTCCAACCGCCCCCATACCTCCAGGGTGCCTCTTAGATCCAGTCTACATTGCATCTTCGAGGCTCACGCCGACTCCTTTCTCGCCCTCACTTTGTCAACCGTCCAACTCCTCCCCTCTATCCTTTCGACCTCTTTGCGCAGTCTTGTCGCTGCCGCCGACTCTCCTTTCCCTTCCTCAACGATGCGCGTTTTGTCAGGCTGCTGACGTGAGCCGACTCTTCCGAGCCCTCCCTCTCCCCCAGCCTCAAAACGCGGCAACCCGTCCCTTGACCCGTCTCGCCTCCACGAGTTTCGTCAAACGTCCCAGAACAGTGGACAGAATTTGGAATCCCGTTTTTGGCAACAATTGATTGCTCCGTGTTTCTTGACCACCCAAAAGCCACAGCCCGCGCCCTTTGGGTGACGGTTTACCCCCCTTTGACGGCTCCTACACCTGCGGTTGTCCTTGCGCCATGGCTCGAATCCACTTTACCAGCGGCGAGACCAGTGTCTCGAAACCGGTCAAGAGAATGCGTTGGGCTACAACTCGGAAACCTGGCCAGACCGGAGCGAAGAAAAGACTCTCTCTGCTTCAAAGGGTGCCTAAAGTGACCGTCTCGACCTATGAAGAAAAGCCGGAAGGCCCCAAAATGGCCGGTCTGATCACCGACGAGAGTCCTCTCGGAGAGCAGCAAATACAATCGGAATCCAACGGGCGCCAGATCTACGTCAATCTACCTCTGCCTCCAGAAGCAAGAACAGAAGACGGCCGCATCAAGGCCCAGTACTCGAGGAATAAGATTAGAACAGCAAAATATACCCCTCTCAGTTTCGTGCCAAAAAACTTATGGTTTCAATTCCACAACATCGCTAATATATACTTTTTCTTTATCGTTATCCTCAGTGTAAGCAGGCTTGGGATCTTTCATTGCAGTTGACAGCTAACCTTTTCAGATATTCTCCATTTTCGGCGCCTCGAATCCCGGCCTGGGATCTGTACCTCTGATTTTCATCCTGACAGTGACTGCCATCAAGGACGCAGTGGAGGATTGGCGCAGAACGGTGCTGGACACCGAACTCAATAACTCCCCCGTGTACCGGCTAGTGGATTGGGAAAATGTCAACTCCTCTGACGACGACATCTCCCTGTGGCGGCGCGTCAAGAAGGGCTGCACAAGGGCCGTCATTACAACCTATCGCTGGATGAAGAGCCTGAGGAGAGGTCAACCTAAACGCTCCGAAAAAGATGCGATTGCCGATCACCCCGGCTTGCACAGGAATCATTCAATCGCTACCAGGAATACTCGTCGAAGCTCGATCTACTCGGAAGAAGGCGACTCTTTCCATTCTTCCCAGAGTCAGACCGGCGATGACATTGCGATGACTCCCGTGCCATCACCAGGCTACCGATCGAGCCTCCCTCCAGATGCCAATGGTGGACCTCCGAGTAGTGCATTTTCCTACGAGACAGCTGATGAAGCTCGCGCTGGTGGAGACAACGCGCCTTCGATGCTCCGGACGCAACATTCTCCGAAGAGGAAGAGCGTCGTTCCACCTAAGAAGGACTATGGCAACGTGATCAACCCTCACAAGGAAGTTCCTGATACCGCCCGCTTCAAGAAGGACTGTTGGAAAAATGTCAAAGTGGGCGATTTTGTCCGTATCTACAACGACGAGCCTGTCCCAGCCGACATCGTCGTGCTATCTACCTCTGACCCGGATGGTGCTTGCTACGTTGAGACGAAAAACTTGGATGGCGAGACAAATTTGAAAGTCCGCCAAGCCCTTCAGGCAGGACGCAAAGTCAAGCACGCCCGAGACTGTGAATTTGCCGAGTTCTTGATCGATAGCGAAGGACCTAACCCGAACTTGTATGCTTACAATGGAGTGGTTCGTTGGCAACAGCAGGACCCCAAGAACCCTAATGCTCCCACGCGTGACATGGCGGAACCCATCAGCATCAACAACATGCTTCTACGTGGCTGCAGCTTGAAAAACACTGAGTGGATTCTCGGAGTGGTTGTGTTCACTGGGGGTGAGACCAAAATCATGCTTAATTCTGGTATCACCCCCAGCAAACGTGCACGGATGGCTAGGGACCTGAACTGGAACGTCATCTACAACTTTATCATCTTGTTCTTCATGTGCTTGGTTGCCGGTATCGTGCAAGGTGTCACCTGGTCCGAAAACAACAACTCTTTGAACTTCTTCGAGTTCGGCTCAATTGGCGGCAATCCCCCGACCGACGGCTTCATCACTTTCTGGGCCGCCGTGGTACTGTTTCAAAACTTGGTGCCCATTTCTTTGTACATCACCTTGGAAATCGTCAGGTCCATCCAAGCCTTTTTCATTTGGTCCGATATCCACATGTACTACGAAAGGCTCGATTACCCTTGTACCCCCAAGAGCTGGAACATTTCGGATGATCTGGGACAAATCGAGTACATCTTTTCGGACAAGACTGGAACATTGACTCAGAATGTGATGGAGTTCAAGAAGTGCACCATCAACGGCGTCCAGTATGGCGAGGCCTATACCGAGGCTGAGGCAGGGATGCGAAGAAGACAAGGAGTTGACGTCGAGGCTGAAGCTGCCCGAGTGCGTCAAGAAATCGCAGAGGCACGCGTTGAGATGCTGAAGTTGCTTCGCAAGACCTACGACAATCCTTATCTCCACGACGACGACCTCACGTTCGTTTCTCCGAACTTTGTGGCTGATCTAAATGGGCAATCAGGCGAAGCACAACAAGCGGCGGTAGAACATTTCATGATTGCTTTGGCACTTTGTCACACAGTAATCACCGAAACAACCCCGGGTGATCCACCAAAGATCGAATTCAAAGCCCAGTCTCCCGACGAAGCTGCCCTTGTTGCCACGGCGCGTGATGTAGGTTTTACAGTCCTGGGCCGTACTAACGATGACCTCCATGTCAATGTCCTTGGCGAAGATCGAACCTATCGGATTCTGAACACTCTGGAGTTCAACTCGACAAGAAAGCGAATGAGTGCCATTGTGCGCATGCCCGATGGCAGAATCAAGCTGTTCTGCAAGGGAGCCGACAGCATGATTTACTCGCGTCTTGCCCGTGGTCAACAGCAAGAACTCCGCAAGGCGACCGCTGAGAATCTGGAGATGTTTGCTCGTGAAGGGCTCCGGACTCTCTGTGTGGCGGAAAGAGACGTGGATGAAGATTTCTACCAAGAATGGAACAAGGACCACGACTTTGCCGCACAAGCTTTGGCCGACCGAGAGGACCGCCTTGAAGAGGTGGCCGATCGAATTGAGAGAGAACTTACACTCCTTGGAGGCACGGCTATCGAAGATCGTCTACAAGATGGTGTTCCTGACACGATTGCTCTGCTTGGCCAAGCTGGCATCAAGCTCTGGGTCCTTACCGGTGACAAGGTCGAGACTGCCATCAACATTGGGTTCTCTTGTAATTTGCTCTCGAACGAGATGGATCTGATCCTTTTCGATATTCCCGAGGCCACTATCGATGAAGCTGCCAAGCTGCTGGATCAACATCTCCAAACTTTCGGATTGACCGGTTCCGACGAGGAACTCGCAGCCGCTCGACTTGTTCACGAGCCTCCGCCTCCGACCCATGCGTTAGTCATTGACGGAGAGTCGCTCAAGTTGGTCTTGCGAGATGAGCTTAGACAGCGGTTTTTGGTGTTGTGCAAGCAGTGCAAGTCTGTCCTTTGTTGCCGAGTTAGCCCTGCACAGAAAGCCGCCGTGGTTCAGCTTGTTAAAACCGGACTCGACGTCATGGCATTGTCTATTGGCGATGGTGCCAATGATATTGCCATGATTCAAGAGGCCGACGTCGGGGTCGGCATTGCTGGTGAAGAAGGGCGACAGGCCGTTATGTCGTCCGACTATGCCATTGGCCAATTCCGTTTCCTGCAACGACTGGTTCTCGTCCACGGCCGTTGGTCTTACCGCCGTCTCGCCGAGAGTATTGCCAATTTCTTCTACAAGGTTTGTGTGAACCTCACCTTCTTCTCGAACCCCAACTGACTGTGCTTTTAGAATTTGGTCTGGACTTTTGCTCTGTTCTGGTACCAGATATACAACAACTTTGACATCACCTACCTCTTTGATTATACCTACATCCTTCTCGTGAACTTGGCCTTCACCTCTGTGCCCGTCGCTCTGCTAGGTATTCTGGATCAAGACGTGAGTGACAAGGTGTCTCTTGCAGTACCCCAGTTGTACCGACGAGGAATGGAACGAAAGGAATGGACGCAAGTGAAGTTCTGGTGAGGATATCGACCCTTTGTTGAACCATCTCATCTAACGAGGAGTCAGGTTATACATGGTTGACGGCTTATATCAATCTGCCATTTGCTACTTTATGGCCTACCTCCTCTTCCAGCCTGCAACATTTGAGACCGAGAACGGACGAGGCATTGCCGATCGAAGCCGCATGGGCGTCTATGTCGCTTGTGTGACCATCATCGTGATCAACTCCTACATCCTCCTCAACACGTACAAGTGGGACTGGATCATGGTATTGATCACCGTCATCAGCTGCCTCTTGATCTTTGCCTGGACTGGTATCTATTCTTCTTTCGAAGCGTCCTTCCAATTCTACAAGGCCGGCTCCGAGGTCTATGGGCAATTAACCTTCTGGGCACTAACACTCCTGACATTCGTGATATGTCTGCTACCTCGCTTCTGTGTGAAATATTTCCAGAAGAACTACCTGCCCTACGACATCGACATTGTCCGAGAGCAGGTCCGGCAGGGCAAGTTCAAGTACTTGGACGAGTACGAGGCTTACGTTCCTCCCAAAGTCGTCGATATTTCGGGGACATCATCTGAACAACCTGAGGAAGTTCACGCCGAGCCAAATGGCCAGCAGCAGCCTCAACATGCGAGATATGGAAGCATGGCGGAATCGCAACGACCGATCTATCCCCCCTCAGAAGCACCTACCCGTCACCCTCACAGTCAAACAGGCAGTGATGGCACGGATAGGACCCAGCCGTCCTTCGACACCGCTGGACTTCACGGAGACTCGTCTACTCCGGAGAAGTTGCGGCGGAGGAGACCCTCGGTAGAGCGTGCTCGCTCGTCGTTTGATAGGCAACGCCAGTCTTTCGACAAGCTGAGACCGAGTTTCGAAGGCAGTCGTGATTTCACCAGTGCCGCCATGCTGTCAAGGATGGAATCTCAGTATTCCCAACCTGGTCTTAGTGAGGTCAATACTCGGGTGATTCCCGAGGAGAGTGTTTAGCGACCTACCTCGTGACAAAAGGCAACAGCATATTTTGCGCCTCATGAATTTACGCCGGCCTTCTATAGCTATGATGATCACGGCGTTGCGGACCGCATGGATATTGGACAGGTGTTATTGGGAGGAACCAACGGACTGGCCATGGAACTGTGAAGTATTTAGCGAAGGCTTTTTGTGCTGTATATACTTTTGAAAGCACCAAAGTGAACCACGCACCACAAGTGAGCGAGACTTGACAGCGACTGTTTTTCAGATAGAGCCCGCCATTTGGTCCTCGTGATCGACTACTAGCATGTAGATATCTATTCAACAAGCACTACTCACAACATATAATTGACTGAAATGCTTTGGTTTCTGAACTTCCGACTGCAACTAGAGATGTCTACGGAGACCACATATGGCCACATGTATACGAAGTCTACATTCAAATATGAAGTCAGGCTGTGAAGGATTGAAGTTATAGTGACGACCTTACGAGGCCGGGTGGGTGCCGGGCAGCCCGAGCGGCGAGAGGCGCCAAGTGCCTAGTGCACACCTGCAGGTTTCATAGTGGCGGCTGCACGCGACTTTTTTGGTTGACGCGCCCGATGCGGCTTTCATAGAAGCGGAACCACACTGCACATGTTCCAGCACATGTTCCAGCAACTGCCAACAATGGAACTGCCTTATTCTTTCAGAGTTGTGCGCCCCTTTTACGCATGAAGATCTGTCGATGTGATCACAATCCTACCAGTATGAGAGATCCAAAATCTCGCTTATGCGCGCCACCCTCTGCTAACATTACCCAACCTCACCTGGCACTGCGGTCACAACCACCGCCGTCATGGCAGAGTTCATAACCACGTTACAGTAAGTTCACCAGGAAACAACTTCCTCTTGACCGAAGTCACATTCACTGACATCTCGCGCCCACAGAGAATTCAAAAACTTACCCCCCGGCCTCCACATCTTTTGTCCCCGGCAGAGCGATGATGATACCGACAGATATGATGATGAACCAAATCCCAACCCCGATGATCCAGTTCGCCTCGCGAGAATCGTAGAGACCAAGGAACGGCGGAAAAAGTTTGTATCGTCACTCCAACTCCTCGCCTACGACGGGAAGGAAAGCGAGCAATACCAACGTTTCATTTGGGAAACCCTCGAGGAAGCCCTGGGAAAATGTGACATTTGCATCAGGGAATACTACGTTGCAAAAGTCGACTTTCTCGCCGCTTTGAGGCAGGACTATGAGGAGGAGGATGTTGCCACTTTCTTCGCTCTGATCAACCGGCGGGATGTCGAACGGATTGTCCAGGGACTCGATGCCGCAGACGAGGCTCTGCGAAGTGTCCCGGAACAGAAGAGAGGGACAGGGGTACTCGAGCCCAAACATCTTCACGCTTTGTTCGAGGCACTCGTATCTCAGGCGTTCCTAGATGATGAAGAGAAACTGAAGACTCATTTCGATGGGCCCTTTAAGATGATACAGACGAAAAAGTCGCTTAAGATGCGGGAGATCCTCCCTGCCACCACTCGATTTCTCTTTGACTCCAACACAGTCAGGGTGGTATGGGCAAGTTCGATCTGGACACGACTTGATCGATGTCCCACCGACCTGGAATGGGATTGGGCAGTGAAAGACTTCCTTCAGAAGAAGCTGCAGACGGCCTCCGATCCTCACGATGTTGCGAAGCTGTGGAGTGCTTTGGACCTCATTGTTCAAAAGCTCGACGAACGATTCATCACCTACAAACTATTCGACCTTCACCCGAACATATGCACAACAGCGTTGAATCACTTGGCCAAGCGGACAACTGCCGTGCCGTCTATTCTGTCGACTCTCAAACAGATCTTGGCCAAGGCTCCAGATGCATTCTGGCAGGCCATGGGCTCCATCTCCTCGCAGACAATCGTTGAGCAGATCTTTGCAAGCCCTTCGTTTAATATTGACCTGCAAGGAGCTACCCCTGCTGCTGATGAGTCCGCTCCGAATGTCCTGTCTTGGATCAGTTCACTGCTCGAATCCCTGAAACCTGCCAATCGGCCCCCCGCTGCACACACGCTCCTCAATCAGCTATTTGAAAGAATTGACAATGGCTCCCTTAGCCTTGCGGCAAGAAGGGCATGCTTTGAGCAGGCTGTAAACGTGTTGCTAAAGACTGTGATCAGTTTCTCTGGTGAGGAGGAGGACAGTCAACATCCAGTCGAGCGGTTGGTCTATCTTGACACATTGAATCTGATTGGTCACCGCCTAGACGTGATACTACGGCCTAGAGACCTGGCGCTCGCCCAGTCGCTCCAGAAGGACGCTCGAGAAGACGTTGTGAACCTCGTTAAGAACTCAATCGCCTTGGAATGTAAGTGCCTGAAGCTCGATTTCGAGAACCTCATTCGCACCGAATCCCGGAAGCAGGACTCGAGTGCCTACACTCCAGAGATTTGGACCTCAGTCATTGAAAATCTACGGGATGACGATCCCACGCTGTCCACTGCGGCACTGATAGGGATCATGTCTCTTCCTGGTCTGGAGCAGTTCCGCGTCAGAGAGGGCGACAGCCTTGCGAAAGAGAAGAGGTCATACAACGATATCTTCGAAAAGGTAAACCAAATGGTCAGCAAGCTGCTAGAGCGGATATCTGAATTTTCACCACCCCATTTGGACACGCTGTTCAGACAGCAAGATACGAGTATGTCTCTGGTTGCCGCTTTGTTCTCGCCACATCAAGAGATATACGAGGCAACGATTGCTACGGTCAAGCATATTAGTGGAGAATCGATTCGGAAGGAAGCCCTCGCCCATTTGATGAATGCCTTTCTCGGGACTACCATCTATGGTGTATGTTGGGTGTTCAGGCGCGTTGCCAATTATAAAACGTTCGCCTCGGTGCCCAGAATGCTCAAGACAGGTATGGAAATCCTCGATGTGCTCTGCAACCCAACGGATGGCCTCCTACGACGCATGGAGCTCTCTGGTCGAGACCTCAAAGCTGTCCAGAGCTATTGGTCGTACCAGTGGATCGCTCTGAAGACCATCTATGGTCACACGGAGCGCTGGTCGATGGAGGTGCACAACAAGGACATAATGAAAGACGTCTGCCGCGATGCCATGCAGTACGCTGGAGAGCTCTTCCATCAGTATGACCTTTTCGCGAGCGTCTTGACAAAGGCAAAGCCTGATAAAGCCGGCGAGATTCGAAAGATCCTCTTGGACTCTGCTAGCGCCAGCGAGAAGAGTATAGGATCGCCATTGAGTGCTCTGGATACCATGTGCAAGTGGCTGAGACTGAGGGACGAGTACCTGGCCGATACACTGGTATCCTTGATCTGCGACATGCTGTACCAACTCAAACAGCATCGAGCTGTGGTGACCGACAGCGATGGTCTCGCATACGTGGAAGATGTGGCAACAGGAAGCTCCGTTAGAACGATGCTCTCAGCCTCACAAAAAGCTAGACTAGTGCGAGCTTTGGAAGGCTACTTTGACCGACAAATCGCAAGACCAGCCGTCAAGAAGCAAGCTACACTCAACCTTGGAAAATGGACCGATGCAGCTTCGGTGTCAAGAGTATCCACCCCTGACTCTAGGGGTCGTAGCACCGACGAATTTGGAGACGACGATATCGCCGATGAAGACCTGATTGAGATCGCCAGCAAAACACTTGATACTAACAGAGCAACTGTCACAAGCAAGGACAAGAAGAAGATCAAATCCCTCCTCCAACAGCCGCCTGCGAAGCCAAAGGCCACGCCCGTGTCTACAATCGACATTCAAGCAAAGAAGGCGCAAGAGGCGAGAGCCTTCATCGAGAATCGGAAGCGCGAAGAAGCGGCCCGAAAACTCCGAGACAAGGAAGCTGCTCTCAAATTGAAAGGCAAAACCGGAATCGGTGCACAGACGAGCGGACAAGGCTCCGGAATCGCTGGGCTGGGTGTTGTAGGCAAGGATCATTCGGCCGGTCCAAACAGTCTCATGGTGTCCAGCGAGTCTGAATTTGATTCGGACTCAGACGACGAATTGTTTGGAATCCCTTCGAGGGGCCCTACCGTTCGTGATCAGCTTGGACAGAGAAAGCCTATGCCGGCTGGCCCTGTACGGAAGGTCAAGCAACAACGGACTCAGAAGGATATTCGTGCCCGACTTGCTCCCGATCTGAGCGATCTACACCGCACAATTCTTGGCTGGGATTTCTTTGCGGAGACAGATACACCTCCGAACTCGGGAAAGGATGACTACACCCTCGTTACGAATACGTTCCGGACTGCACAGGATTATCAGAAGACGTTTGAACCACTCCTTGTCCTGGAAGGCTGGCAGAGTTTTCGTGCAGCACGGGAGGAGGGCAACTTCAAAGCTTTTGAGGTCAAAGTTGCCAACTCTCTGATCGTGGACAGCTTCTTTGAGATTAATTCTTCGATGTCTTTCACGGAAGGAAAGGATCTCGGTATCGGAGTTTCGGACGTTGTTCTGCTGTCGAAGTCGAGCAGACCAGATCAGGATCCGAGCGAGCCGCATTGTCTGGCGAGGGTCAAAGAAATATCGAGGAAGAGAGGAGAAGTCCAAGTTGTCTATCGGGTGAATGCTGCAAATAACCCCCTGAGACCATTTCTGGGCGATAAAGCCGTTGTTCATGGTGTACAAATCCTGTCCCTGACGCCGTTGGAGAGAGAGTATGGTGCATTGATGGCGTTGCAGTACTATGACCTGTGCGACGAGATCATCAAAGCGCAACCGTCACCCATCCTCGACTATGCCGAAGAGGTGCTCCAGCCAATCAAAGCGACATACAGCGTAAACCTTGCACAAGCTAAAGCTGTAAAGTCCGCCCTTGACAACGACGCTTTCACTTTGATTCAGGGTCCTCCAGGTTCCGGCAAGACCAAGACCATCTGTGCGCTCGTTGGTGCCATGTTGACGGGCTTCATCAAGAAACAAAACAACAGTGCTGCAAGATCAACTACAACTCATGGTGCACCACGACCACCGCCCTCGAGCAAGAAAATTCTGGTCTGTGCCCCAAGCAATGCGGCCGTTGACGAGTTAGTGATGAGGTTTAAAAACGGAGTTACACTGTTGGACGGCGTACCCGAAAAGATCTCAGTCGTCCGCTTGGGTCGGAGTGAAGTGATCAACACAAATGTGAAGGACGTCACACTTGAGGAACTGGTCAATGCTAAGCTCAGTGCTGCCGCACCTAGAGCCCCGGGGGAAGACATCCATAGCGTGATGATGCAGCACAAAGAAGTCTCGGAAGAGCTGAGAAATCTTCGAGACTCGATTCAAGATCGTCGAGGCAAAGGTCAGCAAGTGGATGTGGCCGATGAACAGCTTATGGACGCGCTTCGACGGAAGCAGAACGGGTTGGGCAGCAGAATCGACGACCTGAGAGAAAAGCAGAATACTGCGTCTCGGGACGTAGAACTCAGCCGAAAACGAATCCAACAGGAGATTTTAGATTCGGCACACGTTCTCTGCGCGACTTTAAGTGGAAGCGGACACGAACTCTTCCAGAGCCTCAACGTCGAATTTGAAACGGTCATTATCGATGAGGCTGCACAGTCAATTGAGTTGTCGGCATTGATTCCTCTCAAATACGGATGTTCAAAATGCATCCTTGTCGGTGATCCGAAACAATTGCCCCCTACAGTTCTCTCGCGAAAAGCGGCCAAATTTCAATACGAGCAGAGTCTGTTTGCCCGTATGGAAAACAACCACAAGAAAGACGTGCATCTCCTAGACACGCAATATCGTATGCATCCAGAGATCAGTCTTTTCCCGAGCAAGACATTCTACGAGTCTCTGTTGAAGGACGGCGGGGACATGGCTAAGCTCCGTCGGAGACCGTGGCACCACAGTGAGATTTTCGCACCTTATCGCTTCTTCGACGTTCAAGGCATGAGCCAAGCATCAACCAAGGGGCACTCGCTGGTCAACGTTGCTGAGATCACCGTCGCAATGCAGCTGTATAGGAGATTGACGACAGACGTCCGCAGATATGACTTTACCGGAAAGATTGGCATCATCACCCCATACAAGGGTCAACTGAACGAACTCAAACGTCGATTCAGGGATCAATATGGGGAAGCTATCTACTCGAGGATCGAATTCAACACCACAGATGCTTTCCAGGGCCGAGAAAGCGAGATCATCATTTTCTCTTGTGTCAGGGCTTCGACCCAGGGCATTGGTTTCTTGAATGACATTCGACGTATGAACGTGGGTCTGACCCGTGCCAAATGCTCACTTTGGGTTTTGGGCAATTCGCAAGCACTTATGCAAGGCGAGTACTGGCGAGCTCTGGTCACAGATGCCAAAGCCAGGAATTTGTACACTGACGGCGACCTTGCCAGGCTCCTGGGTCGGCAGCTGTTGACGGAAGATATGATGAAGGACGATATTGAAATGCTTGACTACACTGAGTCCCCGTCCGACAACGTAGAGTCTTCCATCGTTGCGGAAAGATCATTTGGTGGGAATTCGGAGTCGAAAGAACCGTCACCAGCACCCGGGAAGGACCGGAAAGACGCATCTCGACTAAGCGGTCCCCTGAATCAAGCTGGCGCAACATCAGCCAAGCCGGGAATCACTCTTCCAAGGCAATCTTCAGCAACTTCAGTTGCCCGACCAGAGCCGAAGCGGCAGGACTCGGGGCAATCTGTAGGGAGGCGAGAGGTCACCAGAGTCGATACCAGTACTGATAAACGTCTTGCTCCGGATGGACGACAGCCTGCCGAACCCAGGGAGAAGGCTACGGTTTCAAGGGCCAACTCCGGCGAATACAACCCTTCAGGGGGCGGCAACGGCCTCAACGACCTCCATAACTGCGCAATCTGCGGGTCGTACGAGCATCTTACGGTCAATTGCGACAACGAAGAAGCGCTGGCTGGGTCAATTGGGATTTGCCGCAGATGTCAGTGCCCAGGTCATACAGTTACCAATTGCACTGAACCTCGATGCATCTCTTGCGGCGAAGTAGGTCATCCCACCACTGATTGTACGGCACCTCTAGACAAGAGACTCAATAAGGCGCAACAGGAGAAGGTTCGGAAAGAAGAGATCCGCTATGGCGAAAGAAGAGACAAAGCACGCCAGTATCGAGCTGAAAAACAACTTGGTGAACACGACGCGCAGATTCCCGTCGTCAAGAGCTCAATTACGACCTCGAACACGATTGCATCGAGCAAGGAGGCCAAGAGGAAGTGGGATGAGTCCTCTGGTAGCGATTCCACAAGAGCCAAGGTACCGCGAGTCAAGCCAGAAAACAGATCTGCCGCATCTGGCACAGCCAGCATACACAAAGGGCGGTCAGGCTTTCCCCAGAGACCGTCTGAACGGCCCAATCCAGCGGGATCATCGGGTCTCCCACCAAGACCTCCCGCTGGCCGTGCTCCTGCTATGACGAACAACGGACAACCGATGGTAAGGAAGAAGAAGGCCAATGCCGATGATATGTTCGTGAAACGAAAATAAGAGCGGCGGCAACAGACGAAATAGCTGCGTTTGTAAAGGAGGCACGACCTTCAATTTTCCATTCGAAGTGCTAATGGTGAAGCCACAACAGCCTGGCGCAGAGGTATGTGTGGAGCTTTCGACTTACTTTGCATGTGATGAAGAAGGCAGTTGGTAGACTTTGTCTACATGGCAGGAACTTGGATTAGCAGGACTCAACCCGCGGATGCAGAGGGTCGAGCTACGAGGCGCTTTTGTATATCAGTGTAGCATTTGATAGCGCAGAGGACATGGTGTTGGTGAGCATCAGAGCGGGAGCTTCTGCATAGCGACGGGCGTTTCATTGCCAGACTCCTCCTCCAAGGGCAGAGAGGTTACGAAGCACAGCCCAGCGAGGTCGAGAATCGCAAAACTTTTACGTGATACATAGATGAAGACCAGCATTGCGGAAGGTACGAGGTATTCATTCTGCAATCAGGCGGTAGAATGGCACCCCGGGCTGGCAAAAGTATGATGGCTGCGATTGGCAGAACAGGATAGATGCCAATTCCTCATATGATCCCAGCAGTTTCAAGCATTTGCAGGATATTAATCTGGCTGACGACTGAAGAGCTGACAGAGAAAAGACATCATCTATCCGACATAGCTCTGGCAAAAGAGGCACAGCCTGTTGTCCTCCCGTCTTTGCATGTCCAACGCGAACAGGCTGATTCAAGCACGAGTCTCTCCAACCGTCTTTTGCGAGTCCTTCAGCTCTCCTCTCAGCTCGACCGTCTTGGCCACCAAATCCCCGACCTCGGTGTTGAGGGCCGCAAACCCTTTGATCACGCCCTCCCGGTCCGCTTTGCCCAACTCCTGGCTCATCTTGTACTTACCTTCTAAGCGGGTGACTTCAATCTCGATCCCGATGATGTTCTTCTTGAGCAGCTCGATATACCGCTCAGGCGCGTCCTCGACGCTCCACGGTCTTTCGTAACCCATGACCGTCGTCTCGGCGTGGTTTGACAGGTCGCTGATCTGCCGCTGGAGAAATCTGCCCGTTACCTCAAGATGAGTGTCATAATGCACAGTGGCGGTCCCGTAAACTTGCACCGCCGAATAGTTCCACGTCGGCACGACTTTTCCCGTGGCAGGTTTGGTCTCGACGTAGAATTTGGGCGTCACGTAGTGGTGTGCCGGCCCGTTGAAGATGACGGAAACTTCTTCCCTGAGGCTTTTGGTGCCGGTGCTGGATGGGGAAGTGCCATTATTATTATTATTATCTGATGGACTTTGCTGCTTTTGAGTGGCGGCTTCAATCAGCGCCTTTGAATGCGGATTTTGCCTTGCGAGATGTCCGCGCAGTCTGCCGAGTTCTGTCTCGCTCGAGTCATCTTCGACATCGAGGAGCCATGGGATGTGCGTGCATTGTATAGTTGGAAAATTGGGCGACGATAAGGACGTGATCAATAACCCCAGGGGATTCTCTCGGATAAAATGCCGCAGGGCGGGGATGTTGAATTCGGCGTGCACGGCGCGAAGGTACATGGCTGATTTAGGACAACGACAACAATGACAGGTGTTAGGAAGGAAGACGGGAGAATATTGGTAATACAATATGTATCATGACGACTTACAACGAAGATTTTGGGGAATGGAGGGGAGGACTTTATCCACGCCCTACGATTACAATTTGATAACAGAATCTGCAGGACGCTGGCGGAGCGGCGAAAACCGCCATGTCATTGAGCTTGTCGGTCTTGTTTCCTGCATTCAAATTGTGCTGATTCTCGCATTGGCCACCTCCCTTGATCAAGGTAAGGTCAGCCGTTCAATAGAAGAGCCTCAGCGTTCACGTTGCAAGTCAACAGCATTGTGCTGGGCAAGGCTGTACGAGGCTGCGTGAGGCTGAACAAGGCTGAGCTCCGGATTTCTTGGCACCATTACGCTTTCTCGGCATAGCTTCTGTTTTTGGCGCATGGAGGATTGTTGAAGTGTCCTCTGGCATCGCGGCCAAATTGCAAGGTCACTTCGAAGCTTTCAGGAGAAACTGTCCTCCATCTTCCTCCCATTCCCTCTACTTCAGGAACCATTTCTCGCGCTCCTTTGGCTCTTTTCTCGCTTTCCTTTCCCCCCTCTTAACAGCCTGAAGCTGTTTTAACGGTGTACTGCAACCATGAGTGGCCGTGCGTGCCTCCCTCATCCCTCATTTCTCCTCTCCGCACTTTTCAATGGGACAAAATTGCTAACCACGGCAAAATCCAGTCCGCTTTCTCGACCTCATTAAACCCTTCACCCCCCTCCTGCCGGAGGTGGCGGCCCCAGAATCCAAAATCCCATTCAACCAGAAGTTGATGTGGACAGGAGTAAGAGCGCAGCCCGTCGAGAACCCACGCGACTGAATCGCAGTATCGGACAAGCGCTAGGAGACTAACGACTGGATTGCGATGGACAGTGTACACTTCTGATTTTCTTGGTCATGAGCCAAATGCCTCTCTACGGCATCGTCTCGTCCGACACTTCAGATCCCATCTACTGGTTGCGTATGATGTTGGCCAGTAACAGGGGAACATTGATGGAACTGGGAACAACACCCATCATTTCCTCAGGGATGGTCTTCCAGGTATGCGCAGACATTCCGCTTAGTTGCTTCAGTACTAACCAACGTGGCTCCGTAGCTGCTGGCTGGTACTCATCTCATCGACGTCAACCTCGATCTCAAGTCCGATCGCGAACTGTATCAAACCGCTCAAAAACTCTTCGCCATCATTCTGTCCTTCGGTCAAGCCTGCGTTTTCGTCCTCACTGGTCTTTATGGTCAACCGAGCGATCTCGGTGCTGGTATCTGCCTCCTCTTGATTGTTCAACTGGTGATCGCTGGTTTGGTGGTCATTCTCCTGGACGAATTGCTCCAGAAGGGATACGGTCTTGGATCTGGCATTTCCCTCTTCATCGCCACAAACATCTGCGAGTCCATCATCTGGAAAGCCTTCTCCCCAACGACGGTTGACACAGGCAGGGGAAAAGAATTTGAAGGCGCTGTGATTGCCCTCTTCCACCTCCTCGTCACCTGGCCCGACAAGACCCGTGCTCTCCGCGAAGCTTTCTATCGCCAGCATCTTCCCAACATCATGAACCTTTTGGCAACCCTGACTGTCTTCGCTGCCGTCATTTACCTTCAAGGTTTCCGGGTCGAGATTCCCGTCAAATCCTCCCGCCAACGAGGCATGCGCGGCTCCTACCCAGTCCGCCTCTTCTACACCTCCAATATGCCCATCATGCTGCAATCCGCATTGGCGTCGAATATCTTCATGATCAGCCAGATGCTCTACACTCGCTTCTCGGATAACTTGCTGGTGAAACTTCTTGGAACATGGGAACCAAGAGAAGGCTCGTCCCAGCTGTACGCCAGCGGTGGAATTGCATACTATATGTCCCCACCCCTGAACTTCACCGACGCGCTCCTCGACCCCATCCATACCGTCATCTACGTCACATTCATCATCGTGACCTGCGCGGTCTTCTCCAAGACATGGATCGAAGTCTCTGGCAGTGCCCCGCGCGACGTGGCCAAGACCCTGAAGGATCAAGGATTGGTAATGGCAGGTCATCGTGAGCAGAGCATGTACAAGGAGCTGAAGAGGGTTATCCCCACGGCGGCTGCGTTCGGAGGTGCGTGTATCGGGGCGTTGTCCGTGGCCAGTGACATGCTTGGTGCGCTCGGGAGCGGCACCGGGATCCTGCTGGCAGTCACAATCATCTATGGGTATTTTGAGATTGCGGCCAAGGAAGGAGATTTCGGCCAAGGGTTGAAGGGGCTGATTGCTTAGAACCCTGACCGGTTTTGGGCAGCTTGTTGGGGAAGCTAGGAGAACAAAAGTTGTACCCTGTTTCTGCATAGCAAAAAGGTTTAGGGTCGGAGATGGGTGGCTGGGGACTGCTCAACAAGGGGCTCAGGTGAAGGGTGGGCAAACCAAAGCACAATACCAGACAACCTACAGGTTGGTCGGGTGTTGCTTGTATAGTACAGACTCCCTGACCTTGTGGTCAAGCTAGCTGCCTCTTGGACCTGTATGATGACACTCCGCCGCCTATATAAGTTATATGCAAGGATAGATAGTCGTGCGTCCTTGTTCGTCTTACTGTGTATGTATTTATGACCTGCCCTGATAAGAGGAATAAAAGGTATATACAGTAGGATAAACGTCCCCGCGACGACGCTCTCTGTCCTGCCCGGTTTCAAATCCTCGTGCCTTGAGGGGCATTTCGGGACATGTTTGATTCAGATCGTCCCTTCACTCGAGATACTCTTCTTCTCGACTTGAGACCTCATGCATCCTATCCTCCCTCTGGACTATTCGTCATGCGTTTTTCTATACATCCCTTTGATGTGCCTCTTCTTTCTTTTCCTCCCCTCCCCCACGCGCACGGACGGCCTTACCATATACTCGATACTGTGTGTGTGGCTGCTCCTTTCTACGTGCGGTAGTCCCCATTGATGGTGACGTACTCGTGACTAAAGTCGCAGGTCCAATAATATCCTTCTTCTCGTCCGACGCCCAAGTCGACGTCGATGATCAGGTCCTCGTCCTCCAACAGCCTCGCGGCGCGGCTCTCGTCCACGGCCTGTGGTTCGCCGTTGACCAGCAACCGCAAGACGCCCTCGTCCTTTGACTTTGAGGTCTCGGCGGGCACGAACGACACGTTTGTCCTCGCGGGGATGACGGATTCGGCGGTGCTGGAGAGGGAGATGTCGGGCGTGTACCCGATGGCGCAGAGGATGCGGCCCCAGTTGGCATCCTTGCCGTACAGGGCCGTCTTGACGAGCGGGGAGCGGGCGATGGTGGAGGCGATGGATTTGGCGTCCCCGGAGGTGAGCGCGTTGCGGACGCGGATCGTCACGAACTTGGTGGCGCCTTCGCCGTCGCGGACCACCAGTTGGGAGAGTCTCTGTGAGAAGGATGTCAGGATCGATGACATGGCGGTGTAGTCGTCACTGGAGGAGGAGGAGATTGGGGTGTTGGATGAGGGGTCAGAAGCGGCCCCGTTGGCGAGGATGGCGACCGTGTCGTTGGTGGAGGTGTCTCCGTCGATGGAGATGCAGTTGAACGATTTGTTCACCGCGGTGGTCAGTAGGGATTGTAGCGCTGCTGAGCTGATCGGGGCGTCGGTGCACATTATTCCCAGCAGTGTGGCCATGTTGGGGTGGATCATCCCCGCGCCTTTAGTCATTCCTGCCAATCTGTACTCGACGCCCTGATGTTGAGCGCCGGGTAAAGTGAACGTTGTGGATAGGAGTTTTGGAAACGTGTCCGTGGTGCAGATTGCGCGTGCCGTGGTCAGCCAGGAGTCGTGGTCACTTCCCAGATTGTCGTACGCGGCGGGGATCTTTGCCAGGATCTTTTGGATGGGGAGTCTCTGGCCGATGACGCCCGTGGACATGACGAGGCTGTTTGCATCTTCCGCGTTGGATGATGACTGTGACCGTTGTTGGAATTGGGCAGATGCTGTCCGGGACATGGCCCACGCGTCGTCCACACCTCCTTGACCTGTGACGGCATTGGCGCAGCCAGAGTTGACAATGATACTCCTCAACCCTGCGCCGCCGCGCTTCTCGAGCACGGCTCTGCTCACTTGGACGGGCGCGGCTTGGAACTTGTTGGTGGTGAAGACGGCGGCGCCGAACGCGGGCCTGTCGGAGGCGATCAGAGCCAGGTCCGGATGGGATTTGTTGGCCGGCTTGACGCCCACGTGGGTTCCAGAGACTCTGAAACCCTTGGGGTAGGTGCCGGACGTGGGCACATATTTCACCTTGGACGCGGGGATGGTGGCATCGATGGGGGCAGAGTAATGTCGAACGAATGTCCGGATGGCTGAGCGGGTTGTTGAAGGAGTGATAGCGGACGCCATATTCGGTTTGCTGCAAATATGAGAGGAGATCCAGACAGCCACTTTGAGTATGACTCGCTCCGTCACTTTCGCAAGGCCGAGCAGGATATCTCTTGGATTGCCGGCTCCTTCAGCCTCACTAGTTCTTGAGTTGATGAAGCCCACCTGGTCAGTGGCTTGCCCTTATCAATGACCGATTCCCGAGATAATGAGAGAGCAGCAGAAAACTTGCGAACCCACCCACGGCTGATGTGCCTAACGTAGACACTCTCAAGCCCCCAAAAAAATTTCCCTGTTGCAATGGTTAATATGTTAGCTGCGTTTGTAGCGCCTTTTCATTGGCGAAGCATCGAGGCGTAAAGAGGGAAAAAGGACGAAGGTTGAGTCAAAAATCATAAAATGGTAGAGGAATCGATGGACCAATCAGAGTCGCCGGTTTGCGGAGCGAGAACAAAAGTCGCGTCGCGCAATGAACAGAAGACAAGCCCTCGATTCCCTCTGTCAGTTTGTCAGTTCAAAGACTACCTCTTCAACCTGCCAGGTCCTGTGCTCATCCTCTGTCTATCTGGATGCCTCTAACGCTGTACCATGGTTAAACGAAAACACCCCGATCCTGATGCCGATGCCATCATCCCAGTCACAGACACCCCTTCCAAGCGCCGGAGGAGAACTACAGATGGAGGAGAAGGAAGAGCACTCAGTAATGGGGAACCCAACGCCAGCCCCTTGAAAAATGGCACGCCCAAGCAAGAGGGGACGCCTTCAAGGAGAAGAACAAAGTCCGCCGTCCAAGACCTCCAGGTCGACGAGGATCAAGACGAAGGCAGTCCCACCCCGAAACCCAATGGTCGCACCCTGTTCTCTACTCCGACTCGAGGCAAACGCGGAGCTACAGCTACCACACCCTCCAAGTCGGCGCGGGCAAAGGCAGACAGGTCTGCTAAGAGGAAGAGTGCCCGACTACTTGCTGAGACGCAGGACACTGATGACGACGACCTGAACGGACACGATGCGCGGCTGGCTCGCGAGATACTTGACGATGATGACGAGGAAGAGGAAGAGGACGTCGACGGAGATGGACTACTCGGCCAGGATGTCGAAACCACGCTCGACGAGGGCGAGGCGGTTACACCATCCAAGAAGACCCCAGGCAAACAAGGGCGACCGAAGGGATCAAAGAACAAGAGATCGCCCACCCCTGAAGGCGACATCCCTCCCGAAGAACGATACTTTTACCAAAACCGCGCTGGCCCTCCTCAAGTCTCGGGCAACAAGTTCAACTCGGTCAAACTGCTCACGCACGAGGAGTTCTTCGAACAGATCTCGTCATGGCGAGACCCTCACGAACCGGAAAAGGCCTTCCTGATGAAATTACACGCCCGGTCGTTCCCACAATGGCGCTTCGAACTCGCCGAAGGGTTTGGATTGTGTCTCTACGGCTACGGCAGTAAACAGCCTCTCGTCAACCAGTTCGCCGAGTACATGTACAGCAAGTGCGGCCGTCCGCCTCCTCGCATCGTCGTCGTCAATGGCTACATCCCGAAGCTCAACCCACGCACAATCCTCAACACCATTGCCGCGGCCGTGGCTGAAACAGAAGACGAAGCGATCCGCCTGATCGGCCAACCGGAGGAAATGCTCGACACTCTGCTATCCCACCTTACTGACGAGCCTCCACCTTCGCAACTGCTCGTCATGGTCAACTCCCTCGACTCGGCTTCCCTCCGCCGACCTTCCATACAATCACTCCTTGCCCGCCTCGCGGCGCACCCACAGGTTTCCTTTCTCGCCACGTGCGACACACCCACCTTTCCAGCGATATGGAACTCATCCCTCCTCGACCAATTCAAATTCGTCTTCCACGACTGCACGACCTTTGCGCCGTACGCGGCCGAGACACCCAGCGTGGTAGACGATGTGCACGAATTACTGGGCAGGAAGAGGATGCGGGCGGGTGGAAAAGAAGGGATCGGATTCGTGCTAAAGAGCTTGCCGGAGAACGCCAGGAACCTCTATCGTCTACTGCTCGCTGAGATCCTGAGCATTTTAGAAGACGGAATTGACGGCGATGGCATTCCGTACACCAATGGAGGCGGCGCGGACGATGAAAATGAAGACGACAACGAGCAAGGAGAAAGTGAAAGACGAACAACCCGGAAGAAAGCACGAGGCGCGCCCACCACCACCACCAGCACAGAGGCCGAGGAAGTCGGCGTCGAATACCGCACGCTCTACCGCAAGGCCGCAGAGGAGTTCATCTGCTCGAGCAGCATGAACTTCCAGTTTCTGCTCAAGGAGTTCCTGGACCACCAGATGATCACGAGTCGGCGAGACCCCGCTAGTGGCGCTGAGATGTTGGGCGTTCCCCTGGCAAAGGATGAGGTCGAAGCGGTTTTGGAAGAGCTCATTTGAGGTTCGGTGCAGAGGATTGAGGGGGAAAGGGTGAGAGAGGGTAGATGAGCCTAGGATGATGAAACACGTACGAGCTATATATATAGGTAGGTATTGACAATACTATACTATACTGTGTCCAGCACACACAGAGATCAAGCAATCAATCACCTCTACCATTCTCACCACATTAGTACGCGAAGCAAGCAAAGACTCCTCGACGCACGAAGCGACAGGCTCAAGCGATTCAAATTCCCAAGAAATCTCATTTCCAAAAGATGAGGATAAATCAATCACCTGTAGGCTAAACCTATGGAGAGTAACTCGGTAGACAGAATGTTGACTGTGTATATAGAGACGCCGAACCGCCGGGTTGATGCATTCGATTTTTGTTTTGTGCAAAATGTGGTCCCTCTCTGTTCACTCATGTTCATGCTCATGCTCATGCTCATGCTCATGCAGATCCTGCCCCTATCCATCCCATGGGTTGGGATCATGTTCGTGCTCGTGCTCTTCATATCTCTGGACTTGCGATTGCGTCTCGGTATGGGTTTTTTTTCGCGGGTCGTGTGATCCCTTTTTTCGTCTCCTTTTTGAATCTATCCAAACCAACACCACGCAATGTGCCAACACCACGCAATGTGTGCCACTACCATCCCCGGACGGCCAACTTGTCGCCATCCTTCATGCCACTCACGTTGATGCCGACCATGGCCTCGCCCAGGCCCTCGGAGCACTGGGCCAGGACGTGTGCATCCCTGTAATGCGTCGTGGCCTGGACAATGGCCTTTGCGCGCTTGGCGGCGTTGCCGCTCTTGAAAATCCCGGACCCGACGAAGACGCCGTCGCAGCCTAGCTGCATCATGAGCGCCGCGTCGGCCGGGGTCGCAATGCCGCCGGCGGCGAAGTTGACCACAGGTAACCGACCGAGCTCGGCGGTCTGCTTGAGCAGCGCGGCGTCGCAGCCAATTTCCCTGGCCAGGGCCCTCAGGGCGCCTTCTCCTTCCTTCAAAGCGGCCTGCGCCTTGGCGATGTCGCTCTTGACCGTGCGCATGTGCTTGACGGCCTCGACGACGTCGCCGGTCCCGGCCTCACCCTTGGTCCGGATCATGGCGGCGCCCTCGGCGATCCGTCGCAGCGCCTCGCCCAGATTCCGGCACCCACACACAAACGGGACCCTGAAGCCGGCCTTCTCCACGTGGTACGTATTGTCTGCGGGTGTCAAAACCTCGCTCTCGTCGATGTAGTCGACCCCCAGGGCCTCGAGGATCTGGCACTCAACGAAATGGCCTATCCTGGCTTTTGCCATGACGGGGATGGTGACGGCGGCCTGGATCTCCTTGATCAAGGCCGGGTCCGACATGCGGGCGACGCCACCCTGGGCGCGAATGTCGGCGGGCACGCGCTCGAGGGCCATGACGGCGCAGGCGCCGGCTTCCTCGGCGATGCGGGCTTGTTCCGCATTCACCACGTCCATTATCACGCCGCCCTTGAGCATCTGCGCCAAACCGGCTTTCACAGTAAAAGAGGGGAGGTCGCCATTTGTGGCGGAGGAGGTTTGGGGTACGATGGTGGTGGAGGACATGTTGGAGTTGTCGTTCATAACCATGATGAAGCGGTAGTGAGGGTGGGAAGATTCGTCTGTTTGATGAAGTGAGAGTGGAGTGGGAAAAAAGTTGTGTCGAGGAGCGAGGGATATATTCGGGTTCGAGGTGGTGGTGGGGGTTGGGTAGGAGGAAGATGGAGTGCAGCAGACGCCGGACGGACAGGTCGATCGAATAGGACGCTAGGTAGCTAGGTTGATACTGTAGGTATGTAGATTCTGGGCCTAATGGAGAGGAAATGTCCAATAAGGCAAGTTTTGAGGGAAAAAGAGCTCAAGGCGTTGTGTTGTCGAAGGGCGGCAAAAAAATAAAAAATAAAAAGTAAAATCAAAATTTCCAAACCCCGGGTCCTGAGTCACCACGCAGAAGTTGAAAGATCAATGGAGATTTCCACCCCCACACACACCCTCAGTCTACAGAGAGTCTGGCCACCAAGCAAGTTACAAGGACCGAATAGCAGCAAAGGAGGAAAGTGTGATAGTGACCCTCCCCTTCTCACCCAACAGACCAGGTGATGGGTCAAAAAAGAAAGTGAAAAAGAAGTGCCAGTGAGTGGTGTGCTGTAGAGTGCGGGTGCGGGATGGCAATGTGTGACTCTATCAGGAGATACGACAACAGATGGTGATTGATGGTGGTGGTTGATTTGTTCTGCGCCCTGGGACAAGCAACTAGGCAAGTAGATCAAACAGAGTGATCGTTAAAACAAGGACCCGTGGACCCCTGAATGCAAGTGAGTTCGTGTACTCGGTACCTCGTAGATTGATTCCAATCCCCGCGGCATCTGGGGGAGATCTCTTCGATAACAGCGAGAAATCTTGCCCCGCGGCGACTGTTGCCGTCGGAGAAGTCACCATTCTGATTACGCTAGGAGATGCTACAATACTAGAGTCTCGTATTATCTAGTCGTTGTTTAGTCTTGCTAGTCACTGTACTAACAGCACTATTGTTACTTCTATTGTTACTTGACTCGCTCAGCATCGGAAAAGAGCGGCGACCCGATAAGCAGGCACGTGATCCGCTTAGTCACCCGCGCACATGCCTCAGCCGTCGAATCCCTCCTCGCCTCCTCCATCTCCGCACTTGAAACCGAGCTCAATGGAGCGAGCATCTCAGAGAGGAGCAAGAGGAGGAGTAGGAGGAGTCAAGCACCATGGATTTGATTTCCGACTCGTCATAGAACAGAACAACACCGGACCTTACACATCTCGCTGAGGACAGCATGAGCTGACTGTGATCTGTGATTCCGACTCTATCTGTCACTGTCACTGCTTCTCCTCGGCAATGACCAGCATCTTGGGCTTCTCGATGCGTTGCTCAGATGCTGTGCCCATGCTGTGCTCAACATGTCATCCTCACAACCAACCACCATGCACACCTCAACCCCTCCGTCCCATGTATCCATCATGCCGCTGCCGGAATCAACCCCCGGCAAGCTCGCCTCCCTCCCTTCCTCTCCTCGACCTCCATCACAAACACCAACGTTGATATCTCTGCCCGACTTGCCCGAGGACGTCTTCCTCTTGGTCCTGACACACCTCTCCGCATGGGACGTCGTGTCCTGCCAGCGCGTCTCCAGGTCATGGCGCACCGCCTTCTCCAGAGACGAATACATCAGATTCGTGCTGCAGTCCTACCCGCGCGCCAGGGAAGTCCGGTCTCTCCCCCCCGGCGCCCTCCATTTGCACTCTCCCTGTCAACCACAAAGCTCGCAACTGGATTGGAAAGGCATCCTTGGCAAGGTGGCCTCGCGTTACCACCACCTCGCCCAGGGCACCGCCAGAGTCGTCGACAGATACCCCATGGCACCGGTTGAACAATTAGGCGACTGGTTCCCTGTGGGCCAGTGGGATTATCACGAAAGCCAGCCAGGAGGTCGTCTCTACTACGAGACCGCCGCCAGCCACCTGAGCCGCATTGGCACCAAGCCTTACCTGTTCCGACCGACCCTGTGGTCCTACGACGACGGGCTTCTGGTGTACGCGCCCGCCGAGGGCAACGAGGACGGTTACTTCCCGCAGATTTTGGCCTTGTTGGACGTCGAGGCCGGCCAGAAGTATCCCATCCCATTCGATATTCGCGGCAAGATCATCCGCAATCTGCGCCTCAAAGACCGCACCTTGATCGTGGAATGGGCCGAAAAGGACCCCTTCCACAACCTCAACGCCATGGAACAAGTCAACCGTCATTTCGCGAATTGTTTCGACGTCCGGCCTATTACTTCTGAACACCCAAAGTCCTGCTGGGAGGTAACCTGGCGTTCAGAATGGAAGATGCATTTTTTGGGGTTGCCGCCCAATTACCACGACCGCTTCTTCTCCACCCACAATGCCACCCATTACGCCGTGTATTTCTGGCAGCCCAACCGGAGCATGTACACAGGCGACGAGGAGCTGCCCATCGAGTCGCTCTCGGTGTGGGACATTTCTGGCTCCTCGCCGTATCGACCGTCCACAGACCCGTCTGGCAAATTCCGCCCGGCCGGAAAAGCCACTTCCGGTCCATATATCGTGTCGAGGTTCTCGTTCATGCAGATGGACACGTTTGGCATCCGTCAGCGCGCGAGCGTCGCCTTGATGTCTCTGCACCTGGACAGTGAAACCCTATCCCTCACAGTGCGCGAGAACGTTGGCGTGTCGGGACAGGGCTACTTTGACCCCGCGGAACGGCTGTGGTGCGCGAAAACCACAACATTCCCGTTTTTGGGAGAAGGACCTCGACTGTTTCGCGAGTGGGACGGCAATCTGCCCCCCTACCGTGGCCACTGTAGCATGGAGACGGCCGACGTCGAGGAGAGTGAACGCTGGTTTTTGCCCATCATGGACGTGGTCGACACCCTCGCCGGCGTCCGCTTGAGTCTGGTCGAGACGTGCTTCTCGGGCCACAGCGTCGAGAACCGGCTCGTCGTGCGCATGAAAGCCGACCTCGAGGACAAAATCAAGGACTTTGCCCACGTGGAAGAGACCGCGCTTGGCTGGGCCACCCTCGACGACGATCTCACAAGGGAAGTCTCCTTTATGGGCCGCATCGCCGGCGACGAGAGGTGGCTGATAGGCCAGAACGAGCGTATGGAAATGGTGGTCATCAAGTTCTAACCTCCCGCACCCCCCCTCCTTGCTTTTGTACATACCATACCATCCCAAACTCATCTTGCAAACGTCCCGTTGGCTTCTCCTTGTTTGATGCTTTCAGACATATATCTATATACCTGCATGCGTACGGAGTATTAAAACAATGAGAATCATCAACATCCTTCCTTTATGGGCTCAGAGATGTAAAAGGTCCTATTCCTGTACAGCTGAGAAAAGCAGACTCGTCTTGCTTGCCGTGTCCGTTCAAGAAAACCGACACGCCCTTTTTCCGCCCTTCTTCTTTGGGGAATAGCTGGGTTGACAACGAGGAAGAGGAGGCGAGTGTGAAAAGGGAACGAATGGACGATTACAGCGAATGATTGATTGATTGGATGATTGAATGATCATTGAGCCGACTTCAGTTACATACAGATGATTGTACAGGGGGTAACCTATATGACTCTTTGTAAATGCCCAAATGCACGGATTCTTTCCTGAAATTTTCTTTTTTCCTGTCTTCGTTTTTGGGGTTTTGGGTCTCGCTGGGATCTTTGGCTTTCTTTTGTAGGCTTTGCTTTGCTTGCATTGCTTTCCTGGCTTTGCTTTCCTGGCCTTGCTTTCCTGGCCTTGCTTTCCTGGCCTTGCTTTCCTGGCCTTGCTTTCCTGGCCTTGCTTTCCTGGCCTTGCTTTCCTG